GACGTTGTTGCAGGCTGCGGACCTGGTCACGTTGCTGAAAGGTGCGTGGAACGACGCGTCGTGTGCGCGTTTGGGGGGGTCGTAGTATTGTGGTATTTTGGGCTTACAGCCCTCCGTCCCCGCGCGCGCATGCACTTCACGCACGCATGCATACGTACCTATTACACATACTGACCGAACGCTACCCACGGCTCCCGCCCTTTTTCTTTACAGTCACGGCTCAACATTCAAGAGATCGCTATGCCAGCAGCTGCTGCAGCCCCCGCCGCCGCCGCCGTCGAGGAAGCACCCGTCGAGGTCCGTTCCCTTCCCTCTCTCCCTCCCTCTTTCTCTCATATCTCATCTCCCGCCTCGAACGAGACACTCACCCCCGTTTGTTTTTACTGTTGCTGTTTGCTATTTGCCTTTCGCACACGCGCGTTTCGTAGGAAAAACCGAAAGAGAAGACGATCTTCAACGTCATGCTCAAATCTTTCGATCCCGCCATCAAACCCAAGGTGATTCGTGAGGTCAAGGCACTCGTCCCGAATCTCACACTCATGGAAGTGCGTCACACTGCTTTTTTCATTCATTCATTCATTCATTTATAAACCACCCTTTTTTCATCTTTCTAAATCCTACTTGCGTTTCACTCGCAGGCCAAGAAATTCGTTGAATCCGTTCCTCAAGTCCTCAAGGAAAATCTTGCCAAAGAGGATGCGGAGAAACTAAAGGCGACGTTTGAAAGTCTGGGAGCGGTTATAGAACTAGAGTAGATCCCCCCCGTGTCGTGCCTTATTGCCCTTGATTCCATCATTCCTCTTCTTTTTCTTTCATTTATTTGCATTTCTCATGCATGATCCACATACGCACATGGGAACGATGGTTGATGGTATAGAGCAGCGGATCACTATTTGATTTACTGTCCTTTGCTAGACGTTATATAAGGTACAGGAGCCGTAATATAGGCCATTATCTCGAAAAGTCATATGAAAAAACAATGACAGGTCAGGATGCGAAGATGGAAGACGTGGGCTTGCACAACAACAGCTTCGATGCCTCCTTGATCGTCGAAGAAAAATAGTTTAATCCTCCGAGAGATATCGGTACTCAAACCGGAAATCGCTTTTCTTTCGTTGACACCATGAACCTTCCCAGTCGAAATAGACATATACACCCTGTTCGTATTCTTCTGTTATGGCCTGAGGCTCAGAATGGCGTTGGAACCATGTCAGGTATTTAACGTGGAATCGCCACGACTGTCTCTTCAGCTCTTTGGCTGCAAGATATCTATAAAAGAAAAAAACGCATTTAGATATCGTCTTTGTTGAAAACGAGTGGTACACGTTACTGTTGGTAGGTTCCAGGAAGATAGTAGAACACGTAAAATAGCGTTTCTACATCCAGTTGGGAGAATATTCCAGCAGTACTGAGGACAGGGTTGAGTGCCTGAGGGTAGTAGGAAGGTGTTTGATAGGGATTCCGAGGTACGTAGTACTTGGGCCTACGAATAACACATAAGCTGTCAAAGAATTCTTCTTTCAAAGGCTCACTTACTTCTCAGTATCATGTGGTTGAGGTACATTCGAGTAACCACCTTCCAGTAGCTTGTTGACTTCTCCTAGGTTCGTCATGCGATGGGCAGCTGTAAAACGAGAGTCAATAACGAACCCCAAATTGCCAGAACCATTGGCTCACCCTTCTGTTTAACTGTCTCGAAAGACGCAACAAGGTCCGACAGCGAGCCAGGGAAAGCACTTAACGTAGTCGAGCGTTGCTGGACCTGTGAAGGTGCCTGTGGTGCCTGCTGACTTGCCGCAGTCGAGGCCGGTCTCTGGGATCCAATGCTTGCCTGTTGCTGAGGAGCCTGCGTCGTCGTACTTGGCGGCTCAACTGCCTGTGGAACCTTCATGCCCGGAGGATATTGAGGTTGTTGCTGTTGCGACGGTGCAGGCATTGATGAACTGCTGGCTGATGTATTCAAAACTCCTGGTGTCGTCGATGGGAACTGCACCTGTTGTGGCAATGGCGAAGGACCCGAAGGTTGTGGTTGTTGTTGAACAGATGCTGAGGTTAACTGAGATCCACCATTGGCTTGAGGCTGGGGAAGTTGATGCGAATCTGACGATAAGGCCTGCTATTTACGTTTCAAGAGTTATGTTATAAACACCCGGCAAAGTCCAAAAACACACACCACAGCACTTGGTGACATTGCTCTGGATAACAATGGAGAAGACATGGATTCTATAAACATAAGACCTACATCAGATGGATCACATGATATCAAAAATTGCGTACCTTTCCTGGAGGCCATGCGCTGAGGAGAAGATGTTGCTGCAGGACCACTCACAGAGCTAGGAACAGCCTCAGATAATGCTGGTGAATCTTGACCAGAATAGAAAGATCCGTCAGGTTGATGCGAAACAGATGCTGAAGAAAGCATCGGGCTCGTGACTGAAGGATGTGTCAGGCTCGGCGATGATGTAACCTGCTGATCTGACAGTATAGCCTGCGATGTTGAAGGCGTTATCGAAGGCGCTGTTGACGTAGTTGGCGTAGAACTTGAGAGTGCCGGTGTTGTGGGTTGAGCACTCGAGGGTGTTAGTGGCGTTGCGCTTGTTGATGACGGGGTCACAGCGGCAGCCGCTGCCGCTGCATATCGTATAGGTGGCAGCGTGGCGGGCCGTGGGGCTGGTGGCAGGCCTGCCTTGAGGATGCTTGCCATTGGCTGCTGCGCGAAATTTGGATTTGGTGGAGGTTTGGGCGCTGAAGTCATATCAGTAACCGGTCAATCGAAAGCGTGAGCTGCCTTACATTCTGCCACTAGTGAAGGTTCTGACAGTAATATAAGTAAACTGAAAGAACATTCAAGAATCGCCTCTAGATTGCTTACTGCGCATTTGCAACGTTGTGCCAGCTTTCTTTAATATTGGACTATCGTCGCGCTTGCTACTTGCCACACTCTCTTCGTCCTTATCATGTTTCTTTGACGGTGTTCGAGTAGGAAGATCTACAAGCTTGGATGAGACAGCTTGACAGGCGTAGGTGAAGTGTGGCGAATTACCTTCACTAGCTTCTTCTGACCCATCGCTGTCATCATCGTCGTCGGCAGCCAAACCAAACTTCTCTTCCTCCTCGTCGAGATTGAGGTCATCATATATGCCCTCGTATTCGTCGAAGTCCTCTTCCTGCACTCATTAAACGCCTTAAAAGGTCTCGGAGCAAAGGATACCGATACTATACAACGAACCGTATTGCTTTCCACAAAATATGAGACATCATCCTTCAGTGCCGTAACTCTGTCCGTCGTTAGAGAACCATTGTCCATAAGTCGTAGGATGAGCTCCAGTCGGCTGACGTGCCATTTCCGTCGTTCGTTGAGGTGTTCCAGATCTTCCAAACGCCCAGCAGTCGACGAACCTCCCTTATTTCGCTTCTTCCCGGTACCCTGCAATGACTCAATTTCTGCTTCTGACTGCTCCACCTGCAAAAGAAGTTCCTCGACCTGATTTTGAAGCCATGTTGTGACTTCAAGTTTCTCTTGGGCTTTTGGATCGAGTTTTGCAGATTGTATAAGACCTTCTTTCGAGAACGCCTTGGTCTTCATCTCCTTTTCACAGGCTTTGAATTTCTCCATTTGCTGTAAATGATGGAATAAAAGTCAGCTATGTGAGGACTAGAAGTTCCGTGAGGGCGAATGTTCCCCAGCGCCGTGCCGTTTTTACAATCAATTAGATTCAAGCGATACATACCGTCTCAATTAGTCTCCGGTTGTCCAGTAGTGCAGATTTGTCCTTTATATCATTGCTAGCGACCCAGGTCTTGATTTGGTCACGCAACCGTTGAAGTTTCTTTATTTGTGTCTTCAGGTCGGTTTCCAGCTTCTCCTTCTGTGTTTGATTCGTCGAGGCCTGCATTTTGTCGTAAATGCTCTCAAAGAGCTCGACACCTTCTGCGACCTTCTTCAAGGTCCTGTCAATTTCCGCTGGTAGTTATGAAAACAGACAGCCATGTCGGTAAAAGCTTGGCCAATAGTGCGATACTGTACTCACTTTGCAGTTTTCTGGCCGCCATGACGAATAATACAGGAGCACCGTTGCGGTTCAAAATATCGTTTTGCCAGTTATTGCTTCGTCTCAGTGGTGTGGCTATCGTATTGACATGTATTTGCGACACATTACGTACATGTGAGAATGCTGTTCCATAATTGACTTGCTCTACTCTACAGCAGTAATGTTTAGAATTTGAGTCAGGTGTACATGTTCTCTCATGAGACCAGTCGTGTAAATAAAATCATATTCCCACTACTCCGTCTCATTCAGCTTCCTGCGGCCATGAGGCTTCCATTCGTGATAAATATATACACTGTCGACACGGTGCTTGAAGGACTGAACATGAAGCAATCACTGATATCGTTCTCCAATTAACACGGGCGTTCGAGGATTAACGTAACTGTTAATAACATAAGTGAATCTAGACCGTGTTGAGACGCGTATAGCGCCATGAATGAACATATGATGGCCCATCGCTGAGAGAAGCCGTGTTTGAGAGTTCAGACATCAACACACGTACGGTGTCTGTAATTGGAAGAAGCTGCTGAGGGTAGTTCCCAAAGGGGTACTGCGTATTGGAGTTATTGGAGTTTGGTCCCGGGGGATAGCTGCGATTGGCTCGACAAAGTGAGTGCGACAGCCATCAGACAATATCGCGCTAAAGTGTAGATCAAGCAACATAGCCACCTGTGACGTTGGATTGGAGGGAGTGCCATGTATGTTTGAGGTGGACAAGACAAGAGTTATTGGTCTTATGGCCACCTGGACGGGCACTGCATGGGCTGAGACTGGGTGAAACGAGAGTAATAAAAGGAGAAAAGAGTGTGGACGGTGGACGCTGAGTCAGCGCAGACAATAGTGTTGGCAGACAATAGCACGTGGTGTTTGGGGTCCGTGTTTTAATCAGCGTGGGAACATACCGCGAACGCATCGAAGGGTGGACTGGCTGCATGGAAATCAGCTATTTCGAGTCTCCACCTTCACTTCGCCTTTACTTCCCTTTCTTTCCTTTCCATTCTCTTTACGCTCTTTCACGATGAAGTCGCTACGAAAGTCTTTAAACGGCAACAAGGATACTCACCGTCTCCAGATTTCCACCCCCGTTCCCCTCCCTTCCATATCTAAACCCACCTCTGCTACTTTGCCTCCTCAAAAAGTAATCCGCGCCGTATCCTCCTACAGGCCTCAAGCTCCTCAGCAGCTTCCCTTCCAGAAAGGCGACTTTTTCTATGTTACCGGAGAGAGTGATAATCAGGGTGCCTGGTACCAGGCTCACAACCCTGTCACAGGTGCCCGTGGGCTGGTCCCAAAAACTATGTTCGAAGAATTTTGTAAAAGCCCTCCCCCGTAAGTAAATTTTTTACCTCACCTCCTTTCTTAGACGTTAACCGGCCCTACATCCAGTATCCGCACTTCACGCATGAGCTTCGGGCTAAACAGCCCCTCCTTCGCTTCACCCAAATCACCCAAGACTCAGGTTTTCTACGCCGTCGTGCTACACGATTTTGTTGCTGAGCGTGCAGACGAGCTCGATGCAAAAGCAGGAGATGCTATATCCGTCGTAGCCCAGTCCAACCGTGAATGGTTTGTCGCAAAGTCCATTGGACGATTGGGGCGGCCAGGCTTGATCCCCGCCACGTTCGTTGAGATCCGCGATCCCGCGTCAAATTTGCCCATCACAGACATTGAGGCACTCATGGACCGGGGAGATTTGCCGAAAGTCGAGGATTGGAAGCGTGCTATGCTTAGTTATAAGCAAAACAGCATCTCACTTGGAGTCATCGAGGACAACCTTGCCGAAACCTCGGTCCCAGATAGCCCCTACATGCAGCAACCCAGTATAGTCGTGCAACAGCCTTCTCCAAGAGGAGACAAAATCCTACCTGCCGATCAGCAGCGTGCTCCCTCACCTGTTTACCTGCCTGACGGGATTCTTCTATCAGCGGATGTAATTTCTTTCCATTATGAAATGGATGAATATTGGTTCCGCATCGACTCAGTGTTTCAACCTTATGATCCGAAGGATTCACACCAGCTCCCCAAGGCTAAACAACTTATTCTTTTCCGAGTCTACAACGACTTCTATGACTTTCAAGTCAATCTCCTGGAAACATTCCCTCGCGAGGCTGGCCGCGAACCACCATCAGAACGAATCTTGCCCTTCATGCCTGGTCCTGCGGAGAAAGTAGATGACGAGATTACTGCTACTCGCCGAGAGGAGCTCGACGAGTATCTCCATAAACTTTGTGCTCTGAATGGGGTTGGCGGCAGTTACATTCTAGAACATCGAGTTGTGCGGGAATTCTTGGCCCTCAAGCCGGGAGATGTGGAGAATGACATCGAGCCTCGCTATGAGGAGATCAGAACTTTATTTGCCGAAGACTCGTACAATGAAACAGCAGATCCCTATTCTTCTCAGGTAGCTCAAGACTTTGAAGATGAAGTTCGGGACACTTTAGGGGACATGAGGTTGTCGGACAGGGAGCACGAGAACCGAAGTGATGGTTCAGATTATGGAGAGGACCATACGCTTCCTGTACATTATACAGGACGGGATTCTCAAGCCAGCATTTCCCTGCGCCAGCATGCTCATCAACGCTCTGCTTCTGCAGCTTCTTTCCGCCGCGCTCACTCTCCCCCACGTCTCAACGGATCGTCACCATCACCTTCTCGGTCTAACTCCGAACGCTCCCGCTCCCCTCGTACATACTCGCCTTCGCCTCGATTAGCATCTCAAGTCCTCGGTGACATGCAGCGCACGAGCGCTTATTCTCGTACTTCGACTGCTTCTAACTCTCGATGGCCAGATTATACCGCTTCATCGCCGTCCTCTCTACACTCCTCCCAGCGTTCCATGTCATCTCGCTCGCGCACCCACTCCACCGCTACTACCAATCTAAACACGCCCCCCATATCTGCTGGTAATCCACAGACGGCATTTGTAAAAATAAAGATTTTCGACCGTGTCACCGACGATCTAATCGCTATTCGGGTACACCCTAGGGTGACTCACTCGGAACTTATAGGCAAAGTTCAAGCGAGACTTGGTGGAGAGGTGTTGAATCTACGGTACAGGGATAGCCTGAACAACGAATTTATAGGCATTGACGGTGATGAAGAGCTGCGAGAGTGGATGGAGGGTACAGAAAAACATGTGTTGTATGCTGATTGATCAGGTATGGTGTTTGTTGTAAGGAATGGTGTGGACAAGCCAGCTATATTCTAGAGTTTTTATTATTTCTTTCGATTTCTGAAATTGTCATTCTTCTTCTTCGTTCTATCTGTTGTATGTATCTTGTCTTTCACCTATATTCTGACATGAGTAGCTTGGATTTTTTTTCGCGTAGTTGTGTTCTGTTTTACTACCTCAATACTTCTAAGTATTCAATTAATCCAGTTCTCTGATGCAAATCCTTTCTGCATGAGTACTTGTATAATGATAGGGTCCCTTTGGTCCTCGTGGACGTATTTATCATTTATTACACCTTGCATGTTATGTTGAAGAAATAATTTGTGAACCAAAGCACCTGCCAAATTCGGCCACGGCCGATAGGCACCCCGAAGTCGCAAATAGCGGTAAATAAAACCTTCTGTCCACTCACCATCATGGTGTCCATAATTCGATACGTGCGGAACATCCGCAGGACAGGTATCGCCGCATGGTGGCGAAATATGCAGTACATCGGTGATGCAAAGGCTGGTACATACGTGGGTAAAGACCAGTAGGTGTCTCGGCTGCCATGCCAGTAGGTTGTGTGTCTTGACCACTTTGGTACAGGTTCGGCAACCGCTACTATGAAAACTTGAATCCGGAAGACGAGATTCCAGGTATGAAAACACGACGACTGTGCTATTTCTGGGCACTGAACTCTGCTCCTAGGTCGTCACCGATGGGTTGACTTTGCTCAGGTCCGTAACGGCATCTATTAACGACAACCAAGCGCAGGGCCTCAATCTGTTTTCGTTTCTCTAGCATTATAGCAACGCAACCCAGGTTCCTGCTGAATGGCACTCGTGGCTATCTCACATTCGACAGAGTCCACCACCTGAGGATAATGTCATACAGAACCTCTCCCCCGTGTGGCAAGGCGTAAGTTTACGTTATACCTCTGACCATCAGTCTTGCTCAGCCTTTCTACTAGCCCTGGATCGAGAATTTGACAGGCACGAGGGGTGCTTACAGACCTTACAACACTGTCCCGCCCAAAATTAATGCTTGGGAACCTAAAGTCGGAGCACGAGGCGAAGCTTCTTCGTAACCTACATCCATGTTCTGTGATGTCCTTTGAGAATATAGATACACGGTATAAAATCAACATATATCATAGCTGCTCTCCTATGATGTCCTCCACGACACGCTCGGCGATGGCGAGACTTGACGTTAGTCCTGGACTTTCGATGCCCAACAAACTTATCATCAGCCCTTTACTATGTGAGTCTGCGTAATCTGTCCGCAGCATGAAGTCTTGAAAGCCTGAAACGACGAGCTTCGGACGTATGCCGACATAGTCTGCTCTGAGACCCTCAAATGTCACCTCTGGGAGATACTCGGTGACAGCGCTGTGCATCTCCCCCATCCTTGATTCATCTGGTATCAGGTGTTTCCTCCAGAAGTCTACATTTTCCTCATTTGAGTCGAACTCCTCTGCGCTAGAGGGAGGGGATATCCATTCCAAATCTGGACCAAACCGCACTTTCCCTTGCAAATCGAGTGTAAGGTGCGTGCCTAGTGACTGGAATGCATGGCGATTCCTCCCTGTTTCTGGGCAAGGATATATGAGTCGGGTTATCCGTGAAATTCCGGGACCACTGTAAGCTGCATATGAGCCACGAGCAAAGTACATGGGAATGCGCGAATTGAGAGGAAGAAGGGAGTTCAGAATGAGATTTGCAGAGAGTCCAGATGCATTAATCAAGGTTTTTGCTAGGAGAGAGTCGCCCTCCTGTCCGTCTCCTGTCACCATCTGCACTACCCAGCCGTCGTCAGTTGGCAAACTTGTTGATTGCTTTGATGATTTATAAGGATCTACGCGCACAACCCGCGTAGAATACACGAGTTCGCCGTTCTCCGAGTCCAATACATCTTTCTCGAGGCTTTCCATCATAGCGTGCGAGTCAACAATCCCAGTCTCAGGACTCCACAGTGCAGCTGTGATACTGTTTGCAAGGTCTGGTTCGAGTTCACGAGCTTGTTCGCCGCTGATGAGTTGTGCGGGAAGGACGTAGTCGTCGGAGCTATGTGGAGGGGAATGTTTTGGCCATTCGAGTTGCTTGGCTTTGTGGAAGAGGCTCTCGACGTATGGTCTTTGGTGTTCGTGAGCGACTACGAGTTTGCCAGTCTTGCGAAAAGGGATGTTGTACTTGTTGCAGCGGTCATACAATAGGTGGCGACCACGTAGGCATAGTTGTGTTTTCAGAGAATCTGGAGGGTAGTACAGGCCTATAGCAGACATGTGCTTAGTTTGCCTTGCATTGCGGTCTGCTCAGAAGAAGATAGGGCACGAACCTGCATGAATGACTTCCGAATTGCGGGAACTATGGCATCATGAAATTCAGCTTTCGAAGAGGATGGAGACAAGTACAGTCCTACCTTGTTTCTTCTCCAGCATGTCCGTGTCTTTCTACGAGGTACGTTGACTTGTTCGGGAAACGCTCTGAAAGACGCGATGCAATAGCCAGACCGCCGACGCCTGTGACTCTGACTTATAGTGATATCGTACGCAGCTAAACTAAAATATGCTCACCTCCACCCACGACGAGAAAGTCTACGGCAGCTTCTGGAGCCTGGCGACACCAATCTTTGTGAATGAACGTCGACATGGCCATCGCCAGCATTTGTGAGCACCGTACCTTGTATTTGAACCTATTGTTCGAGTTCAGAGCAGCGGTGAGGCCCCTTATTTTCGCTACTGCAGCCATGGAGAGGTATTTGAGGCAGAACGAACGTCAATGAAGAAGGTTTTTGATACCCGATGCTGTTCAGCTGAAGCTTGACAGGAAAGTGATAAATGTCAACATGACCATGACGGCGGCCCGATCGTGGCTTGGACTGGTATTTTTCTTATCTTATCTCTTGATCGGCGCAAAAGCCATAACCGTGACACTGAAATCGAGTCTCTGCTTTTCGTTGTGTCGCCACCATGTCTTCCCAGAATCCAGCTCCGTTGCCTCAACCGGTCTCTGTCGATGATAAACTCGCAGCCTTCGACTCTATCCCGTTGTTTATGAAATCCCTCCCAACGGAGGACACTACTGACGTTGCTCTCGAAGCATTGCAAAGCTTGGTGCATGAGGGGACACCGGATGGTGGGTGAGAACTCGATGTAATCTTCTAATTTCCTGCTCATTGTTCCAGTTGAACATCATAGAGGTCGCTCAAAACTTCAAGGAGCAAGGAAATGAGTATTTTAAAGGAAAGCGATATCGTGAAGCATTGGGCTTTTACACCCAGGGTGTGGACGCGGAACCAACAGATCCTGTCCTTCGAGAGGCTCTACTATGTAACCGCGCAGCATGCAATCTAGAACTCAGTAAGCTTCCACCTTTGTTTTAAGATTATCTCAGTCTCACTTTACCATCACGCAGAGAACTACGGGTCCGTACTGAGAGATTGCTCACAAGTCCTCAAGATTAACGCTCACTCATCAAAGGCCTACTTTCGTTCATCGTCGGCCTTGCTTGCATTGGAACGAGTAGAAGAAGCTCTTGATTGTTGTGATCATTGTCTACAGTTTGATCGTGATAACCAGGGTATCAAAGGCGTGCGTGAGCGCACAGTCAAGATGAAAGAACAGAAAGAACGCAAAGAACGAGAACGGCTTGAAAGGATTCAGAAAGAAGAGGAAGAAAAAAGGCGGCTCAAGGCAGCTTTTGACGTAAGTCTGTCTGCCTCGTAAAGCAGGGTATTTATTGATGATCCTGATGCTACAGGACCGAAATTTGGTATCGATAATAAACCCACAAGGGCCTTCAGACAACCCATACAAGCCTCACTTCGAACCACTGAATAATTCAGAGCTGATATTCCCTGTGTTTTTCCTGTACCCACAATATGCGACTTCGGACGTCATCTCTCATTTCGCCGAAAATACCCACTTCTCTGCGCACTTGATTCTGATGTTTCCTCCAGGAGCTCCGGCACCCGAATGGGATAAAAAGGGGGAGTATGTGGTCAGCGATCTAGTTGTGTATGCGATGACGCACCGAAAACGCCTGTTGAAGATTGGAAAGAGAATGACCTTGCGGGATGTTTGCAATGCAACGAAAGAGAAAGATGGGGATGCAAAAGATGGTTTGGAGATCAAAGATGGGTGTTTAACATTTGTGGTGTTGGTTAAGGGTGATGTTGAAAAGAACTGGGTGGACGAATTCAAGAAAACTAGGGACGGCTAGCATTATATTGATGTTATTGAAATCTACCTAGACTTGCACTTGAAAAGGTGGAATCGTGACCATATTTAACACTTTCACTGCAAGCGAAGACGCAAGCGCTACTTGGGGTTTTGTCGTATGCCTCTCGCTCTTCGCCGACCATTAATAAATCATACACAAGAGTAACACGGCCGCTGGTATGGATAGGTTGTTGAAGCATGTGAGCTCATGTGAGTGCAGAGGAAATAGGGTAATTCCGTATATGGTAGGTGTGCCACGTGAGCGGTGTTGATGGCGTTGTTTGGTCGTTCGACTGTGGTGCACTATACGGCAAGACTCACCGCACAAAAGACATCGACGAAGGCGTCAAGCTCGGTGAGTAGACATTTCACGTTTATCTGCAGTCTAGAGTGCACGTCTGGCTACTACATGACAATTTGGCTGGTCAAATTTGAAGAAGGAATGCCAGAATGAGATGGATGGACGTATGTTGAGGTAGATGCTGACTTTTTTGATTCTGATCAGGCCTCTCTCTTCCATCAAAATGTCCGTCAACAACAAGATTTTGCGCACCGCTAACGCGCCCACTACCGCCCCCGATGAGACTGAAACCAGCGTCGCTCAAGCTTTGATTGACCTCGAGAACAACGTCCCCGAACTCAAGACTGAGCTACGTGCCTTGCAGATTTCTGCAGCCCGTGAAGTTGATGTGCGAGGTGGCAAGAAGGCCATCGTCGTATTTGTGCCTGTCCCACAATTGAAGGCGTTCCGCAAGGTCCAGCAGAGGTGCGTAGGACTCAATATATTCTTACGGGAAAGGCAGCGATAGTGACACGCATTTCGCACCGTTAGACTCACCCGAGAGTTGGAGAAGAAGTTCTCAGACCGACATGTTGTATTCGTTGCTCAGCGCCGGATGCTCAGCAAACCTACCCGTAACTCGCGCGTGAAGCAGAAGAGGCCTCGTTCTCGCACTCTCACCCACGTCCACGAGAAGATCCTTGAGGATCTCGTGTTCCCTACGGAGATTGTTGGCAAGAGGACTCGGGTAGCGGTCGACGGATCCAAGCTGTTGAAAGTGTATGTGCTATGTGACAATATGACCCGATCACCGATTGAATATTATTTCTAGGATCCTCGACTCGAAAGATGCTACGTCACTCGAGTACAAGCTTGATTCGTTCTCGTCTGTGTACCGCCGCCTGACAGGGAAGGATGTGGTGTTCGAGTTCCCACCTGTGGTCCAGGAGTAGAGGATACAGAGCTGGCACGGCTTTTCATGACATGTCACCCCTTACTGCATTTCACCAAAATATATGGCCATGCCCGTTATGTGCTACTCTGAGGAGGTGCCATGAGTTGCTGTGAATTTGAATTTATGAGCAGGGCTGCTGCTGTGCCCGATGTAAGACTAAGACGCCCAGCACGATGACGAATGTTTCAGAGAGTAGCTAGCGGCAGCTGAGGCACCGATATGTTTTTGTGTGGCTCACCCGCCCATTCTGCTGAGCCGAGTGATTTCGGCACGTGCGTTCCGCTGACTGCCAGGTTCCGATTTGACGGTTCAGTTGGATTCAGTTCTCTTCTTGCTCTCTGCATTCTTCCGTCTTTCTTTCTCCCTCCTCCCCGCCCTTGCGGCATCCGTGCGCGCCTTCAAAGGTTCACTGATGGCGGATTATCCACGCATGGACCCATACAAAAGGTTTAGATACGAACAAGGGATCGATGCCAAAATAGTTGTCATGGGTAATACAGGTTTGTATCCTCACTATATTTCACTTCAACACGTCTTTTCTTCTTCTTTTCTTCATCTCGTGTCTTTCCATCTTATCCGTATCTTACTTACTGGTTTGTTCGCTCAGGTGTTGGCAAGACCAGCCTGCTACATCGGTACACTCAGAACAAGTTCGATCCCAAGAATACTACTTCTACGACTGGTGCTTTCTTTGTCACCAAGAAAGTGTATGTTGACGGTCTCAAGGTCAGGCTCCAGCTGTGGGACACTGCAGGCCAGGAGAGGTTTCGAAGTATGGTGCGTAACCATCGTCAGATGCCACTGCAGTTGATGCGAGCAACGGACTAATTTTACCATAGGCACCTATGTATTATCGAGGAGCCAACGCGGCTCTTCTCTTGTATGATATAACGAATGCTTCTACGTTTGATGATGTCCGGGGTTGGCTTGAAGGTTCGTCACGCAATACCAGCACTCAAGACATCATCTCATTAAATAATTTGTTCATTTACCTTTAGAATTGAAGAAAAATTGTCCGCCTGAGCTTATCATTTATATTGTGGGGTCGAAAGCAGACCTGCACAACCATCGACAGGTCACCTCTGATCTTGCCCGTCTATCTCTACACACTTGGTTCCCCCCTCCACGACCCCCAACACCACCACCAGTCCCACCACCTCAGCAGTCAACATTATCATACATTCGCCCGAGGTTCACGTCATTTACTAGTATCCGCTCCGTTCCACTCAGTGCTCCCACAAAGTCTTCACCACCTAACAGTGCCTCTTATCTCGATCCAGCAGTAAGCCGTTCATCGGCTTTGCAGCGCAGTAACACAGGACCGGGTCTCCCTCGGTCAAGGACGACTGGTGGGGTTAGTCTCAATCGAGCCAAGACAACGACCGAGGGGACTCGGTCTACACAGTCACGATTCGGTTCACATTTCGGGATACAAACAGGGGTGTGGAACGAAGTCGTCGAAACAAGTAGTAATAGCAATAATGATGACGAAGATATTGAAGAAGAGGAACCAGAGGAGTGGGGTCTTCACAAGGGCATGGAACTTTTTGAAGTTTCGGCTAAAGATGATCTAGGTGGGTATTCTTGGCTTGTCTTGTGACCTCACATCTAACTCTTCTGATCCGCTAGGAATACAAACTCTTTTTGACTCCCTGATTTGCTCAATTATCGAGAGGAAGGACACTATCGAGCGAGAGAACGAATTAAAGAAACGAGATAGCGTTTTCTTATCATCCGTCAGCACACCAACGTGGGCCGCACAAGCTGAAGAAGAAGAAGCGCGAGAGAAAGCACATTCGCGGGGGGGAGGATGGAGCTGCTGTTCATCGTAACGGCGCGGGCCGCCCGATTCTTCCTCATACTTGCTATCTCGCTTATCCCCCCTATCTGGCTCTCGTTGGCTTCGCTGGCTTTAACCTACCTTTTTGGCCCAAGCTCCTGTTTCAATGATCTCTCATTTCGCTTGTCCTTCCCCACCCCCTGATGCTATGTTTATGCGTCCATGTCATGCCTTCCCTTCGAGGATTTCTGTTGTCCACCTTTTCTTCTTTCCCCTTACTTTTATTCACTTCTGAATTATCTCCTTATACCATATATACTATTACGCTAGGAATGTGCATGTGTTCATAGTCAATGCAATCTTGTTCAAAATGTATTATCTTTTAAGTAAAGCCTATAATAAGCACATTGATCCGTGGAATAGGTGTGATGAATGATGAAATCTGCCGCATTAGACTGATTAGTGCTCCTTGGGCTAAGTCGCAGTCTCAGAAAGGGAGCCCCCCACTTTTCATTCTCCCACCTTGTCCACTATGTCCCTCCTTGGCCCCAACCCTGCTGAAGGAGGTCCATACGACGAGGACACTCTTGTCTGCAAGCCTGATCACTGTTTTCATGCTTTCGACACCTTGTATTGTGCACTCACCCATAAGAAGCCCATTCCTGCCAAGTTTCCCGATGATAAATAGTGTGCACTCAATCTTTATCGATATCGTATATACTGATTCTATGAACGTAGTCCTCTGTTTGTGACATGGAACACTAGATCAAGCCGCCCTGGACGGGCTCCACGACTGAGAGGGTGCATTGGGAGCTTTGAGGCGCTTACACTGAGAGAAGGGCTGGCAGAGTATGCGTTGATCAGTGCATTTAGAGACTCCCGCTTTCGAAAGATTGATTTGAAAGAGCTTGATAGTCTCGAATGCGGGCGAGTATTTTTTGCGATGTGCAGTTATCCAATTTCTGATAATAACTCTGCTATAGGATATCTCTATTGACAGACTTTGAGGATGCTGCTTCTTATTTGGACTGGACAGTGGGCGTTCATGGAATATATATATCCTTCCCCAATCCTTCGATATACCCAACCTCGACTCAGTCATCCAATACACCATCTCCTCTATCCTCTTCCCCTTATCTCCCTCGCCTCACGTCCAAACACACACTCAACGCCACTTATCTACCCGATGTCATGCCAGAACAGGGCTGGGACAAGATCGAAGCAGTCGATAGCGCTATACAGAAAGCAGGATGGAATGGTATGATCACAGAGGATATTCGTAGAAGTATCACATTAAGGAGGTATCAGAGCAGGAAGTGCGTGGTAGGCTGGACCGACTACGTCGAATGGAGGAAACAACAGAACGGCGGTGACATGTAAAAGCGTCAATGGACATTTAAATCATTCCAAAGTATACAGAAATTAGCAAGAAATATGTACTTCTAAGATGTAGCCGAATAGACCTCTCTTGTATTTATGATTTGCTGTCGCCACCTTGGGCATAGATCTTCTGCCTCAATCTTTCCAAACGACCTCCCCATCCACCCCCGAATTTCTTCTCCAGCTGTGACCAGATCTTTCGCAGCTTTCCTGGATCGTCTCCGCTAACTTTACCAAAAGCTATCATGATCCAGTATATGACCCTTTCGCTCGGTTGGCTATCTGCAGGTAAATCCAAAAAGGTCTTGAATATTACATGCAGATTATTCAAGTCCCATAATTCCGAAGAAGTAGAATCCCCAAATGATCCCAACCTAAAAGCCAGTGTCGGAGGAGTTTTTCGAAGGCAAGGCTTACGACCATGACGGACAAAGCCAATGAAAATACCGCGGAAAGCAGCCAGAGTAGGTCTGTACAGCTGAGGCTGTCCTGATTCTTCACTAAACACGGCATTTGGTTCAAGATTCGGAGAGGAAAGCATATCTACAAAGACCTGCAATGCACGCATCAAGTCTCCGTGATATGCAAGGGATTGGATCATTGCCGTGTATGTGATCTCGTCAGGTATTACGTCCTTTGGGACGATGATGCCCTCGACATCATAGAGGTAGTTGATGGCTTCATCAATGTCATGCTCTCCTGCGTTAACTTCTGGGACGAAGTTGTTGCGAAGGACACGATAGATCGTTGATGCAACGTCTATTTGACGGTTCTGTGCATATGCCCATATACAAGCGTTTATGCCGTCCAGACCAATCGGTAAACCTTGCTCCCTCATTTTCAGGAGAGTTGAACGGACACCTGATAGCTGATTAGTCCGTGAAAAGTATCCGAGTAACGAGAGATGTGTGATTCGATTCGGAGGTAGCCCTGAAGAGCTCAGAAGTGAAGAGGCGTGCCTAATAGCGGCGGGTTGTAAAGAACGACCAGCAATGTAGAGCAAGGTGGTATAGCTAACAATGTCGGGGTTTAGAGGATCCTTTTGAGTACAGTCATCCGAGTTGTCCTCCACAGTAGAGGAATCTGTGGAGTGCGCGTTCACCATGCTATTGAAGATGTCTAACGCGGCTTTGTAATCTTCCAAGCTCGTTGTCCGCCATCCCTTTCCTGCACAATCTATCAAAGCGTTCCATTCCCAGAGATGAATGGCTCCGCCTGTGTTTCGGAGTGTGGTAAGTACTGACGAGAGTTGCAAGAAGAGAGTACGCGTTCGTGGTTTGGTTGATGCGAGGAGACGCGCCAGACGATGGAGGTGAGTGTATGGAATTACGAATTTTGCGTGCTCGTGCGAATTTTCTGTGGCTACGGGTAGAAGAGATTGGTATGCTTGCCACGATTCTGCAACGGAGTCTGTGCGTGCCATGATACCTAACAGTTCGAATCGAGAGTTCTTCGGTTGCTCTGGATAGATAGCCTCGATAAAAGTATCTGAGAAGTTGGGAAAACCTGAGATCGGTGTGGTGTCCTGGTGATCTTGACTGTCTGAGATGGTGTTGGTGGCGTGGCGAGACGTTACCTCTACGATGCCGTCTATGAAATGCTTGTCTGTTGTGAACGGGAGCGACCCGTCGACTTCTGAAGGGCCTAAAACAGGCTTTATGGAACGATATCGCCTTGTCAAAAGCTTGGGTTCGCTGCCATGCTTCAGGCACACGTTTTCTTCGGAACAAGTGTCGCTCTCCAGAGTGCCATGTTCTTCTCTCAGAAGCTGTACTCCGGTCCTTTGATGACTTAGGCGGGCATGACGAGGCCTTACAATGACATTGGGCTGCACATTGGAGAATAAGAACTGAGCTTGACGAAGCCGACATGGCAAGCGAATGACGGGCGAAAATCTCAGGCCTGCAGTGGACCCAGCTATCATGAATTTCCAATGCAGTCATCCTGGTCAAAAATCAGACGACATCTTTTGGTATAAATCATTATGGAGACGTACCGCGACCTGCACTGATCAAAGGATATTCAACGACGCAAGTATAACTTGAAAAGCTTTTACCAGCGGTAAGCTCAGCACGGCAAGAGCCTACGCCACCGATGTGGCTCACTTTTTTCGGCTGGCATTTTATTTGCTCACGGTAATTTTACTCAAAAGTCGTTGTAGCAGGTGTTGTAACAGAATTTACAGTTACACTTTGATACTTAATACACAAAAAATCGGGCGCATGCGAGACTGGTGGCATTGACAGTACTAAAGCATAGCATGCAAAAAAAGTATGGAAAACATGATGCCTAGGTAGTGGGTAGTAGATAACGTGCTTAATCTCGGGCCTTGAGCGTTCCCAAAAACGCGGCCTTTTCTTCGAATGTTTGGAAGGAACCGTGCTGCAATCAAACAATGCAATTAAACACGAGAATGAATCTTGTAGAGGACAGCCACTTACACCGAATTTCGACGAGGTATCGATGAATTTGAGTTGCACCTTCTCAAGGTCACGACGCGATGTGTGGACCATAAGCGATTTACGGAGAGTGATGACACGCTTCTTAGTTCCAGGGATAGAACCCTTCAACATCAGGTAGTCGTTCTTCACAATACCGTAGTGAGGGAAGCCACCCATCGGCGTGATAGCCTTCTTCGTAATGTCGGATTCGGTTGAGGCATTACCATCATCCGTTCCAGCGCCAATACGGTAGATCTTCTTGTTCAGCTCCGTACGGTGGTGGTAACCGTCTTTTGAAAAAATGTCAGTGGCTGAAGAACAGACAGTGTGCGATATCACATACTTTGACCAGCACGAGCAACTGAGAACATGACCTTCGAAGGATGCCAAGCACCAATACAGGCAACTTTACGGAGACCCTTGTGCGTCTTTCGTGGTAGCTTTTTGGTACCCCAACGGTGAGTGACACCCTCGAATCCGTGACCCTTCGTAACGGCAATAACATCGATATTCTCATCCTGCTCAAACACACTGGTAACCTCGACAGGCTTCTCGAACAGGTTGTGCGAAAATTCGACTTTGTCTGCAATCGAACCACCGTTCACCTGGATCTCCATCAGGTGTGCCTTCTTCTGACTGAGACCAGTCTTGCGAATTTGAGTGTGAGCAAGGACACGGACAACAGTGCAGTATTTGCGGATACGCTCGAGTTCACGGGCAGTGGACTTGCCATTATCCTCAGCGTGCTTCTTGGCGTAACGAGTGAATGCCTTCTTCTTCGAGCGGTACCAGTTCTTGTAGAAGCGACGTTTGACCTCGTCCGACAAGTGCGATGCCCAGACAGTTGTAAGGGTGCGGAGTCCACGGGGAGTCTCAACGTAGCCAACAACACCAACAACGATCAAAGGAGGCGTTTCTACGATTGTGACAGCCTCGACAACCTCACGCTTGTGCATCTCTGTAGGTTTTGATCAGCTGTGTTACTCTACACATAGAACACAACACGTACTGGATCCTGGACGGTCAAGATCACGAACAACATGCGTCATACCAGCCTTGTAACCCATCGTAGCAGTCAAGTGAACGGGCTTCTTAGGGTCATCCTGTCCAACAAATTCGTGCTTAGATCCACTTCACATGAAGGACACAATGCTTCTTACCCTAGGGAAAGACTTGACTTTTCCACGGTGGCGGGCAGCACGTTTACGGGGAAGGAAACCAAGAGAGCCGTGTCTTGGAGCTTCGTACTAAGATAAAAGGTAAATATCGAGGAGACAGCTTCAGCGAAAGCGTATATTTACACACCTTACGGTGACTAGAATACAGATACAAAAGTCAGTCTATCATTCCAAGTTGCTCAGCATTACCGACGACGGTACACACCTCATTTTGCTGAAATCTTGAGGACGTTGACGAGAATGCAAGACTTTTGCACGGTATGATTGAGATGGGAGTTGCCGAGCGGTGGCTGAGAGCGCTGTACAGTTCTCGACTTAGGTAATCGAGGACTGACTTCAGGGTTAGGAGTAATTCGTGTAGAAAGCTCCGACGTTTGTATTTGCTCTGCAACCTTGTAACTGTCCTTTCTAGCCTCAGCACTCGTTACAGCGACACAATTTGCAAGCTATAGGACGAACATTGTCGGATACTTGTACAAAAATATTAATCACAACATGAATCGAAGAAACCGACGGAACTAGGATTTGATAATTTTGAACTTTTCCCCTCCGGCTAGTATGTCCTCAGCCTCGCTTTCAATCCTCCTTAATAGTTCCTCGCAACTTGGGATATCATGGATCAATCCTAATGATAGGCCTGCTGCCCATATACCGTGATCTGGATCGCCATTCTCGTAAACCAGTCTCCCTCTCGCTCCTGCTACAAGAGGACGTAGTTCTTCGAATTGGGCACCTCCAGGACGACTTTCCAATGCAACCACCTCCTTCGAGATTTTGTTCTTGAATACACGTGTCTTGTTATTTAAAGTCTTGAAAATATGAACTGTGTCTGTTTCATTTGATTGGACCATTTTTTCTTTGATGCTTTGATGAATCGTGCTATGTATTGAAAAGCCATTTCAGCAGATTTCTCCAACGATTGCAACTCAGCTGTTCTTCACCTCTCCTTGGTACACATGATTCGTGTGCCTGTTAGGCGTGTCATCTACAAGTTCGTTATCTTATCGAAGTCTCCGACTTACCCATATTCACGCCCTGAGTGTGACTCAATCGTGAGTGGAAAAGAAGACGAACAATACAAAATCCACTCACTGAAGCACCTAAAGCCAGTGCGCCGGCAAGCCCTCTTCCGTCAGCCAGGCCTCCAGATGCAACGAATGGAACTTTCAACTCTTTCGCGGCCAGTGGGAGCTGGAAACAAGTTGCGTTAATAGCACATTCTAAAACAAGGGTAGGTCATACCAATACTATTCCCCCAATTTCTTCTTCCCAGGAGAATCCGACACCTGCAATTACTAGTGTCAGCCCACCATTCGAATATGACATGAGAGGACCGTGCACATTCATTGGCATCCAGCGTAATCACGTCTGCACCATGCCCAATTGCTGTCTGGGTAGGATCACTTAGCGGAGTTCCCAAATGAGCACATAATCTAACCTTGGTGTCTTCAATATTGACACCCTTGTACAAGACGATACAACCCTCTGATTTGAAATATGCAATCAAGCTGCTGGCTGCATCTGAAGTATCAAAATGGTCAGCACTACAACAAATGCCAATCTGTGTAGCAGCGAAGTAGATGCTAACTGACTTATATCTCCAGCAGTCTCAAAGATACGCACTCCCTCGTCAATAGCTGCCTTGGCATAGCCTTGGTAGTCTGGAGGATTTATGGCAGGTAGCGTGGTGATGTTGACAGAGAATGGTTTAGAGGTAATATGCCTCATCTCACGAATAGCAGTGCGAAGAGCATCTGGATTGGGTTGGCTTAGAGCCGTTATATTGCCTGTGGCCGGTTTGGTACGGTGGTATGAATGAGAGTCAGAAAGGACTGACCAAGGCCACCTGCATTCGAGATGGCCGCAGCTAGTGGAGGAACCCCGACCCTATCAGTGAGTGTGGATTATCTCACTGGTGAAGGAAATGACATCGGTAGGTGATAGGAACATACCACTGCATAGCAGCCATGATGACGGGTCTGCATAGTGCCATGTAGGTTGAGTCGGTGCGTGGTTTGTCACAGTATCGTTACTCACGCTCGAATATTCAGAACATCCGTCAATGGCGTCTGGATAACCCTGCTGGGAGCACTAACGGAGAAACGCTTCGGGGTGGTGAAGCCATGTGCGTTATTCCAAGGTATGACGATACGCTGCGCCGAAAGAGGCCTACAAATAACGGTGTGCATGGATGGTGAGGGATGTTGCAATCAAACCAGCCGCATTATGAAGACCACCAGAAACGAACATGTACTACTAGCAGCGGCGGAGGGTCGTAAGGGGAGTGCCTAAAGCAGACTAAATCGAAGTCAAGATGACGGCACTCAGACTTGATTTGATGGCCAGTTTCGAGATATCTTTCAAATCTGACTGCGTTGACAATTGTGATCACAACAGAGCCGCAGTGCTAACGGCACGGATCATTGCTCGAAGCATTGGTTGACTCTATTCGACGTCAAGCTAGTACTAGTAGGGTCTTCCTGTCTGTCATGGCATGCATTGCCGTTGTCCCCATAAGTAACCTCCTATTTCCTCAACCAACTAACGTTAGTCTGGGACTTTGCATTCAGAATTATTGTGAATTTAAAGGGCTCGATGCTAACCATAAATCTTCGAAGAGATATTCAGCATCCGAACAGCCCATTCATTGATGCTCATTAAGGATGCGGCATCTCTAGGTTACGTTGGTATCGGTCCCGTTGGTGTCACTGTCAGCATAATAGCTGAAGTGTGATCCCCTGGTAGAAAGTGTGATGCGGCAACTCAATAAAGCTCGTGAACCTGTATTGCGATCTCTGAGTGGAGGCGTTGTAAGCTGCACATGGGCTCCACACTCTCCACGCTAACTTCGCGGCGGGAAAGGTTGTCCTTCAAGTTAGTCTGCCCTAGGCATACCAGATCAACAATAGCTAGCAATATATCCATTTTTATTCCTTATATTTATTATACATCTGATAACATACATATCTTAAGTCTCGTGACCAGAGCTAGGACGGAATGCGTCCGAGTTTGACTGCTTCCCAAAACGTCTGGGTTCGAGACTAACATATCTTCGGCTTTCTTCCTTTTCCCCCTCACCTCTCCCAGATTAGAAAAGGTATCGACCAGGCAGCGTCCGAACAGATCGCGACTCGGATGACGGCAACATTATAATATCATATGAAAGAATCTGCAGCATGTATACCCGCGTATCTGTCTTAACCCGAATGAAGTTAGTATGGGACAATGCACTCAAGCACCTTTCAACTAACCATTCCTATCTTTACTATGTTGTTGATATGGGGGAAGGCACGAGGCAGAATTTACGACCTAAATAACTATAAAGATTGAGTAATGTAGGTTACTTGTTTTACGAAGTCCCTTTCTACCAAAGAGTTCCTGACGCCGAGTCGCAGACATGATTTCGACATTTATTAGAGTCGCCGCAAAGGTTCCCAGCCGTCGTGTTGCTAGCGTATTTCCATTATATGGTTCAAACTTGACTTTGCAGTTCTCACCGCGACAGTTCTCGTCTGCCCATGCTGCTTATACCCAGCAGCTCAAAATGAAGTCTAAACATCCGGGCCCACTTGGTGTGGCCGCAGTTGTCAAGGCCTCCAAGGATCCCTCCTTTACCCCACGACCAAGTATTTGGGATGAATTTTCTATCCCCGATCGTGTAGCCATTGTCACCGGTGGAAACCGTAACATTGGCCTGGAAATGGCATTGGTGCTGAGCGAGATAGGTGCAAGGGCCGTCTACTGCATCGACCTTCCGGGGCAGCCATCTGACGAGTTCAAACTCACGAAAGACTATGTGGCTAAATTCGGCGGGCGTTTGGAGTACGTTTCTGCGGATGTAACCAATCAAGTGGAGATATGGGACAAAATCAATAAGATAGGGGACGATGAAGGCCGAATAGACGCCTGTATCGCTGGGGCAGGTGTCTTGGGTAGAGAGGTGGACTGCTTAGATTATTCCGCAAAGGCGTTAGAGGAGGTAAAATGCTAATTTATACTATTTGATATGTTACGTCGATGTCGATGACTGGATCTTATAGGTCATGAGTGTGAATGTCAATGGCGCTCTGTTTACGGCGCAGGCTGCTGGTAAACAGATGATTCGTAAGTGGATCTCCCTCTCCCCCCGTAAATTTTCGTTCATCGTAATGATATAATCCAGGTTTCGGGTTACCTGGTAGTATCATCATCAACGCGTCTATTGCAGGTACAACTACAATAAAGGTCAGTTTCTATTGGTTAGACTCGGGCTTGTATAACTGGTGGCTAAACCCCTTATCTTCAGGGTCGCCAATGGGTGGGCTACAACACTAGTAAATCTGCCGTTCTGCAAATGGCGCGGAGTATGGCCTGTGAGCTTGGCCATTTGGGCGTACGTGTCAATACACTTTCAGCGGGACACATACGGACAACGTACGGGTGTTGCTTTTTGTTGTTTGGAAGAAATCTTAACTAACGAACAAGGATTACTTCAGCTTGTTCAGCGACGTAGTTGAACCGGATTCGCAAGTATTCCAAGAATGGGCTGGTCGTAATCCATTGGGTCGTCTTGGTAGGCTTGATGAGATGCGTGGGGTAACCGCATGGTTAGCAAGTGATGCCTCGACTTTCTGCACAGGTAGCGAGTATGTTCTCATTTCATTATCAATATCAATATCTCGTGTACGAGCTCATTACGTCTGTTTCCTCCCTAGTATTGTTGTTTCTGGTGGTTACACCATCTGGTGATGAAGAGCGGTGTTCAAGAACAAAAACTCGAGAAGAGCTAGTGTATCATATTGAGAGCCTTGATAGTTATGAAGAATTTTGCAAACGAACTTCCAATTAGCAGCGATGCTACGCACATTCTGTACACTCATGTAATACATTATTTCAGTAGGAGATTTATCGCACGCAGTTATTTAGTGCCAAATTGGATCCAGAGTTGAATGCATTCCTCCCAGTAGGACTCAGCCTTAATCAACAAGATATTGAACATCATCTCAGTCTCTTGAATTAGGTCAGCAGCTGAAGACTAGGACTCAGCTGCGAATGCGTTGGAGCGAAGCAAAAAAAACTGTAACGGTGGAAATTATCCAACAAACGGAGCTAAAATTACATTTCGATACTGTACACTGTTTACAGCAAGCATCGTACATTAGTTGATAACTTGGTGATTTGATCAATCCAATCAAATGAGGTCGCTTTCCACCTCAGCCATTCTTACCCACAGCCCACCCTGTGAAGAACGCAGCAGTTAGCGTCAGAAGGGACTCGATACACGACAAAGACAGATAGCCTCCTTAGATCAGGGATTAGGAGACTTACATGAGCATACATCGTAAGATGCATCTTGGGGTAGAACTTCTCAGTCGCTTTGCGGCCTTCGCTTTGGGCCCAGGCTACTGGTGGGCGGGTCTCGGGAGATTGTGCCTCAGGGGCGAGCTCCATTGAAGAGAAGTTCTGTAGTAGGCGGATGAGCATGAACGACATCTCATTGTATGCGAACTAGGTCAAATGTATGTTAAATCAGAGTGCCGCGGCAGAATGGTGCACGCACCTGTTGTCCAAGGCAAATACGAGGTCCCGCATTGAAGGGGAGGAAGATAAACGGTCTGTGAGTCAAGTATTTGTGTAACCTCTCATCGAGGAAGCGGTCGGGATCAAACTCCTCAGCTGTGTTCGTACAAGAGGATGAGCATCAAGTGAACTAGGGACACTTGCGCGCATGCTCACCATCTGATCCCCATAGGTCTTTCCTGCGGTGCATCAGGAAGACAGAATAGGATACACTAACGATGTAGGATTAAATGGATGTAAAACATTGATGGAAAATGACAGCGTACCTTGTCTTTCCAGGAATATATAGTGGTCTCTGAGTGGGATCTGTGGAAGGCCAGATAGTGGAATTGACACTTTCACTAAATAATCAAATAAAAAGATGTCGAATAACCAGAAACAGATCCTTCAAGTCGTTACATACCGAACGTTGAAAGGACTTGATATATTTTCCGTCGATGAGATTAAGCTAGGTGACACGAGTAAGCAACACTCACACAGCAGGAAAAAGTCTCAGCGTCTCTAAATGTCCGGGGAAAAAATTAAAATCGTGAACAAAGATTAACAATGCAAGCAAGGGGTATACCATTGATAACTGCGCGGAGGTACTTCATCTCGCGGATATTGTCATAGGTAGGTCGGTCAGTCGGACCAATTTTCGTTATGACTTCCTCTTGAAGACGTTTGAAGACGTGCGGGTGCGTAGAAAGAAGGTAGATGACGAAAGTGAGAGTGGACGCAGTCTATGTTCAAGAGACAGGCAAGATGAAGGCACTGAACAGCTAGGCTATACATGAAAAACGCACGGTATCTCGGCCAGCAATCATGATATTTAAAATCTCGTCCCTGAGGACTACGGGGTCTACGACACATCAGTTATATAGTATAACAAGTTACTAAGGAATAGAAAGACAGTACCAGTTGTCAAACGGACTAAATGATCAAGCAAAGTGTCATCATCAGACAACTCTTCAGTCTTCTCACCGGACAATGAAGCCGCCTTGCGCTTTTCAATAGCCTCCTTCAGTATCGGTTCGATATAAGCGTTGACAATGTTCATAGGCTCTTCAGTTTTATCTTTGAAGAACTCAAACAGGGGCCAGACCCATCCTTTACGAGGGCGTTGTGAGATGATATACTGCGCCTGCCCAAATGCTTGAGCAAAGTCCTCCGCTGTCTTCGCCTTGCCACTAGGTGCCTCGGAAGACGTGACGTTATAAGGATAGGGAAGCCCGGCAGAAAGGCTGTGCACGCAGCTTCCAAATAGGAACTCTGTAGCAGAATCAAGTGTAAAACGGGAAATGACATCCTACAAAATGGAAAATAAATATTAATGTCGATAAAAGCAAGAACACAATACCTGAAAGTCGACTGGGTATCCGGCGCGCAGGCGCAACTTCATTTGTTTAATTGCATCTTCACCATGCCGGTCAAATATGTTGAAGTGACTGATCCTGTCGTGACTGAAGAACGGCCGGGTCATAGAGCGATGGAACTTCCACATATCGCCTATATGGACATTTAAATCTACACCGATGCTTGAACTTCACGGCGCCTACCATCCGAGTTAAAGACACCAGTTCCGAGGACTCTCAGCATCGTGGATCTGAACTTCTCGCCTTCAAGTTGCCCATGATGAATTGGTCAAAAGAAACACCCAATGTAACTATACACGAATCACCAACCTTTTACGTAGTTTTCAAAATCGCTAGCCAGTATGGCCTAGGAAATTTAATCCTTTGAATTTGATAAAGTATGAAAAAAAAATCGCACTTTGATATGATTGGGCTCGATTGTGAACATATTATCCTCAAACATCACTCGGAAGTTGAAAGTTGGCCCAAGGTTAGCAGCTGTCTCAGCGATTCCATCACCTAATTTGAAAGATCAGTAACGTCAATCTTAAGTCTCTTGATGATCCGAGTCACAAGACAATACCTGGATATCCGGTTCTGAAAAATTCAAGCAGTTTCAACATAAGATCGATGTTGCCGATGTACTCCCCCTGCATGCAGGGGACCGTGCGAGCACCCATGGAAGCCACTTTACGGCGGAGGAGAAACTGGGAAAGCTGAACATGTAGAATGAGACCAACTGGCAAGCCGATGCCTAGACCAGATACCAACAGCCAGGTTGGAATGGTGACACCAAAGTCTGAGGCGATGTGAACCAACAATGCTACACCAAAGCAGAGGCCAGCGACGACAAAGAAGATACGGCCTAAGAAGACAATCCCTGGTGCATTCAAGGCCATAGTATTGACGAGCTAGGAAGGCTGAAACTTGGGGCTTAGAGAGATGATCAGAGCGATTGCCAATAACAGCGAAACCCTCACACCTTTACATATGTTTTCCATCGGCTCCAATGCGTGTTTTTGCTCCGACGTCATATCCGTGTTTCTGTCAGCCACATACCTAGGAATATGTCCTCATTTCAGGTCTATTACGGGTGCAGAGCGGCGACAGTAGGATCATATGAGCAGTGCTGACTAACAATTCCTGTCTTTTCAGCGTTTAATGGCGGACTCTGCATCTAAGCCAGGCGACCCATGTCTGATGATTGTTGGAGGGATTATCATGATAGCTGCTGTACAAAGACCAACAGAGTCTCCAAAAAGTCATCCAAACATGAGCTCCTTCGCCAAGCTGGTACTAATCCAATCCATGGACTTTTCCCAGCCCCTATGGACATATTCAACCCCTTGCTCGATACATTCCCGAGTCTCAGCCTCGCTTGACCACCCCAATATCTTCGTGAACATAATCCAATGGGCACCCATCCCCAGCACGACCCTAGATAGGTCTACTTTCGCCAAGCTAGCGTATGTCTTGAGGTAGGTCCGTCGGAAAACATCGCCGATAGATGGATTTTTGAATCGAGAAATCAAGAAACAGTCCCCAGCAACTGTAACAATGTCTGACGCAGGTGAACCATATCTGCACATGTCCCAGTCGATGACCCACACCCTTTTCAAAACTTTACTCCCGTCAGTATTGTCCTGGATGTCGACCAATATATTGCCAAGCCAAAAGTCTCCCATGATAAGCGTTTCTTCGCTGGTCAGTGCTTCCTCCGTCAACATATTCACCACCGTCTGTAGTAATGGGTCGGTGACACCATACTCCGCTGCTAAAGGGATTATGCTTCCATACTCCACACTGCTGTATGCCTTTCTAGCTGGAATATTTTTCGATAATCTGAGACGTGCGACATCATTGTCACGACCCCAATGGTGGAGACTAGCGATAAACTCTGCCAATCTAATGGCGATGGTATTGGCGATGTCGACAGGAGGAGGAGGTTGGGAAGATAGGTAATCCTGAAGTGTAGGGATCTTGCCGGCGTCGTCCATTAGTAAAACATGATAGTTGGCATCATAATGGAAGACAGTAGGGACAGTGACGAGACCATCTCCATCCAGTAGTCCACTTTCTGCAACCACCTTGAGAGCTTGATACTCGAACGTCTGTAAAGAGATGAGTGCAACCGAAGAAATCGATACGACATAAGACAAACCTGCCGTTCAACGTCAACCTCCGTGTTCTTGTCACTAGCAGCGTAGCCTTCCGCATGCTTAAGTATAAGACTCGTGTGTCCTTGGTACGGAGTGTTGAGCTTCACGCGCCATACAAAGTTGCGATAACCGCCACTTAAGATATGAACGTCTTCAACATCAAACGTCGTATGTTCCTTCAGATACGCGCTGGTGCCATCTGCTGTGGTAAGATCGATTGCCATCACGATAATCGAGGTACAGTAGTCGCGAGTCACGATATGGATGGTAATAGTCGAGATGCACTGTGGTATAGATAGGAAGATAATGATTTACTTTCATAAGAGTCCTTATCGCACGAGTAACATCCATTTTGGACAACATGCCAAGCATGGTATAGCCAAAGTAGAAAGGAGCGTCTGCCTCTATACGTAGTATACGGAGGCGAATGGGACCCGCTGTAGCTGGCACCTTCCATAAACGCGCTATAGTCACGTGCGACTATTGTAACACCTCCCCCACGGTCACGGTCGCATATACGTTCAAGTTGAAGGATTCTCGACAAACCACCTTGGACAGTAACGACAGACACGCTGGGCAAAGGCCCAAATCGACATGGCTGAAACATCAGCCCCATCATCACCACTTTTATCTGCAATAAAACGTGCCCCCGTCACGTATGGGAGTCGCAAAAGACTTGTGCAAGTAGATGACCCAGATTCTTCGATGACCCTCGCCGGTCAGAGCCCAACATCACGCGAAGAGACAACAGGATTGGCATATGAGGGTGCCAACCATGGTCCTTTTTTGCATACTGACGTGTCGTCTGCGTCTCAGTCGTCAAACATGACGTGTGCAGCTGACGACGAGGATGAGGACACTTCCGGGTCTTTCCAATTCAGTTGGAAGCAGAGAATGAAGGAAATGGACGAGGAAAGTGACGACGATGATCATAACGCGCAGAAAATTGTGGACACTACTGCTATTTCAAATCTGGAAGTACAGAAGGCACCATCTCCCTTTGTCAATCGTGAAAGCGTGGATACAGCGCCTCCTTCTCCTAGAGGTGCCGAGTTGACACCCGACGGTTTCTTTGGTGGCTCTTTATCAACTCTTACCAGTTCTCTACCAGATTCATCCTTTACAGAATCTTTCGATGAATTTCCTGTTGCGCCACCGCGGTACAGAGGGAATAGAATACAAATTTCCGATCGTGAACCTGACGAAGTTGGTGCTTCCTCCAGTGCATCACCGACAAAATTCCCTATTACCACACCTCGGAGAGACTCTCTGTCCAGTCCACCGACTTCTGAGGTTGACATGCCTTCCCGGATTATAAAGATTGACAAAGGGAAGGGTAAAGCACCTGTACGCGATGTTGCGCCTCTTCAATTTGATGACGAACTCGTTTCATCCGCTGTTGCTTTGTCAAAGGACCATAAGGGAAAACGTAAAGAGCAAAATCGCTCCAGGATTAAGGCACGCTTCGTCCTCATCGTATTTTGTGTCAAAACTGGCTGCTAATATAATATTTGAAGGCACCGACGAAAAAAGATAGGCGAGAAACTGCCTTCGAGAAGACTCGCATTCAAGCGAGCAGAGCAGTTGAGGTACAACGTACCGAGGATCGCAACAGGTATACGTTGACGAGAATTTTCCACCGCGTAAAGTAAGTCAAGTTATGTACGTGCTACGGTATTCGTTCAAACATGTCGAAAACAGGAATGACGGGGCCTTAACAATCCCAACGCAGTCGCTACCATCCTCAGATCCTATTTTGCCGTTTTCTTCCTCGCCAGGTGCTGAAAGCGCTCAAGATGTAACGTGCAATGCCATTCATTTTGGTGCTCCCGCGGGCCTTCTCGACCCATCACCCCAACTTCCGAGTTTATTGTCAGGAAAGGAAGACATTCGTGCTGAGCACGATGCAACTATGCTCACTGTCGTAGCGCCAATCCATTCTGACGATGAAGAATTACCGAACCTGGGAGAGATGCTTGTTAAACAATCACCTCCTAGCGATCATACAGGGCGTACACAGTCGTTACATCATATCAAGACGCGGATACTGGAACAGCGTTCGCAGCTACCCATGAGCGCGGATAACAGCGATGACGATCTGGAGGTAGTGCCAAGTGACAAAATGCACGTTGTAGCGGACAAGGAAGCGGCTAAACGCAAATCGGAGAAAGTTCACGGAGGGCCATCAAAGGGGAAAGCACGGCAGTCGCTGTTAGGAAAGTCGATTGACGTGAGCCCTGTCAAGAAGAATAAGCAATCTGTCCCACCCAAAGATTGGATGGGGTTTCTACGAGAATCCGCAAAACCCGCATTCCAAACAAATGCTAAGGCGAAGAAAGCTCAAAACCAGGCAGAGCTGAACCGCTTCATGCTGCACCAAGCCGAACAAGCTAAAATGCGAATTGTCGCGAATAAGGATCGAGAGTGGAAGGAAAACGGTGGTCGGACCCCGGGTGATCATGTCAACTTGGAACAGCAGCATTCTCTGAATGAGAGCTTTACACGCTATGCAGACCAGGGTCTGGAGGCGGCGAATATGGTCGAGCAAACCAATCTCAGCGAGCAAGACAGTGACAGTGAAGATAGTGATGAGGACTATCAGCCGCATATGAGAGGGTCAGGCAGCCCTGAACCAATGGAGAACAGCGATCAGGAAAACCAAGACGTGCCTGAAGATAAAGAATCCAATGAGGACAAAACCGACGAGGAAGATAATGTGGTGGTCCCTCGACATCGAGCTCCTCGTCGATCTGCAGCGCGGGTCGTTGATTCAGACGATGAAAGCGAGAATAGACCGCTGTCCCGAGGACAATCAATGGGTCGCATTCTTGTCCCCGATACATCTTTGATGCAGATTTCCCAGAGTCCTCCACTCGCTCGAAATCACCGGTACTCGATATCTTCTTTGGACGAACAGACTGAGGATGAGAATGATAAAGAAAACGACGACCGTCTAATGTACGACAAGAGTGAAGACAAAGAAAATAAAGCTGTGGTCCGACATTCACCCTTGAATACCAGGTCTCCTCTCGAGAGTAGGCCAGGGTCTCTCTTCGCCTTAGAGGAAGGAGTGAGGAGGAGTCTATCAATGTCATCCTTGGAACCCAACCCCATAGAATCTTCTGGTGGTATTGTCGCACGATCGCCACTGAAAGAACTCTTAAGAGAGGATGAAGATCCATTCTTATCTCCCTCACCATCGAAATCTTCCTTCACTACACGACTGCAGCAAGCTGCAGCTTCCCATGCAAATACTGCTTCGCCGCCACCGCCGACTGCCGTATTACAGCTTGGTCTAGGATCGCCAGCAGCCTTGAAAGATTTTCGCACAAATCGATTTGATTCTTCTCAGTTTCCTGACACGGAAAACGATGAAAGCAGCGTGATCGGCTTTAAGCCGCAGATATTACAGTTTTCTCAGGACGTGAGCCTTAGCCCATCCCTAGCACCTTTGAACCCGCCACAAGGTCGTGGTTTCTCTCAGCTGTTTTCCGAGTCAAAGGTACGGATGACCTGGATTATTGTGACATCTTTTGGTTCATGTTTTCATTATAAATTTTAGGACAATAGTAGTGTTACTTTGCAAAAACCTGGGCTACCGAACGGCTTGAATGACTTATCTTTGACTCTGGATGTTGGGCTTCAGCCTGCGTTGGAAGTCAGCGGTACACTTCGTCGTAGGGCTGATGCCATTTTTGAGAAAGAGCAGGATTATGTTGTCGAATCAGCGAATCAGAAGCCTGGGCAGAAGGAAGTGCTGTATGTGAACGACCACGGGTAAGATCGATAACTTCCCAGGCAATAGCTACTAATATACCTTCTGATTAGCTTCCTCACGCAAACGCGTCCAGAAGCATCGAGTCCAGAAGTTTATCGCCTTGCGACTCCCTCTCAAATTGCTAGGTTGCGCTCTCCCCAATCTCGTGATGTGGCAAGTAGTCGACCTCCGTTACGGACAATTTCGTTTGAAGGCATAACTGACTCACCCGAGCAGTCTCTGCGGCGGTTACGGCGACGTAGTACATCACCTTTGGACACCCGCGGTCGCTCACTTGAACATGACTCAAGCCCCAGTGCTAGCCCAAGGCAGCAGTTACAAAAGTTAAACGCATATGACGTATTGGGCAAACATTCATCCCGTAATGAAAAGCGGAAGAAACTGGAAAAATCAGAGTTTGTTGAAGCAGAGGCAGAAGAGTCGGACGAGGAGCGCACGTTCGGTTTTGGTGGACGGAAGAAAGGGGACGACGATGAAGAAGAAGATGAAGACCAAGATAAGATTCTCGAGGGCCTCGTCGATGACGGGGAAGTAGATGTACAAGAAAAGCTAGTTTTAGAGAAAGTCAGGTGCGTGTCAGGCTGATACGTTATTCTGAAGATTTGTTGAAATCATGTTTTCACGTACGTAGGGAGCATAGGGAGCAAGACGACCGCGATCTTGAAAAGCTTCACCGCGATGCCGTGGAAGGAAAATTCAGAACAAAGCGCCGTAATCGTGACTTTGGGCTGAATGATGATAGTGAAGACGAGGACGAGGACGAACGCGCTCGACGAATCAGAAATAATATGTACAAGAAACGCAAAATTGACGGCGACCATCTTGAGGCTTTAGGTTAGTTGATTACCTCGTTTGTTCTACTTGTTATTTGTTTAACAAACATTTTCACGCAGGTCAGAAGGAGGAAACCCGAGCATTTTATGAGGCATATCAGAAAGACCTCATCGATGATGACGGCCTAGAGTTTCAGCATCTCAAACAAGATACAGAAATGGTGGATGTCGATCAAGAGGACGACGAAGAAGATCAAAAAGAGGTAGTGTCATATGAAGAAATACGCGAACAAGTACAGAGGGTGGCTCAGAACAAAGAGGTGAATTGTCTCTACTTTTTACTATCTTTTGTTAATATTTTGTATGCCTACAGTCTTTGCGTGTGTTGGACCCTGAGGATGCTTCTTGGCTTGACGATATAGATGAAGAGGGTGAACAAAGTTTCAAGGTGGTATCATCCAAACCCACCAAGTCTATTCGGAAGGTAAACGTTGATCCAGCAGATTTCGATGCAGAGGTTTGTCCGATAAGTTTTCTGGAAAAATACATTCCTAACATAGCAGGAACACAATTATTAGCGACCGACACGGAACTTGGAGAGCGAGCAGCATAATGCTAAGATGATCTCGTGGGCGAGAGGTCAACATGGTCGAAATCAAGGAACTGGTCGATCCGCTGTTGGGGCAGCCGTCACCGGACACAGTAAAGCTAAACTGAAAGCAGGTGGAGGTTCTTTACGTACGGCACAATCATCAGCTTCCAGCTCGAACGTTGCTGATGGTAAGGTGAACTCCCGTAAACTCACCAAGAACTCCAGCTTGCTGGCTACTGTGTCTGACAGAAGCAGCAAATTCGCGTAGTGTACGTCTCTGGATGTGTGGCTTATGTCTATTCTGTCGAGTATCTGTAACAACCCCCCATGTTCTGTATGCACAACAATAACACAAGGATCAACCAAAAAAAATAAGTCGCAATGAAAACAAAGAGCTATATGCAAAAGTTGGTTTAGTTTGACCATGAAATAGAATGGGGTATGCTGCTGATAAGGTAATAGAGATAGAGAAGAAAGGTGTTAAATAGCGTGAGGACTGAGTTATCGCGTCAAGAAAAGAAAGAAGTTTTAATGGTGTTGGATTCCAAACTGCTTGCCGAAGCGTATCCACGGGGGACGGTTCATAGTTCTAGGGGGTGGGAGGACAAAATTCCTCGCTGCTTGGCGTGACGGCGTAAGGCTCCTGCGTCTGCGTGTACTAGTTTGCATCTGGGAATGGATTGTTATTTATGTCAAAGAGTTCTTCTCGACAAGGCTTACTTTATGTCTGAGCATGATTAACTTGGCCATACACGCTGGTGGTCCTGTTTCTCTAAACGGATTTCCTGGCAATGACAAATGACTTTAATACATAACGCAAGATTGGATATAAAATAGACTTACGAGATGCAACAAGTGCGATACCAGACTCATGAGCATCAAGAACATCGTCACCAGTCATGATTGACCTTCTGACTGAGGGAGAAAAGAGACAGAGGAGGAGCATGGCAGTCATAAAAGTTACAAAGAACATGTTAAGCATGTTGCTGTACAGCGACGCTGACGACCAGCGAGGCTGTCAGGACCGTGGCACGTCGTGGACGAGAAGGAAGATATGATTTGTTGGGGATCTGTAACGAAATATGCGCCCTAAGCTTCGAAAGGTGGCGCTTACATAAGGTGGTGATAGTGTTCAGTCACGCGATGATCAACTACTCTACTCGGCTCCCTGGGACTCCCCGGCCCTCCGGATATCGATGTGAAGTCTACAAGTGTCTGAGTTTGATCCGTATAAAAGTTACAGTACACCGCCCGCCCACTTTCCCGTCGCTGCTGCTCATGGCGGCAAGATGCTTGTCAACGACGACAGTGGCCGCCATAGGACTGACCTGCAAGGCTTTTCTCAATTCTGGTTTTTGTACCATTACTGTCAATAACCTAACTGGTTTGCTGGATGCTCTGAACAACAAACACAGGAATGAAGGCCAGGGTGTAGTCACTGGTATGTCATCGCTAATACATAGCTTCTGAATGCGTTCACTAACAATCTCCAAGTGGCTAATCATATCTCAGTGTATGATCTTCAGTATTTCTCTGATACGATTCTGAGTGTTCTCGCAGATTGGACGATCCAGTGACGTGGGGTATCCTTCCCTCCAGACTTTACCTCAATTCAAAAACCACAAGGTGGTCCCTGGGAGCCTCAGACATTATGTTTACAAATCCGTGAGTCTCATATCACCAACTATCTGCTTTTATGGGCAGCTATTGAGTTTCGTGCATGGTCAGAAAGTATCTTCTCCACTTTTTTTCGTAACGGTCAAGTATTAGAAACTTTCCGTGGAAAGGGTGTGTTTCAGCCTGCCGTGGATTCTGCCATCCACAAGTTGAACGAAGGCGGGTGGGTACGTGTAATTTCCTGAATATATCGGGGTTCTTCTAAGCCTTAACCAGTTCTACAGGTCCACCTTTTCGGAGAAGGGAAAGTAAACCAGCCAAATAGTTATCCATATCAAGCTGGCATCGTACGCCTCCCAAGGTTCAAATGGGGCGTGTAAGTGCCAACAGTTCTAACAATCCAATGATCATCTTTTTCTCATGGATTCGACCAATAACAGAGGACGCATATTAATGGAAACAGCAGTTCCTCCTGTTATTATTCCGATGTGGCTCAGTGGTATGGTTGTGATATGCAGAGCGTGCTGACACTGACAAGAACTTCAGGTTTTGACAAACTAATGCCAGAGCACAGATCATTCCCGTACAAATTCTTCCCTAAATATGGAGTTAAACTCTCCGTCACTTTTGGTGAACCTCTTCCTGCGAAAGAAATTACGTCTGCGCTACAGGTGATTCCTGGGATTTCACATAAGACGGATACAAATAGTGCGCATATAGCCGGAGATCAGAAGGGTCGACGCCATCTTGGCGATGAAACCAATCTGGGCGGCTGGATGGGAGATACAGCTACTTGGGCTCAAGATGCTCCACAAGTTGAGCTGGAGATGGGCGCAAGCAAACAACAAATGGAGATGATCCGAAGTCGTGCCACTGCCATCGTACAGCAGGCAGTCGAATCATTGGGCAGGAAGGTTTCAGGCTATACACTAAACAGGGAAATGGATATGCTCGACCAAGGCAGCAAGACCTAGTACATATTATGTTATTTGCTCATCATCAACACGTGGGAGTAGATTTTAACTGGAAAACAGAGAAACTAGATATATATGCATCGAAAGCACCCAAAAGATTGAATGAAAGAGTGAACACAAAATGAAAAATATCAAGTCGAGTGATATTCTAACACACGAGCAAGCTATCAAGGTCGGCCTGGCCCTCATAAAACCACGTACACAATCCCTACGTTCAGTGTATTAGCATTAGTATTTCTGCTGTTTGGACGACTAAAGGGAAAAGCTCACTATCATGACATAGAATGAAAGCAATATGAGGCCCTCCACCCAGTTCGTTTTGGAATCGGCAGTTACGTAGTTTACTAAAAAACATGCTCCAATTAAACTGACCACATCATAGAAATCTATGAATACAGAAAATGCAATGCCTCACTCAGCAAATTCTCTAAAAGTTGAAGTGAAGAATTTGAAGCATACCGAACAGCAGCGACATAGGCTTCCCAGTCCACCATCCCATGAGGACTAAAAATGGCATCCAAAAAAGCGTAAATTGGATGCTAAGATCGATGGTTTTCGATTTGGCAAGGGGAGAAGGAGGGATAGGCATTTTGTAGCGCACGTATGTATACAAGACCTTGATATAGTGACCAATGGCTATGGCTCCATCGGCTGAAAAGGAGACGATAGGTAAAAGAATGAGACCAAACCATCTTACAAAAATGATAAGTTTCAGAAGTATTATCAGAGGACGTGAATGCGCTTACTCTTCGGTTAGTTTTGCACTTTCCATCACGAAGTCGATGCTGTCCACTAGCTATATGAAGTTGTAAGTAGATATTACTTCGTGGTGAGAATTGCCATAACTCACCCACTCGGCTGTCGCTGCCATTATCCCTACGGTTACAACGAGGAAAGCAAGACAAACCCATGGGTTGACTTCCGGCTCCGAAATTCTAAGCTCGTGTTCTTTGCGCGTGAACTCTTCAGAGGCTTCAGGATCATCGCTAAGGACATTTTTTCTCCCAGGAGGTCGGTGAAAAAATACGCGAGAACAAATATAGCTGAAAGCGTCGATATTTTAGTGGAAGAAAAAAAGTAGCAAAACCTAGCTTACATGATCAGAAGCATGATTGCCATCCCTCTGCTCATGGCTAAGATGTGTACCTGGTTAACGGCCGAAGCTCCCTGTATAGCAGCAGCCTCGGATGAAGAACTAGAGACAGCGGTGGGGGTAGTAGGAGTTAAAGCAGAAAAGAATGCTGCTGGAAGTAAAAGAGCCATTACTCTATAAAGAGGTCAGATCTTATTAACGCCCAATTGTTCATCCACCTACCCAACAGTCAGTAGCGTGTGGTTCAGCTGTACGCGGGCAGACTCGAGTTTTTGATGCTTGATCCGAGCTCCTCCCGTTAAAAACGTAGCACCGGGAACTAGGAGGAGGTGTAGCAAAACGACACCTGCATTAATATGTAAGCAGATTTTTTTGGGGAGTGTGGAACGCTGATCGTAGGCTTACCTACGATGGTGGACTGCAAAAGCTTCAACCTTAGATAGCATCAGTGTTCAACGCTTCAAAACAACTGAGTGTCTGGTTACTTACTCGCATTTCTGCAGCAAAATTACGGCCAACGTGGCTTCCACTACGCTGAAATAAAATCAGCAAAAAGACGTGACGAATGGAGACAGTCCGTGCTGAACATACTTGTTCAAGGTGATTGAAACAAGTTCACCTAAGCTCTGTCCACAGTAAAATGCCATCTGTTCACCACCATATTCGAAAAGGCGTTCCAGGGGGACCATTGAAAGGAAGCACACTAAATTGACGGGGACGAGTAAATGTCAGCGCAGTAAATATCAAGTGGTAGAGAACTGCGCTTGACTCGGATAACGCACATGAGAAAGTAATGGAGGGATGCCATTCCAGAAAGTGGGACACCCAAGCGATCGGAATGTTGACTAGTAATATATTAAGCCCTGAAATGAAGATATAACGATGGTCAGCCTGTAGACAGAGGACAGATACCATAACACGTACATGAACTTAGAGCAATAGCTTTGATACTTTCCAGAATTCCAACCTTTTCCCGACCTTTGCCTCTGAAACGATCCCTAAAATGCAATATCGCATTTTCTTGTTCCAAAAAACTGCTCGGAATCGGGTCAGATAAAGCTTGTTTTGTTGTCGATCTATTTGGGCTTTCTTTCGAGATGGGCAACAGCACTATATCATTCAATTCCGCGCTCCTCCTGCTTCCTATAGCAGATTCCTCGTCGCTTTCTGAATCATAGCTCATGTGTCGGCCAGCGATCGTCCCATACACCTCTGTCATGATTTAGTTGTATTCGTGAGCTTGAAAAGTGAAAAAGAAATATGCGAAGTTGTATGCTTAGAAAAGAAAGAGAGTATTAAAGGCCACCACACGGCCAAGTGTATAAGCTGGGGATAGGAATTGCTGCCAGGTCCATCATCTCTTACTTTATAGCCCTCGGGAACGTGGGCAGCGACGACATGTCTTGGCTTGGCGTTAATCTTGATGGCAGTGTCCCGATGCACTGCTTCAAGGCGCGCGCTCGGGTAAGAAGTGGGTAACACGGCGAGAACACTATGTCAATATCATTAATATTGGTAGGCTTTGGTTACGTCACCGCGGCGCCGTGTGCAACGGGTTTCGTGGGCTGTTCAGATGATGGGTTTACTGTAATTATATATTTGCGATGCAGGCAACTATCAGGTACAACAATACAGTCATACTGGAGAGCAAAGCTTCGAATGGGTTCATAGGTTTGATCAGCAGGCAATCTTCAGCAATTCGCCTGCCACTGCCCCATCCTTTAATTATCATCCTGAGTAAAATAATCCACGTAGTCTCGCCACGCGGAATGTAACAGCAAAACAAACGCTTGGCCCTCAGGGCTGTGATTACCTGCATCAGTGGGTGAATTGAAAGTATAAGGATTGACGGTGTTCAGAAGCCAGCCGTTGGCATCCATGTTGTTCGCGATTGCACGTAGCGCCATGCTAGCGTCATGGATGTCAGTGGTATCATTCCTAACTACCGCCATTCGGTAAGTCACTGCGGCGAGGATAGCAGTGGCGGATGTATCGGTGAAAGAACTCGAGTCATCTAATGTATTGAGCAATGCTCCGTCTTCTTGCTGAAAATCAGATGAGCGTTAGTCCTTAAGTCGCAATGATTAATACATACCTGATAGTTCCAGGCGGTTTTAACAATTTCTTGAATCCAGCTGGTGAGGTTTGCCTGTTGCTCAATGAAATTCGATGCATGGGTTGACTTCTGGATTGTTTCCAATACACGCAGCATCCCTGCCGCTGCCCATCCATTGCCTAAATAGAAATTAAGCAATCATTCCGACTCTGACCAAAAAAAAAACAATTTACCTGTGCCCCAATGTGTGCGGTCCTGCCATGAACCAAGGGCAACATGCCTCCAAAGCCCATTAGCATCTCTTAGTTCATTACGATAAAGCCGACACTGGTCGTAGGCAGTCTGCAAAAGTGCTGCTCCCTTGTCCCCACCTTGTAAAGCTCCATAGTACGCGATAAAGGGAGGTCCCATGTAAACAAAATCAGACCTGATAAATGTGTTTATAGTGCAATCTCTACTGTGTACGAAAGCCAAGAACATACCAGAGCTGTACTTCGTCAGTTCTCTGAGAGATAGCACCAGATGGTGACCGTGGGGCATGATTAAGAAGATAGTCCAGCTGCTGGCTAGCAGCTTGCGAAAAAGAGTTATCAGTCAAATTTGAACGTGTCCAGTTTGCGAGGATGACGGAGACGCCAATGCCTTTGTCCAGTATGGTCAGCACATGAGATTGAATTCACGGCAGATTATTACTTACTAGCAGGGTCACCTGTGGCCTTATCTGGGGCTAAGGCAAGCATATTGGGCGATTTTGCTTTTATAACTCTGGGAGAAGGTTAGTAAATGGGAGGAAGAATAGATATCAGAGTGTATTACTTGGTTGCAATGTCGATCACGTCAGAAGGCCGGTGTGACTCGTTAGTAATAGGTGGAAATGCGGACGATTGAAAGACAGCCAAAGATGGCCAAGAAAGTTCCGTCAAAGCTTCTGCAGCAGTACCTAGCTCCCAGCTATGAACATATTTGTTTGAGAAAAATACCACATAGGTTATGCAACGATTACCTACCTGGTGTTAGCGGATGCCAATAAATTCATCCGAACATTTGTCACTGTGTCGTCGTTGAAACCCAATTCAACCATGTCAATGTCAACGGGAGTAGCTGCAATGGGCAGTGATGCAAGCGATATCGCCAATGAGCAAAGAATAAGGCAAATCATGGTAGAGACGATGGAAGAAAGACAATGGATCTCAAACGTAAAAACCTAGTGATATTTGTACCTGGTAGGGATTATGAGGCAGACCATCAAACATACCTGAAATCCGACTGAACTCGAATCAAGTTGCAACATGCGATTTGAACTAGCCTAGAAGGTAATGGGATGTGACGCATTTTATAGACAACTGCTGATGCTCCAGTCTTCCGAATTTTAGCGCGGCCTTGAAAGTACTCATAGCATAGTCCAAGTATGAATTATATATACGCCACAGCCATGCGTTGATTCAGAATTTTAGCCGGGGACTGAAAGGGCGGAGTTGGGCTTGGGGGAAAATGCCTAGTATTTTGCGGCTCACAGTGAGCACAAAGTCCAGTGTGGGATATGATACCCCAAAAGACAGAACAAGGAAACATTGTGCAATGAAAGGCATGTTTTTGCCTTGTTTGAAACAGACGGCGCAGACCAACAAACCACAATAACCAACAACACAGTCGTTAACAGGCGGCGTCAAATTCAAGTAAAGCCTTCCAAGTTTGTACCGCATTTACTACTTCGTCTCACTTCCTTCCTGTTCACCAACAGTGGTGCTTGAGTCATGGACGTTGTGAAGAGCGTTAGAGGTTATCTTGCGGTATGGGGCAAAGGTGGCGAAGCTGAGTGGTATGTTTTTTCTATGCTTTAACGATGGCGGCGATGTTAAATCACTCTCAATTTAAGTCGAAATATGCTCACTTCGCCTCACTGCAATCCTTCCGATCCCAGTTGTATGGATGTACTTTCTACGGCTTACCATACACTTCTTCTTTCCGTGTTGACGACTTGGTCGCCGAAGAACTCACTAGCGCCCCAAGCTTTGGTGACTTTTGTTCAATCAGTGCTCAATGCGCTGCCTTCCTCTTCTTCGCCTTCTCAGTCCATCAAGTCTTCGCATGCTGCACTTTTCGGAGAAATTTTAGTGGATATAGTATGGTCCATTGACACACAACTGGATGAACTGCATGCGGATGCGAAAGTGGCTGTCACAGTTGCGGAACAACTCGCCGTCGCCGCAAGTGGCAAAGACGTGAAGGATACACCCACAAAGGACCGTTCTCTAGTGCCCAACAAAACCTCGAAAGCGAAACAAAATGTCGAAAAAGATAAAGAGACGCTGTGCGACCTCGTCAAGAGATTTTTGGTGAATCCCTTTGTGTTCTCGTGAAAACCTTCAGTCGGCTCATCCGAACTATTCAGTCTTTTGGGATTTTGGATTCCTCGGTCTGCCGCGAACGTTTAGACTTGGCACTATTAGCAAACGTCGGGCTTATCTCGGACAGGTCTACGTTTGATAAAAAAGAAATTAGAACCAGAACTGGATTGTTGTGAGTAGGCCTTTGTTTGATACGCGCATTTAGTCATAACAATGTTCCGGGTTCATAAATATAGCTACAAGCAAAACAAGTTCAACTTGCTCCGCGAACAATCAGAGGGGTACAGTAAGCTTACTGTGGAATTGACGAGTAGTTTGGGCCCCTCGCACTCACCCTTGGATGCTTGTCCGGTCGAAAGCTATTCGTCTATTGAAGAGCGTGCGCGTCAAGTCTGGGAGAAAGTTATCAGTCTTATTGGATACTTTGACCTCGATCCAAACCGTGCCCTGGACATTATTTTGGATGTCCTCTCGATAAATCTCCCGACTCACTATACATTTTTCCTTGCGTTACTATCGTTCTCGCCATGGTCGGGCTCCTATCGGCGGCCCATTGAAGGGAAAGAGAATGGAGCCATGAGCATAGACTTAGTCCCCGGGAAATACCAGGGCAAAAACCTTGACGAAGTCCTACAAATCGCTGAATCCTCTTCAATGGGTGAAAATTTTGTACCTTCCGTTTACGAGGCTGGTAACAATTCTCGTGTTCTCGCTCAAGTGCTGGGCTTCAAATTTGCGTACTACCAGGTCCGTGCAATAGTCTAGGCTATATCATCTCGCTGACTTTCATTTAGCTGCCAGAATCCGGTGACTCTCACCCTAAACAACTTTATCTCACAGCGGCTGTTTTGATTTGTGAAAATATCATTACGCTGGAAGATTTATATCCGCACGTGAGTTTTACTTCGAGCCCTAATCTGTGCCTCAAATCTTCATAGCTTTTCTTTTTCTTTTCACTTAGATGGCTCCGAGCGACGAAGATATGGAAATATTCCACAAGGATTATCTAGCAGAGGTTCAGAATCGAATTGCTGGAGCCAAGGTTAGCCAATTAGCAATGGCTGCACCTTTAGAATCAGCTTCTGGGACCAGGCCACGACCTGCAACGCCAGTCGAGGTGAAAAAAACTCCTGAATTCAAAGCGCCAAACCAGAAGGCAGGGCTGCTCAGCGCACTGCTTGCTGTTGGAGCTCTCAGGCCTGCCTTTGCTATAATAACCAAGTTTCCATGGCTAGTCGATGCTCATCCTGAGATCGCCGACTTAGTACTGCGTGTACTCAAACTATCAATTTCCACGGTCTACGATTCTACTTTTGTTCTAAAGGAGCGGAATGCCAGCTTCACTCAGCCTCGTACTCGTTATGGCTCCAGTAAAACCTCGACTGGACCATCTCGTAAACCTCAATTGACGCTGACAGCACCCACTCCACCAAGTACTGCAACCACGGATTTTGTTTTCTTTTTTCCAGATTGGTCTCAAAGTGTGCCTTTATGCCAGTCTTTGGACGATTTGGTTGATGTTATCGAGCCGCTAATGAGTTTTATTGGGTTGCACATCTCGCGTGACCCATTATTCGTCACGAAATTTACAAGGCTAGGTCGTTCGCAATTGATGTCCATCGTGAGTCGTCCTATGTCGTTTGAGGTAGGCCCAGTTGACTTTTTATTATTTTGATTAGATTCCTCTTGATCCAGTAACAAAGAGACCTAGTGGTGATGCCGACCCATCTCATCCCATAAGGCTATTCTGGTTTAAAGTTCTGCGATTATACTTGCTTCCCGCTCTCCCTTTGATACGAGGCAATGCCGTGTGCACGGTAGAAATCTGGAATATTATTCGACAGTATGAAACTACTGCTCGGTGGAGACTTTACGGGGAATGGAAATCATCTACGTATAAATCTCATCCGGAATTACGCATTCGCCAAGTTCAGGCCGATCGCGAGTCGAAAGGAATATTGCGTCGCTTATCTCATAACACCATTGACACCCTATCCGGCACTGTCGCGAAGCTTGCCCATTCCAATCCATGCATATTTTTCACAAATGCCGTTAATCAGATCATGGCTTACGACAATTTAGCAAATGTGGTGATCCAGGCATTACGCTATGTGACGAACATGGGTTTCGACGTTTTGGTCTATATCATACTCGACGCACTTTCGAATCCAAACAAGGACAGAGTGAAAGACGATGGCGTCAACACCTCTGATTGGTTGCAAAGTATGTTTTCTGTCTTGTGGCGGCACGCATCTGATTAAACATTTTGTCAGGCCTAGCATCCTTTACAGGAATGCTTTTCAGGAGATACAGCGCTGATTTAACGCCTGTCCTCAAATATATTGTCCATCAGCTTTATAATGGGCAAGCGACGGACATAGTTGTTCTTCGAGAACTCATTTGGAAAATGGCAGGTATTGAGCCCCTTCCCAGTCTGTCTGATGCTCAGATTACTGCTATGGCCGGAGGACCTGCCCTACGCATAGAGGCGGTGGCATCTACTACTCGAGGTGCACGACTTGATCCCGGTGATGCCGTTCTCAAGGGCCCACAGCGACTTGGAAAAGCACTCCTCGATTCGTCTCTTGCACTGCCTCTACTCATCCAAGTGGCGCAGCAACGTCAATCGTGCGTCTTTAAAGCACCCAATGCTCATCTCAAATCTCTTGCCAGTCTATTTGATACGGTAAGGCGTGGCTCAACTCCTTTCTGCAGCTTTACTCAAATAAAATGATTGTTCTTGTCAGACCCACGGAGTGTTACTACAGTATCTCGAGCTTCTTACCTCTCCAGCAGTCATATCCCCACAAGACTACGCAAACAAAGTTTTACCTTCTTTAGCAAACTTGGGGGAGACGTACGGTATCTCGGCTCCGATGTGTATGCAGATTATCCGGCCTATGCTGAACACGATACTCCTCGTATGTACCTGCAGACTCGTCCCTTGATCTAGCCTAATGTCCGATACAGAATGCCGCCTTATCCATGCAGGAAAAAGAACGTCTTGCAAATGAGGAAGCTGAGAAACGTCTGAAAGCTCGACTTGCAGCCAAGCGAGAACCAAGTACTGCTACGTCACGTGTGGCATCTCCCAATGGTGGCTCGCAGAGTACCCCCGACGATACTGCTACCTCGAAGCCTATCGTATCTGAAAATGTTGGTGAGGACGTTAACATGGAAAACGAGATTAGTACTACGGGATCTTTGCCGATGACCGAGGTATGTCAAACATACCCAACACACATTCAGAGTGTTTCAATAATGTATGTAATTCCAGAGTCCGTGGATACCTGAACTAGCCGCGCTTTTCGAAGACATCAAGAAAGTCGGTAGGACAAGCGCTCTCGATATCATAGGGTGCGTGTCTGGTACAATTTTGTGCTCCGGTTGCTCAAACCCGTTGTAGACCTGGGTTTTATATTACCTTCTGGCAGCTATCTACATATGACCTCGCACCTCCAGCAGCCAGATACGATGAAGAGGGTGCTGCATTGAGGACACTAAGTCGCCAAGAAGATTCAAAGTATACAGCAGCAGATCGTTCCGCCGATAGAACCAAGAGGCAGATGGCGAGTTCTCATCGGGCCAAGCGTGATCGATACAACACTTTTGTTAACACACTGGCCCAAGAGTTTAAAGAACAAGCGGCTTCCAGAGTTTTCACGATGAAACGACTTGCTCGTGAGAAGCAACACTGGTTTGCTCATAGTGTGTATTTTCTTCTTCTTTACGCTTGTCTTACACTTGGGAGCTGAATGTCTTCTAGCAGATTCTCGAGCGGCAGTTCTAGCGTCTGCCGTGATCGAACATTGCATACAACCTCGCTGTCTCCTGTCCCCTATGGATGCCGATTACTGCGCGCAGATAATCAAGGTGATACATACTCAGGGAACACCTGGATTCCCGACGCTTGTATGCTATGACAAGGTTGGTTATAGTGATCCATCAGTTAGGAAGTTTCTGACGCTTTATATGCTAGCTACTTGGTGATCACGTTAAAGCCATCGTCTTCTCCTGCAGTGAATACGAAGCGAAAAACTATGGTATACCTCACCGTCTTTCCCGATTTACTAAATCGCTCATACATCTGTAGGCCGTTTCCTTCTTGGAATATTGTCAGACCTTTGGAAGTGGGCACAAGAAGAACCCCTTTTCGTCCAGGACAATCGTATCAAAAGTGGAGGGAAAACGATCTTACTTCCCGGGTTTCAGCACCGCTGGTCGAACAAAACGACCATCACTCAAGAAGACTTGTTGTCTTGGGGTGGGTTCAAGCAAATACTTCGCAAATGGCATAGAAAATTAGGACGGGTAAAATCTTCGTCTCTCATAATCTTGCTGCCTCTGATGCTGTACGATTTTCAGAGCCTGCTGAGTTGTATCGAGACGGGAGAATTCATGCACGTTTATAATGCTATCATCGTCTTGAAAGAAATCCTGCCCGTCTTTCCTCTGGCCACCGTAAGCGATGCCGGGCCTGCTATTGACAATGTAATGGAGAAGTTCTTGGAGAAAGAAGAGCGGGGAGATCTTAAAATACTTGGGAGAGCGTATGTCATTTGGCACGTTGCGAAGTTCCTAACTAATCGAGTCTATAGTTATGCTGCCAGCCTGAAGAAACGGGAAGCTTTATGGGCGGTGCCTAAACCAGTAGTTGCGAAGGTACGAGTCAAACGACCTGGTTTTATCTTCCAAATCTAATCACAAACTCAGCCCAACGGGTTACCCATGTCGCCCAAGCCTGCAAGTCCTGCTGTACTTTCCTCGGAAAAACCACGCCCCAGTTCGGCGACAACTAATGGCACAAGTACTGCATCTGCCTCTTCTGCATCCCGTCCTCAGACTCTACCTGTCTCGTCTCAAGGCCCGGGTGACAAACATAGTACAATCCCAAACACAGGCACGTCCAAATTCGCTATGGAGAAGTACGTTTTGCCTAAATCCCATTGTCACTATCTAACTTGATCATCTCATATTTCTAGTATCCCAAGACCTGAAAAGGTCAAGCGAGTCAGAACAGAAAAGAGCAGCGAATCTCCTGTGCCGGACACGGACAGTAAAACTACGTCAGCAATGGATATCGATAATGTCACTGCGGCGAAAGAGAAAAGACCAGAAGGAGGTGCGAGTCGTTTGCTCCATATTAAACCGCCTAATAGTCTCAAACCTCCCTTACGTACAGGCAGTCCCATTAACCCGATGCTTCATGGTAGTAAGGATTCGTCTACAAGTAATGATACAGGACGACCATCTAAATCTACTCCCCTTGCTGCTCCGTCAACGTCCAAAGACATGTCTCCATCACCTCGAACCCCAGCAGAACCGCCACAGACAATGCCGCCTCCTTCTGCTCCTAGTCAGACACTGTCAGCTCAAGAATTGCGTGAAACCGCCAAGCAATCGATTAGTCTTCGGCCTCCTGATAGGGTAGACGAAAAGAGGGAGCCTCGTAGTCAGACCGGATCCGCTGCACCTTCACCATCGCACCGTCGTCGGTCGCCTTCCCCTGCCAGTCGTCCTGGCACTAGAAATGCAAGCGTGGAGAGCCGTGCTAGTGGTGGACGAGATCGCTCAGACCGCGGAAGCCGTGATAGTGACCGTCTTGATGATAGGTACCCAGACCGTGACACCCACCAGGAGCCCCGCGGTCATGCGGATATGAGACATAGAGATAATGTGACGCACGGCCGAAGTGAAAGGAGTACTAGAGACCGGGTATCTGCTCGTGACAGCGAGAGGGAGGCTGATCGAGAGAGAGATCGTGGCCGGGACAGACATGGTGATCGAGAGCGTGATAAAGACCGAGATAGAGATCGGGAGCGGGACAGGGATAAGGACAAGGACAAGGACCGCGAACGCCGCGACAGAGATAGGGATAGAGACAGGGAACGAGACAGGGATCGCCATCGTAGAGACGATAAAGACCGTGACCGTGACTCGAGAAAGGAGCGAGAGGCTTCTACCAGGAACATCCCACTCAGCTCAAGTACTGCAGCACCTGATAGTCGCAGTCTTCCTACTCGCCCTGATCCCTCGAGGCATCGAAGTGCGCAGAATGGCGATGATGGGCTCGGCAAGAGAAGGCGACCAACTGATGATGAGGTACGTGTCACTTTCTCATGGTTATTGTTCAGCTGTCAATAAAGCCTTTCGTAGGCCGATCGAGGCTCGAAGCGTAGCTCTCGCAAAGACAGTCATCGAGATGATCGCCCGCGTCGACCTTCAGAAAAAGATAGCCACGATCGTCCTCGTGAATCTGACAGGCGAAGGACGGAACGAGGCACCTCGGAGGCAGATGCTCGGGGCCAATCTTCTGAGAGGGTAGGCATTCACTCGTGACGATCAGCGTCACCTTACTAACTTACGAGTTATAGACGACTGAGAAACGCATTCCAGAAGGTCCGAGGGACTTGCCACCTAGTACCCCATCGGCACCAAGAGCAATGTCATCCGTGGATGCCTCGAGGGGTACCAAAGTTGAATTGCCAGCGAGCAGAAGTGCTGATTGGAAGAGCCAGCGAGAACACGGTCCACAAGCCTTTAACACGCCGTCAGGGGCTGGCGCAAGTCCGGACACGGCACCCCAAGGCCCTGTCAGCTTACGTTCTCGGATAAGTGACAAAGAGGGGTCTCGCTCGCTTCCTCAAACGCCTATAGGCCCATATCGTTCTGACCCTCCACATAAGGACGATGATCGTGATAACAGAAAACGAACTTTATCCGGTATGTTGTCATTATTGTACTACGTAAATGACCGCTGAGTGTTTTTGAAGATCGCGACAAAGATGTTGGTGAGGCGACATCGGGTGCAGCTGACCTTACCACGCAACCACCGAAACGTCCCAGAATCAATCGGAATCGTTATACTTCCCACCCGTCGAATACCTCGGCATTGGCTAGGAAGCTTTTACCCATCGATCCTCATGCCGGGGATAAGACGCGTACCACGAGAAAGGACTAAATTTGTTCACTGCATGACGTGTATCATACACCACCACCACCACCACCTATATATCTATTGTTACAATTCATTGTAGTATAGTGATTCCGAATTTGATGTGTCAAAACCTGTGTGCTCCACTCTATACATGATACAACGTTGAGATAAGTCGAGAGATAAAGTAGTAAATAAATAGATGCAGTGATAATGTTGGACTCCCGAGTTGAATCGATTATGCGAGTTGAATCGCGGTCTGTAGAGTATGAGCATCCGATCAACTATCTGCCCTTGATCAACGTAAGGAACTCCTCGCGTGTTTTTTGTTGGGTCCTAAAGCAGCCAAGCATGCATGACGTGACGGTGATTGAACCAGGCTTTTGCACCCCACGCATTGTCATACACAAATGGCTACAAAGGCCCATGAGCGGGAGAAGACCGATAAGTTAAGTTGAAAACTCACGTCGCTTCCATGACTACAGCTACCCCACGAGGTTTGATCGCCTCCTGGACTGCAATGGCGATTTGCTTTGTAAGCCGTTCTTGGACCTGCAAACGGCGGCTGAATGTTTCAGCGATGCGTGCGAGCTTGGACAGCCCGAGAACGAGCTTGTTGGGAATATAGGCTATAGCAACCTAATAATAACGTGAGTGAGATATGAGAGTTCCATTGGGGTGGGCCAGCCGGCAATCACATACTTTCCCAGTGAAGGGGACCAAATGATGTTCGCACAAACTTGAAATGTCGATATCACGGACTAAAACCATCTCGTCATGGTCCTCCGCGAAGACGGCATCGTTTATAACGTCTGAAACGGCATGAGATATAAGAGCTGAGTGGACTAAAAAAAGGGGGGGGGTGCAGATGAAGCATTACCCGCTAGCCTCTCCTCATAGCCCCGTGTCATCCACATGAGAGCCTGCGCATAGCGTTCTGGTGTTCGCAAGAGGCCCTCACGGTCGGGATCTTCTCCAATACATTCGAGAATGGTTCGCACGGCAGAACTTAGCTGCTTCTCGCGGGCAGTTCGTTCTGCAGGGGTTGCGTTGAGACGGGATACGGTGGACTTTGCTGAAGGGGGAGGTTAGGTTAGTGGGGTGGCAGGGAAATGAAACTGACCGGGCCAACCCAGACCATTGGGATCTGGGAGAGGGCTTCCTCTCTCGGCAGGAAGTGATGTGAGAGGGGTAGAGACACCGGAAGCCGGACGAAAGCCGTAACCCTCACGCAGAAGAGGAGGCCAGGAGGGGCGAAGTGAGGTCGCGGAGGGTGAAGGGGGCTGATCGTCGTTGTGAGTGCGCGAGGCCAGCTCCAGTTCACCGCGCTCAGATGGATGGTGATCTAAAGGGTCGTGGATTGGGTCGGGAGATGATGTCTCGGGATGGATGTCTCGGTTGCGTAAACCATCAGAGAGGAGATGAGCATGCGAAGCCATGAAGCGAGAGATGAATGTTTGAGACCAAGACGTATTCTAGCCAGAGTCTAAGGATATGAAAAAGTTTTATGGCCGGGCCAGGAAAGGGAAGGTGGAAGGGAGACGGGGCGGGGCTGGCCGGGAATACAATAAAAAAATAAGATCGGGTGTAGTGGCCGTAAAGGGATATCTGAAGGAAACGGACAGGGCCGTCGCCGCCAATCCGTGTGCTGTGCCAGTGGTCTCTCTATCAGATCCTGCCTGCTCACTTCCACGACCGCCTTTCATTCCATATCTGTGTTAGAGTTTCATTATCCTTTCTTCTCACTAGCCTCTGCAATGTCTCGGGACGGCTCTCCCAAAGTCGTCCTCCTCCCCTTCTCTAAATCACCTCGGATCTCAATTCATGCAAAGACCGATCTCCAAACAAAATCCAGTCCTGACGTGAACCACCGAATGCTGTGGGCCCAATCTCTTCTTATACTCTCTCCTCCCCGCTCACAGATCCCCTTCCTGTCCCCCTCACCATGTGTCACCACCCAAAGCTTCACCACAGCCACGCCCACCACCTCTCTCCTGCTCGTTCCTTCAGACGCTCCAAGCCTTCCTCTCAAGCTGACCGCGACTGCGTCCACAATGCCTGGCTCGCTTCCAGAACAGTCCCCACCCGCAAGAGCTCGTATCTCGTCCCTGGTGCACAGCGCCCCTTGAACAAACCAAACATTAGACTGGCTTATATCATTGCCCACAAGTGCGCCTTTGATCTCGTCAAAGTCCTATGGAGTCTTCATCCCGTCCGTACCACCCTCATGATGCTCCTGAACATTGTGCGTGGCTTTTTTCCCGCTTTCAGGGGTTACTCTCAAGCCATGATAGTAGATGAGGTCCGTCAGATTGTCTTCCTATATTAATCCTGCTTCTTATTGACGAAGCTGTCGTCAGCTCCAAGCTTTGATCTCCTCAGGCCGTTTCACGTGGTCACGTCTCGTAAAGCTCATGACTGCGGAAATCCTACGGCGCGCATTGGAGAGTTTAATCGACTCTTTCGCGTATGTATATATTTAGCTCGCGTTGCTCTACTTCTTTCCTAGCTTACCGCTCATAGAACAGTACGACCAACGAAAATATCGTTCAGGAGTCTGCCAGATTTTTTGTAGAATATCAGCAAGTGGCACAGCGGCTTCGACTCGATGTTCCAACGTTGGCAGACCCCGTTGTGCGCGACTGTCTGCAAGAATCTGATCTATTCGTGAGGTCTTTCAATGGCATGGGAGGCTTTGGACTACTATCACCGTTCGATTTTGTGCAGTTGTTCGCATTATTGTCGGAACTTGCTTCACATATTCTGGTGCTCCTCTCTTTGACAGGAGGTACTAATCTCGGTGTTCTATTGCTCTCCGTACTCTCCGCCATATTCCCCTTGCTATTAAGCCGCGGTGGTTTCGGTTCGCTTCATCCCGACTCGTCTTATACACAACAGGAGGCTCGTACCGCTGAACGTCAGGAAAGGCTACGTAACTTGGCCCACAGTGACTGTCATCGCCCCGAGATTTTATTGTTCGGGCTCGGACCATGGATACTACAGTCTTGGGCCAGTGCCCGAAAGTCGATGCTGTACGCTGAAGGACCTTTGTCGTCAAAGCAATCAGTTTTGCCACATTTCCTCGGTTCAATCAACATATCTGATTTACTATTTGCGGTACAAAATGTGAGTTTTTCTTTGCTGTCTTTTCCTGCCGAGCTTTCTAACATGCCCTGAGAAGATTCCGCTGCTTCTGATGCTGCAGTCCTCGTCCTCGTCGCTAGGTTCCTTGGCATTGTACCGCAGCTCCATCCAGTCCGTCGTGTTCACCGTCGGAAATCTCCTCACTACGACGCGGATGGCATTCCAAGGAATATTTCTGATGGGCGCTTTCTGTGCTGCCATGAACATTCAGCCAAAACTGGAGCCGGCCGATGAGGAAGTGGAGTGTTATTCTTCACTTCCCAATGGAATGAAAATCGAAGCAAGGTATCGTTTTCTATATCCGATGCTACCACTTGCATTGGCTTATCGCCGCACGACGCTCACAGGCACTTGTCGTACACTTACCCCGGTAGTAAAGACGCCTCGTTGAAAAACGTCAGTTTCACTTTAGAAGCAGGAGAACGGCTTGCTATAGTCGGTTACAATGGTTCCGGTATGTATGCTTGCTGAGCTCATTCCGATTCGTTGCTCTGATGGATTTTTTGACGTGTAGGCAAGTCTACGCTCGCAAAAGTCATCCTACGCATCATAGATTTTAGCCAGGGGGATCTCCTTGTCAACGGGGTTGATGTTCGTCGGTTCAGCCCGAGTGAATACCACCGTCGTGTTACCACGGTTTTCCAAGGGTTTTCAAAGTTCAATTCAACCGTCAGAGAAAACGTTGGTTTCGGATATATCCAGAAGCTAGGCTCGCAAACCGCCGTCGAGCAGGCTATACGCCTCGGTGAAGCGGATACATTCGTCGACTCATTACCAAACGGCCTTAAAACAAAGTTGGATGCTTCAGGTTTTGAACCGATGACGTACTCATCGACTCCGAGTGGCGTAAGCCAACCGTCGTCCTCGCGGGTGCATCATGGTCTGTCTGGTGGCGAGGTACGCATCCGTTTTGCTGTGCATGTTTTGGCAAAAATAATACTGAGAAAGTTTTTTTGATATGTAACACACACACAGTGGCAGAGGATAGCCATTTCACGTGCCTTCATGAGAGCTGATCGTCCGGAGATTGATCTCCTCCTATTCGACGAACCAGTGGGTCGTGTTTCGTGCCTGTGTTTTGTCCCCTTCCCCCCCCCTTACTCAGCCTGCACAGACATCCTCATTGGATGCACATGCGCAGAACAGGATATTTGACACTATAGATGAGGTATCCCGGTCACCTTCCGGGGCACGATCGAAAACCGTCATTTTCATAACACACCGCCTGTCTACTGCTCGGCGCGCCGATAAAATCGCGATGATGGAAAACGGTGTAAGTACCTTTGAGCTGACTTTTGCGGTTTTACGTTTAATAGCCGTCTTGTTTGCGTAGACTATCACCGAATTTGGATCTCATGAAGCATTATTGCAAAAGGGCGGTTCATATGCCACGCTATATCAAGCTTCCGTATGAGCCGGACCTATCTCACCGTCATAGACCGACCGTGACAATAGCATTGGCACACGTGAGGTGTTTTCTTATTATTATGAACGACATAGACACTATCCGGACTACTGACCCCCCACAATAGTATTTTAAACTCTAGAACTGTAGACTATATATTAAATCAACTCTCGCATCGAGTGATCCATGTACATTACAATGCCATCTCGTATAAACGCATCAACATGGCCTCCGTCACTAACGGCATTGCTGGTGATATGAGCGGACCTTTCCGAAGCGCCATACACGCCCACCAAAAGACCAGCGTCTCGGATGCCTTGTATTAATGAAGGGACCTGAAGCTACGGAAAATACAATAAGTCATGCGAAGATAAGTACTCCATGGCCTTGGACGTACCAGCAGTTCGGCATCAAAAAATACACCCAATAGGTTATTCGTTTTGGCGAAGTCCACACCTGCGCCGACACTGGATAACCAGGTACTGCTGCCATCTTCCGTACACCCTGCGCGCAGCAAGTTCGACCCAGAAAGTGACTTTCCATGTTGTCCGCATTGTGATGCCAAAAAGACAGGGTCTACAAGACCATTGGGTTAGTAAATTTAACTGCGTGGGTAAAATTGAATGACAATCACAATTTGGCTGCTTCCAGTTCAACGCGGCGCATACGCGGGGGGAGAATGATGTAAAAGTAATCCGGCGTCGAGAGAAGAGACCTCCAAGGGACGCTGACGTATGATAAATTGTGCGCAGAACTGAATCTACACATTCATTCAAATCCAATGGCAGCTGATTACTATTCAGGCTATGTCCTGTCTGGTGCAGCGGAAATTCGAGCTCCAGTGTCATTCCCAGATGAACAGGTAAGATCTATAAAAATACATACGAAAGTCAGATTACGTCTAAAGGCTGAAATGACTGCTCGAACCTTCATCAGATGAGCGAGGGAAAGCATGGCCTGTGAAAGATATCCCGTCCAATCATGCATGGTACTTGGATTGCCGGGCATACCCTCACTGCGCCCTGAACGTTGTGCCAGCGCTTCGAATTGTGCAAGAGTGACATCAGCTACAGTAAGGTCGAACCCCTGTTCTGGCAGAAGGAAGCCAGTGTAAACTACGGGATGGAAATCTCTTGTCACCTGAATTACCGCATGAATGTAGTTCCCAGTCAGTGACGAAATAGTCAAGGTATGTGATGAAGAAGTAGCATTGGATTGATTTGAGGGCGAAGTATGAGCCGAGTCCAGAGATCGAGGAGAGTGCTGCCAGGGTAAGGCTGATTTTATAACAGGGAATCTACGCATCGGTAAAGCTGTAGACTTCCAATAGGTTTCTACTGCTCCACCAACTTCTAGGGTAACTCCACGAAAGGGTGTTGTTACATTAACGGTGAATGAAACCTGAATTTAGAACATGAACTGATTGTTTGACACCGCGATATTAGGTAGTACAAACCTCTCCAATGATATGCAAGCGGTTATCCAGAATAGGTAGAATGTGCTCGCGCCCATTTTCATTACCTTGGAACATTGATGAAAGAGCAACTGCGCGGCCAATGGTCTTGGTGCCAAAAGTAGGGTAAATAGAAAATTCCAGCGAAAACTCATCCAATGATGGTACTTGAAATGCAAGTACATCTTGTTCGTTTTTTTGAGGTAAAGCAATACTATATGGTGCAGAGTTAATCTGTGGTCCAGCTGTCAAAACCAATTTGAGCGGCGTTGAAGATGGTAGATGAGAATCTTGGTACAGAGAATTTGACAGGCGGGAATGAAGTTTAACCGCGGGACAGTCTCGTGACGGGAAACGACGAACGGATATTTCAACTAGGCAGTTTTTGTCGAGATAATTGTGACCATATACGCGATGTGGCATGATGGGAGGAGGAAGTGATAGAGAAGGGATCATATCAACCTCGGAATCCGCTCTTTCCACGTCAGACAGGGGGGACCCATCGGTAAAATGTACAGTTTCGCGAGATGGAAGTTGAGCTGCAGCTTCTATCAAACTTTCAACGCATTGCCGGTGTCCATACCACGCTGCATAGTGCACTGCAAGATGCCCAACTTCGTCAACGACATCAACGCGACTACCAGCCTGCAGAAGGACTTGGACGCAAGAAAGGTGGCCATGGCGTGCAGCGTGGAAAAGAGGGGTCCACTCATGGTATTTATCGCAAGTGTCCCATCCTACATAACTCAAAAGTATCTTGCAGACGTCAGCGTGACCCTCGCGAGCTGCTAAATGAATAGGATATTCTCCGCTGCTGTTGGGCAGACTTTTGGCACCATGTTCCAGCAGCAGTAGAACCACGTCGACATGTCCATGTTGACTAGCCAGGGACAACGGCACGAGATCGCTAACAGTGGTCGACTGACGTGCTAGGGCCGAATCCTGGAGTAGTACTTTGACACAACTCGCGTTACCTCTGAGCGTCGCGTACACCAGAGGGCTGCAATTATCCATATCAAGAATATGTGCTTGCATGGTGGTCTCCAAAAGCCTTTGGCAGACATCGGCGTGACCATGCATGGCTGCATAATGGAGAGCTGAACGACCATAAGCGTCCAGTTTATCCTCCTGTGAACCCTTTTCGAGACACAGGTTCACGAGACGAAGAAAACCGGCTGCAGATGCTTCATGGAGACAAGTACGACCACTGATATCATCAACAAAAAGGAAGTCGAAGGGAGTCGTGACGCTATTGAGGATCAGGTCCGCAAATTCAGGTGGCGCCTCGACAATGAGTTTCCAAAGTATGCGTGTGACATGCACTCTACCTCCAACTTGTTGGCCCAGCACATCAGAGTAACGAGCGAGTTCCTGGATCAACGTTTTATCCGAATTTTCAACAGCTTTTCGAAGGTCGCGTTCCAGTTCATGAAATGGACCCGAATATAGATTCCGTTCATAATGATATTGTTGTGCGATGAAGTCTCGAGCTGCAGCACCCTCGAACTTGAGACCAGTCGACAGGTCAGTAAGATTGAGAAGACATAGTGCCACGGCATCAGATAATTCCGATATCAGCTACAATTGGTCTTAGCTCGATAACGTCCTCGAAACGAAATGAGGCACACCTGTCTGTTGAATACTGGCTGGACGTCAACCTGTCTCGCCAGATACAACTCTTTCGTGGTCGAGCGGGAACGTTTGTCCCATTTTTTCAAGATCTTCCGGAATCCCGTTGCATTCATTTCGATGAATTGCTGACGGATGTTCCATATGAGCTTATAGACTGGAATTGGACAGCATATACCTGCAATTTGCCAAGATCTCGCTCCAAAAGCCGGAAACCTTCTTCCACTGCGCTCCACTCTACATGATTCAACGCAGTATCATCGACAGTATCTGGAAGGCCCCTTACTGCTGCTGCCCTGCGCTTGGAGAGCAGTGTCTCGAGTCGAAGTGTCAGCTCTGCTTCTTTTCGCAAGTAAAATGCATTTATCTGCAATGCGACTATATGTTCCATAATAAGAGACGAATAGACAGCATATGTGCGTACCTTTTCCAGCTCGCGCTCTAGCTTGAAGAAGAAGGCTGCCTTGTGAGCTTGAAAGTCGGGCCCTCGAGCGTCGTCTTGCACAGATGCAGATAGTATTGGAGGCTGCCCAAGGTCGTCGTCCTGATCGGGTGGGATGGCTGGCGGCTGAGGCTGAGACGATGGTGCGTTGGCTGCTGCACCAGTAAGAATATCCGCTGGGCGAACACCCAAAGCCAAGGCCGCTGCCTCAGAAGCTGGTCGATGGGCAGTAAGGGAAGATATGATTTTCTTGAGGAACTTGTAGTCCAGGTAGTATGCAGACCATCCTGGTACTTGCTCTGACTGAATTTGTTTTCCAAACTGGTGCGTTTGGAGCTATCAGTATGCAGGGTGTGGGAGGACAAGTGTCCACGCTAACCTTCATATTAGCCCGCTGCTATATGTCGACCCTGATGGTGACTTTCAGCGCTCAAGTCGTCGTGGACGATAGAAATCTGGGTTAGCAGGAGTGGATAAGGGAGAGTGTTGAGAGAAGAGGGCAAAATTCATTATGGCCCATCCAAAGCAGTCACCTCCAGTTTCCGACGTTCTGCATTTCTTCGAATTCGTACACGTGCCAAAAATGCATGAAAAAAAAATTGTGATACACATTGAACACGTCCCTGTGAAGAGCCAAAAAAACTGGGATCGATTGGATAGTCTATAGATCTACTGAGCACATCGTATCGATTATACAAAACCAGCTAGTATCATGACTAAAGCCCATGTATTTAAAATCTGCATGAAAGCACCACGAACGTGCGTGACCCTTACACCAATACTTTCCGTAGCTGCCATACTCTCATCGGAAGCAATGTAACCGGACATCTTCCTTGTTGTTCAACATGATCATGGACACAACGGTAGCAGAAAACGTATCCAGATGGCAGGGCAGTAGCATTATTGATGGGGCCTCCACACAAAGGACAGTGGCCGTACTTGGTGCTGTCGACAGCTAAGCCCCTTGGATGAGGAGGCAGCATCTGTGGAGGTGGCACAGCCGGGCCGAGAGGTGAAGTGGACAAGGAACGTGCGGGAGATCCAGGTGAGTACCACCACTCCAAAAATTTGATGAAGAATATTGCTGTCGGCAAGAGCAGCTTGAGGGAATCGAGAAGCAGCTGAGGCGAAGATGTGAGATGACGTCGAACGAAAGCCATAATCCCTTGTTTTCTGTTGGGAGGCACCTGTTTTTGTGCTTCAAGATTTGCTAGGTGCTATACGATAGGGAATTCAGCTATGGCCCTTGCAACGTCATGATACGGACAACTCACGAAGTCATCAGCACCTAAACGTCTCAAGTCGACACCTATCCATGCTAGCCATGGCCGGTAAAATGGAGTACGCTCAAACAGGTATGCGACATTGTAAACTAGTAGCCATAGCTCGAAAGAAACATTAAACCATGGATATATGGTCTTGTATGCCCTGCGCATGCGACCAGCCAAGCTCTAAATCACGATATGTGATAGGTAACAATACTACAATCTATGCGCAGACTTACCTCATCAGTCAGTGCCTGAATATGACGGCTTTCTATGCCATCCTCTAGTATATCAGAGCTGACACCCCCACCTAGTTGCTCGTAGTAGTCTTGTGCCTTAGCTCGAAGGTACGGCACACCAATCTATCAAGGGTGAATCTATGTTCGTTTTTCAAATATGTCATACGACGTACCAAGAAAAACAGAGAACGCCAAATCTCTCGACTGCGAAGTTTCTCGCCTGCAGGAACACCCCCCACGGCTGCTCTTGCTCTATCCAGTTCTATCCATGCCTTTCTTCTTCTCTTCAAACCATAAAAGTTCTCAGAAAAAGATGCATCTATCATCTTCGATATAAGCTCCCATTAACCAAGGAAACGAGGGGATTCGTTGCCTACTGTGCTTGCGGAGATAGTGCCGCTCGACGAAGAACATGATGAACGCGTAGAACTCTTCATGTCGGTTTACAATGCGGATGAGATATCTTGGATATCGCTGTGCGAACACCTGTGTACACTGTGTAAATGCAAGAGTTGGTTACAAGAGCGTTAATAGTGCTTACTGCTAGGACGTACTTGAGCGCAGGTTGAAGAAGGTCGCGCAGTTGCTCCTGAGCAACCAACTCGAATAGAGATGGTTTAAGCGGGTCTTCCCCGCTATCCTTGAAGAATTCCATTTACTTGAGTCTGGTACTAGTAAGTGAATGTTATGCGTTTCAGATAAAAAGGAGCGGATGATGGTGGTTTGGGACGAACATGTTTGGATGCGGCTTGCGGGTAATGTTATTATCCCGGACCGACAGTGTACACACATCTGTTCTGTTTCCGCTTCCGTTTCTGTTTCCGTTTCTAGGTTTTCCCCACCACAAACATTGCAGAGCTGCTTTGAAAAATCGTCACCGAGACGTATTAGACAGCTATAATCTATCTCTGCTGTGAATCCACCATATGAAGGGGACGTTTTATTGGAAACGTACTTGTGATTCAGCAGGATGAGCACTTGCCACTTTCAAATTCGATGTACATCTTTCTTTGTCCCAACTAAGCACCAATGAGAAATACATGTAATTCAGGACTGTTGCTTGCCACTGTTCTCTTCAAGCTTAAAGTGTTGTAGGCAAGAATGCATTCGTATGGCTTAGCTTGTAGTTCCCTTTTGTTCGCTGACAATTGTTTGTTTAACCGTCCATTGCGAATGTGCCTCGTTGCATCCATCCCTCCCATGGCCTTCATTTTCATTTCCTACTTCAATTTGCAAGCTCATCACACCCCTCGTACTCCTTGAGCTATAATCACATCCTGGCGTCAACAAATCCTCCGCCTGGTTTCGTTGACCAAAGCTACCTTCGTCCTATGTTCACTGGAATACATCCAATGATTCCTTCCGATGCTGAACTTGCCTCCAAAGCTCTCTCTGAAGAGGGCACCTATCGATTTCCATCCTTTTCAGCCAATGAAGCCGTTACTATCGGTCTATCAATGCGAAAACGCTTTCGCGCATCTTCCCGCCATGGAAAGGGAAAGGGCATGGTGATATCTATACAAACTATCGCCGGTCACACTTTGTTCTCCTGCACCGTTGGAGACTTGGGACATGCGTCGGGCGTAGGCGATGTGAGTCTCGACAGCTGGGCTTGCCTGGAAGGAATGATCAATGTCGTCAGACGTACTGGCCATTCGAGTTATTATGTGGAAAAGGGCATGAACGCGATGGGAAAGTCACCAAAACAAATGGGCATTCAGGGTGATTATAGAATTAATGGTGGAGGTGAGCTCAATCCAGTGTCTACACCATTCTAGTCAGAATGTTCATCTGCGCTCAGCATATCCGATATGGCTCGAGGTAATATCCTTCCCTGTGAAATCGTATGCAAGGCTAAGTTAATCTGTGTCCGCAAGAACTCCCCATGCTGTCCTATCGCTGTGGCTGCATGTTACTCAGGCTCGAGTGACGATGACCACCATGTGAAGATATTTTTCTTATTCATTGGAGTTTATCTTGACATTCTTCACCAGCTTGTCGTAAATGTGGTCAGGGATTATCTTCACAAAATCGAGAAAGAGAAAAATGCCGACGGTCGCCCGTCCTCTTCCGGACTAGGAATGCCAGTCCCTGCAGTTTCTGCAGTCCAAGTACGCGAAAGCATGGTATTCGGCATTCACGCTTATTACGAATGACGGTTCTGATAAAGTGTCTTTGTGAAAGGAATGGGTTACAGAGCCTTCTGCAAGTCTCTTTCAGGCGCGAACCGAGTCACCTTTTGAGCATCAAGAATGATAAAGGTCGAATTAATATGTATATATAACATATGCCGCGAAAGATCCAGAAACAACGGAGTGGTGTAAGGGCAATGACGGAGGAGTATCAAAGGCACAATAAGACGATACATGCTTTATTTACTCGCTGTCGCGAGGAGAACTAGGTGCTTGGAGTACTCTGATGTTCTCTGTACCACGAATAAATATAGAGGATCAATCACTAGACAAATAAGGTGTTCGTACCATGTCTCAAAAAGATTTGCCTTTGACCTTGAGGTGAAGCCGGATCTGCGCCAACCTCCGGATCCCGGAGCTCAAAGTTGGCTTCCACATACACTCGAGTTCCTTTCGCCAAACCACGCAAGAATTGGTTCTGGCCCGGGTGGAATGAGATAATATGGTGCCATGTGGTTGCACTCTCCGCTCGGCCTGAGTGCTAAGATTAGCATTGGAGATTCCACTGGTTGAAAACAAGAAGAAAACTCACTGCCATCGGGGTTTGGGGGCGGTGGCGGGTAGTTGGTTGTTGCAACAGTATATCTAAAAGGGAGCCTGTCACTGGAGGGTCTAATATTGCTTACAGCTGAACATACGCGACATATTCCTTTTCAGTCTTCGTTGTTCGGAGCTCGGGATCCTTTCCCAACCTGCCTACGAGTGTGAGTTTGGACAGGTCATATGAACGCGAGGGCGTTGTTGAGAAAGCCTAGCAACCCATGGAAATTAGCGCGACCGTTCGCAAAAGACAAAGTGAAGATAGCCCGTACGCGAGAAGAAGTGCGGGCCAAGGAAGAACGAGCTGCAGCAAACATGATTACCAGTACAGAGTAATGACAAGTTCAGTGTAGTGGAAGGAGCAAAACTAGTACTGAGACACGGTAGTATTTTTTGTTAGTTTGCCGAGTTGCATTGGCAGCCGCGGTGGTGGCGGAATGTTTACCATTGCTGCGCACTGTGTGCGTGTGCTTGGAGCAGGTTGGCAGTGCTTCGGGTCTGGAGCGGCTACCGGTAATCGTGGATTTCAACCAGATTTCGACTTTCTTTCCTTCATTTCTTGTATAATTCATCTGTACAGCCAACTGTACAGCCGTACTTTGTTTACTTTGTATAATGTCACGACACAGACTTGTAAGAAATTTAGATCTGAACGGTGAGCAGCTTCTTCTGCAATCTCAAGTGCCATCGCTGATTGTTGACGGGGTTTTCGGCAAACCTTAGATGAATTAGACGATGACGCTCTTTCCGATGGTGGGGAGGATGAGATGACTGTAGAGCAACAAGGTATGTTCTTTGTGGTACAGATATACAATGTATATAGGTTGATCCTTCTTAGCTCAAATGGCTGAAGGTCTGGATCATGTGAGGGCTGTGATGGGAGCCGAAGATGTTTCTGGATTGGACGATGAGACCATCAGGGGTGCACTATGGGAGCTTTACTTTGATGTTCAGAAAACAATCGATTGGTTGCTTGGTTCGTGAACAGGGCTTCTTTTCTCACTGGCCATTCTAATTCTCCATTTCCATCATGCAGAAGAGCAGGAACGGAGGATCGCGGCGAGAGAACGTAAAGGTGAGCTATATTTCTTCATCGCCTTTTGAAGCTTGTGCCCTTGTTTGTTTTTTGCACTGTTACCACGTTACACTTGTTGCTTGTTGTCTTTGGCCACATCGTTACGCATGAGCTATTGATCAGGAAGGTGCATGTCACTCTTGTCTTTTCCTCTGTCTAATATCATCCCATGAAGCCACCGAATGTTCATTATGTTCATTGTTTTCGCGCCGCAGCACAACGGGCGAGTAAAGAGCTTCCTCCGTTGCCATATGACCAGCAAGGCAACGAGTACGTCACCGAGTACGACGAATACCAGCCTCCCGAATTCATTCCACTACGAGGAGAGTATGAATACGACGAAGATGGGCGACCACGGGTTCCATTAATCGTCTTGGCTCAACAGGGTCATTATCAGGATTACCAACCTGAGGGCTACCCTGAGGAGTATCCAGAAGATTATACCGAAAGTGCCCGGAGCTATACGTGTGCTCTAAGCACCATAACGGAGCGTACTGAACGAACGGAGGCTTCGAGTCGCTGGCCCAACAAGCAACAGTTGATGGCTTTAAATAATCCTCGAGCGCCTTCTTCCACTGGGACTAGTACATCATATGGTCAGTTCGTAGGTGAGGCGCCTATCTGATTAGTCGTGAAACGCATCCAACTGGTCATTTTAGGGCAATACAACGCTACTTCATCAACAACAGACTTCGGTGAAGAGTTAGAGCGTCCACTTGATCCAAATGAAATACCGCCTTCGCCGTCTCCTTCAGCAGTGAAGAGACTCTCCAAATTTGACCCTGCACCATCTGTTGCCACATCCGAGTCGCGATCCATGTCTCCGATGCTCCCATCATATATGCCGAGCAAGCCTGTCACCTTTTCGCCTCTAGCACAACCCATCTCAGAAGTCCATGGAAAGAAGTCTAATCAGTTCGCCAACCCTCCAGCCTCTCCTCCCAGCAGCGGTACAGCAAAGAAATCGAAGCTTTCCATGTTGGCAAGCTCCCGTGCCAGTACCGCAACTAGGCATTCCACATTATCTGATTCAGAGACGTCATCAGTGATCACTTACCCTGCTCTGAGGCCAGCTCCCGAGTCTACGCTTTCATTGGCTCCTAAAGTGACACCATCTTCAAAATCGTCTTCGACTTCTCCATCTTCCACATCATCTCTTGTGCGTCGAGCAATTCAATCGGCTTTGGAACTGGAGGCTTTGGATCGCGATACTCCTAAAGATAACCACAAGAGCCTGTCGACTGCATCTTCGGCAAGCTCTAAGACAGTCAAACCGAGTAAGCCTCCTTCTACCAACCCTCAGTCACCTCCCCGCGCTGTCGATCCTGTGCTCCCTGTGGCGAAAACAGACCACCAGAATAAGGTTCGCCAGCCATCGAAATTAGCAATGCTCGCTCAGGCCAAAGCCAATGCTCACCAGGGACCTCGGATGCCAAAGTCAGGTCCGCCGAAGTCTCCTCCTAGAGAGCTTCCAAATTCACACACAGAATATCTGACACCAATCGCTAATGGATCTACTGTTACGACGGCGATAACGACTTCTTACCAGTCGCTTTATAGTCTCAGTTCTACAACGAGATCTAGTGACCAACCAGTAGTAGTGCCACTCTCTAATTTCCAGCAACCTGAAAAGCAATCGAAACTAGCAATGAAGATAAAGAAGGCGCACGAAAAACCTTCTTCGCAGAGTTCTGTTACCGAGGAAGATTCTGGTGTCGTGTATACACCGCCCATGTTCGTACCCAAGTACACCCGCTCCCGTGCGTCTCCTTCGGCATTCGCTTCCTTACTTCTCGATAACTCTCTAACGTACTCCGAAGACAAAGACACCCATAGGACTCTGAAGGACAGGAGCTCAGAATCAAAGCAGACCAAAGTTCTGCGAGATCCTCGCTCCCAGATCCGACGTACCTCTGATCCTAGTCGACCCAAAAAAGACCGCCCCAAGACCACTCCTCCGGAGCTTGGGACGCGGACGGGTTTTGCTTTCGACACCCCAAGTCCAGACGATATTGTATATAGTGCTCGACGTGGCACTACCCTTGCCCAGCGGCGTTGAAGGACCTTTCTGTCTTTTTATCTTCCTTTACCAGAGGAGTTATATTGTTCTTTATATTTTATTTCATTATTTTGTAGATCGAGGTGTTGTTTGACAATACGGACTGTGCTAATGTAATTTTTATTGCCACTGTAGCTGCTCGGGAACGCGAGAAGGCACAGAAGGTCGCTCAGAAGAAAGCGGTTAATTCAGGATCTTCGACTCCTATATCTCGAGCAATGTCTCCAGTTAATACTCCAGCTCCAGGAAAAGGTGGGAAAAAGTCAGGTATAGCATCACCCAAGAGGTCTGGAACATCAACTCCCATTCGACATGGCGGAGGTTTGGATCAAAGATTGCTAGATATCAGCGCATTGAATCTTCAGCCAAAAGAAGAAATTTCTCGACCAGTGGACGAACCTGCACCCAAGGTTGCATTTGCCAGGGAAAAGGTATTGGAAGAAGCACGAAGAGCCGTTGAGGCCCAGAACGGCAACGGCAAAAGAACAGTCAGCTTGGTGGTCATCGGTGAGACGATTGGTTGGTCTTGTCGAAACGCATGTTGAGCTTCAGGAAATAGGTCATGTCGATGCAGGAAAGTCGACACTAATGGGTCGTCTATTATATGAGCTCGGGCGTGTCGACGAAAAAACAAGAATAGCTAATGAGAGGGGAAGCAGTAAAGCCGGTAAAAGCAGCTTTAGTTGGGCTTGGGAATTAGATGGTACAGTCGAGGAGAGAGAAAGGTAACGAATATTTGGTCGTAGTGAAATCATGCTAAACGAGATATTTTTAGAGGGATAACTATGGATATTGCATTACAGTCTTTGGTAACTCCTCATCGGCAAATCACTATCCTCGATGCTCCTGGGCACAAAGATTTTATCCCGAACATGATTTCAGGGGCTTCGCAAGCTGACTGTGCCCTATTAGTTGTAGATGCTGCCACAGGAGAGTTTGAGGCTGGGTTTGACCGAGGTGGTCAAACTCGCGAGCATTTGCTACTTGTAAGGAGTCTTGGAGTTGCTCAGGTTATCGTTGCTGTGAACAAGTTGGATCAGGTATACTATTTATCCATCCAGTTGATTTCTTGCGTTTATCAGGAACATTTGTAGGTCAATTGGGATCGAAGTCGTTATGAAGAGATCAGTGAACTACTTAGAACATTCCTAACTCAATCTGGTTTCCACCCCTCCAAAAGCAAATTTGTACCAGTCGGCGCCATGTTGGGCGTAAATCTAGTTAACCGTACTGGCCCTGACGCTGCGACTCTGGCTGCCTGGTACAAAGGGCCCACATTAGTTGATTTACTAGGTATGAACGATTTTCATCTGTGATCACCTTGTATCTGACATGTCTACAGATAAGCTGGAACCTCCTTTGCGCGACCTCACATCACCTCTTCGACTACCTATTTCAAATGTCTTCAAAGGCCAGGGCTCTGGTATTGGAGCCACTGGCAGAATCTGCGGTGGTATCGTACAAGTGGGTGAACGTGTACGTGTTCTCCCCGGGGATGAGTCTGCCGTAGTGAAATGTGAGCTCTCCTTGTCACTATGTCGCACTATATCCCTCAGAAAATATCACAGTGATTGATGTCGAAGAAGAAAGCGTACCTTGGGCTGCGGCCGGTACATATGCAACGCTATACCTTACTGCTATCGACCCTATCCATGTCAATATTGGCTATGTCGTGTGTTCAACAACCGATCTGGTTCCTTTGGCCACTGTCTTTACCGCACGTATCATTGTGTTTGACATCCAGCTTCCCATAACTGCAGGAGCATCGGTGCGCATTGTCAAACTTGGTGCCGTCTTCTTCTGAGATTTAGTTTTTTTAGGTCGAACTATTTCACCACTCGCAAGACGTTCCAGCTACCATCTCAAAGCTGGTGACATCTCTAGACCGAACATCTGGTGCTGTTTTGAAGAAAAACCCTCGGTTTGTACTTCAGCCATATTGGTTCTTCTTGGAATTCATGTGCCGCTGTAGAGTCTTGACCAGAGGTTTATCTGCCGAAGTCGAGATAACTATACGACCCAGTTCTTTATCAGGTCCATCTAGTAGCACGCGCCCCATTCCCTTGGAGCGTTTCTCTTCGAGCAAAGATATGGGAAGAATCCTCATTCGACGAGGGGGTGAAACCATCAGTGCTGGTAAGTCAGTCCGCGATCAGCTGTGCACTCCGTTGATTTTATTTTAGGCATCGTGCTTGATATCATTGCATAGAGACAGAAGTAAGGACGGAACAAAATGACGTGATAATCCTTGTAAGAGACATCTTGTACAACATCAGCATGTACACGATGCTTCCACAACTTAACATGTACGAGAAATGGAAACAAATATGTACAATATCCTTTGATATGATTACAACAAAGCTGTTACACGTTACATACCGATTCTACCGATAGGTATCGATAGAACTTCTTTGTAGTGGAGAATGAAGTAGACCGTGTCAATGACGTTCCGATCACAAGACAGGTTAGACAAGTTACAGTACAACAAATAGATAACTAGAAAACCCCGCAAATAAAGAATAACCCAAGACATCACCATCGTTCCAGTTTGACATGTATTAACAATTATTTGTGTTCCTTGTCCTTGTCCGTGAAAATATCTTTGAGCTTGCCAAAGATCGATTTTTTCTTCTTACGCGACGCGGTGGTGCCAGTCTTAGAAGATGGTGGCGTAGAAGTAGTGTCAGATCTCTCTGATACTGGGAACGTTTCTTTTTCCTTGGTGGAAGAAGGCTCCTTAGAATGTGTCTTGACATCTGGCGGAGTAGACACCTCTGCTGCTGGCTGGGCAGGCAAAACATTATTCTGCTTATGGTCCTTGGGGGGGACATCGGGTGGGATGGAGGGGGTCTCCGTACCGCCATTGACCTGGGCTGGCGTCGCCACCTCTTGGGCTTCTTGAGGTCCGCTATCCCCTTCTGCAGACTTTTCGCTGCCTTCTGCTACAGCAGGGGTAGGAGCAGAGGATTGCGGGGAAAGTGCTCCGTGCTCCGGTGTTTCAGCCAATGCCTCTACAGGCTGAGCTTCGGTAACTGCAGTCACATCGGAGGTACCTGGTAATGCGGTGGAGTTCGCAGGTGCTTCGGAAGAAACTACGGGAGGTGATTCGCCCTCCTCCTGCTGGGCAGGAGCCTTGTCATCGTGTGCTCCTTCCTCGGCAGGCGCGCCAGCCGTGGTAGAAGCCAGACTTTCATCTTTGGATGCCTCTGGGGCATCAGGTTCAGGAGTGACGGCAACTACAGGTGTAGGAATATGTGGTTCCTCTGAGGTTATTGGTGCTGCAGCAAGAACTGCAGGCGCTACTGAAGGCTCAGGGTCTTGCAGTTTCGCGGGAGTATGCGTAGATGGTTCATCGCCGTTCTCTGAGACAAGCGGGGCTGACAGCTCAGACTTGGGTGTCTCAGAAAGGCTTTCAGCATCTTCCCCCGAAGTTACCGTAGTTTCTGCATTGTCAACAGGCTGAGCTAATGGAACTATAGACATCGGCACTGTGGGAGCGGATTCTGGCTCGTGCTCTGATGTGGATGATGGAGTTTCTTTGGTAGACGAGGTGGGTTCTTCAACTGGAACCTGGGAGAGAGAAGAGCCAGCCAATTTCAGTATATATGGAGCTTACTCGTGTCTGGGAACATCACCTTATCTTTCGTCGCGTCGCTTTCACCAGTACTATTTTCAGAAGCTGCCCCTAGACCCAAACCTGCTGCAATATACTGCACAGCAGAACTTGTCCCACCTCGCATGGTACCAACTACTTGTGCAGCTGTTTCGGAATAAGTCCCAGATTCCGTAGCTTGTTCGAGCTCCTCGTCCAAAAAGGGGTAACTTCCTGGCAGAGTACATGTCGTTTCTTTAGTTACATCGTTGTCAGTTGTAACCGAAGTCACTGGTTCTGCCACATTGCCAGTCGATCTGACTGACGACGCCGGTTCAACGTTGCCAGCGTCTGTAGACGCCTGGGGCGATGCTTCTGGCGGTATGACGGTGCCATTTGAACCCGACTCTGTGGAACCTGGAACTTGGGGCAACTTTTCCTCAACCATGACAAGGGTTGCTTCGTGCGTAACCTGTGGGACAGATGGCTCTTCACTGATATCTGCGGAGTCTTTTCCTTGAGTGGGGTCCAGAACCTGCGGTGGTAACACGACTGGCGGTGCTTCAAGAGTAGGTGGTTCCGGTTTCTGAGGAGCGGTGTATACGTTGTTGCGGTTCCCGGAAGAGTCTGCTTCGATTGGATGGTCGCTGTGTGTGACCCAATTACCATCAACTATGAATTTGTAGACGATTTTCTCTCCCCAGGGAATTCTAACCTTTCCTTGAAAAGAGGAAGGATCTTTGGTCAAATGAATTGAAGATGACCACTTTTAAGTTGTATGGAGCAGGTTAATATTCGCAATGGCGCAACTTTGGATGGAGCGGTACGTACCTGGTCAAAAGTGCCCGTGACGATGACGTCCGTTGCATCCATCCCAGGCCTTTTATGACCAGAAAGATTAGCACAAATACTTGACACTTCTGAGCCTAGACCATCGTACCATTCAAAATTAACCTCGTGCAAGTCGTCCATTGCAATTGATGCACCTGGAGAAAACAGAAGACAACGTTGTGACTGTTATCAGTGTAATAGATTTACAACAGGTAACAGCAAAGACTTTTGACAAGAACGACGGGAAGCGAAGAGCCGATTCAAGTTGACAGCCACTATGGTTCTATTGTCAACATGTGTATATGGAGTAATGCACTCCACTTCCTGGTAATTCATTGCCTGTCAGCGCACAGTAAGTAATCTAAGACCAGTATAATTCACGACGACATGATATGGTGGTTGTAGTACAGTATGCCAAAGGTCCCCACCATGTCAGTGATAAGTAGTCTGGACTGTAAATGATGCTAGCAACTTCGACATGTGTGCAGTTTCTGCATAGGTGAAATGAATACTATACGATCAATAGGCACCACCGTCAGCACCATCAGCTCCAACACCCCGCAGCGCGACTTTCCGACTTCTGCTTTTACGAGCACGAGTCAAAGATGCACCCTTGTCTTCTGGAGGTATGAATCCTAGCATATTCTTCTTTGCCGCACCTCCTGCATACACTTCGCTGCTGGACGCATCTCCAGGGGCACCATCATCATGTTCCACCCCGCCTGGACTTGGGGGCATGTACTTCTGCGTAACATTATCAGCGTAGACAATAGGAATAGGCGACTCGTATGCAACAATGTCCAGACGTCGACAATAATGTTGCACAGCAGCATAGAAAGCAGTCCTACGAGTATTTCGTAATCCCCAGTCCCTATAGGTAGGAAGAAATTAGCACAGTTACAATGATGTTGAGATTCTTGGGCTTACTGCCATGTCCTATAAACAATGAGGAAAGCAAATAAAAATGATCAGTTAGCTGTCGCTTCCACCTTAAAGAAACGTACGAGTTATGAGGGATAGTGATCGTGATTTCTAAATGTCTTTGAAAATCGATCTTCTGTAATGTAATCGAGGTGGTTGGCTGGAACCATCGATTTTCCTCCGTTGCTAGCCACTCGTTTAAATACTTCTCGAGGGCATCCAGCTTTTCAAAGGATGTGCGCCAAGCAATTTGCATTGTCAACGCTTCGGTCATTTTCTGTGTCAATCTGGTAAGATTCTGCTACCTGTTCATAAGCCTAAAGTCCAGACTTACGTCACTTCTTCGCATATTCGTACTAAAACGATTTCTGTCAGTAAATATGCAGGTAGGATACATATCAACTTACATGAATTTTGTGAATAAAAGGCTGTTAAAATAATACGTCTCTGTACCATCCGATCTAGTAAATACGGTCTTGATCGACAAAAGTTGTATAAGAATACGATCAAACAAATCATTGAACAACCCTTACCGCAAATAAACCCATTTTCTTCACAACAAGATTGTCGGCTGTTTACACTAAGCAACAAGCACTGGGAGTGAATTTGAAAGCCTCACTGTCAATGAGAATCCGATCGCCCGTATCAAAGGGACTGTCGAAGAGGGTTAGAAGACAAGTGAGAACTGCATAACAACGGAAAACACGTACTGGGTAACAAATAAAAACATGATAGCATCAAATACATTGCTGGCCGAATTTTTGAAGATAAAGCTAGCGGCGATTCCAAGTGAGTAGACACTTGTTAATGACTGGTCAACATTGACACCAAAAACACTCAAGGATATGAAGAACAAGATGATAAACGCAAATAATAGTAGTATAGTATTGAGCGTCTTCAACGCGACGCCGACGTCACGCATACTGCGCGAAAGAAATCTTCTTTCTTTGTACACCTTAACCAGAGTAGATTTGATTTCGGCACGCGAAATATCACCGTTGTCGTCCTTGTCAAAAACGCGAAACGCTTCCTTGGCTTCATCATGTGAAGCAAAAGCAGGATTGAAATCAGAAGTGATAAGATAAGATCGTCTACGATCTTTGAAGGTCTTGTATATGGCCTTGGCTAAACGCTTGGGTAAACAGATAAGTTTAGACCACAATAAATCGTCGACAGCGTAAAGCTTTACCTTTGCTTCGTGTGCCGAATTTACGCTAAAAGTTAATCCACCAAGTTCATCGTTCCCACCCTTGATACCTCTTGCATCGTGCAACACCGCCGTCTTTATCGCCCTCGCTGCCTGCATAAATGCTGCCTCAGACTCTTCATGTGGATCAAATGATCTTCTCCGACCTGGCGTTGGGGGATACTTGTGTGGTGAGTCTTTATCCTTTGGCGAGTGTAACGCAGGAGGGGTGCGAGTGGCAGAGGGTAGTTCCGACATTGGAGTTCCAACTGTAGACTCGTTGAGGTTATGATATACCCTTGTTGTAGGCTTCTTATGTTTTCCTTTTGCCTTCTTTCCCTTAGTTCCCTCGTCATCCCCATCATCATCCCCATCTCGACCTCGAGATGCATCGGGACTATCCGCACGTAATCGACTATTTAAGAGATTGAAATGTTCTTTTTCGCTGAAAGGTGAAGGGAAACCAAAAGAGGAAAACATTTGACTGTGACCGCCACCCGACCTGTGGTGGTGGCGACTCGTTGCTTTAGGGCGGTAGTTGCGAAGCTTCTCGATAGCATGAAGTGCTTTTTTCACCTCTTCAATACGCTCTTTGAAGGCGGTACGATGAAAAGCAAAGGCTATATGCCGAAAGGAGCGGTCAGAGAAAATTTGATATATGATTTGAACAAACTAACCTATGGCATGAGACAACATTCTTTGAGCACAGATCACTAGAGATAGGAAAAATAAGAATTCTATGGCTTCAGCGACCTGACCAGCGATTATATGTCATTTGAACTTCAAGGTACACGAGATCATCATCATCACACTCACTCGGTCAGTGTACCCAGCTGGACTGCTAAGTGAACGATTGGTATCGTACAAGTGGAATATATTCGCAAACAAGATGATCCAGCTTGCCCAGGCACTTGCAGCGTATAGTAATGGTTTGAAGGTATCCTTGATGGAGTCATATAATTCCATGCGTGATTTAATTCTTTCGGACACATGACCCCAGGAGATTGAAATGAAGATACGCGTAAGAACGGGTATGATGTCCACGATCATAGCTAGGTACCAGGAGATGACGACGTTGGCGGCCGCCCAGAAAAGCCATGCTTCAACGTTGTCTTTGACATACCGCCGGTGATTAGTTGGGTGAGGCTTGTACCAGAAGAAATGTACGAGGAGGGCAGGTGCCACTAGGATACCCGCAAGAAAGGTGGATCCAATAAGCGATGAAAAAAGAACAGTGAGGACCCTATGATGTTGAAGTCAGATACGGTATATATTCAGACAATCAGCATATATGCGCCCTTTTGGGTTCTAACGAGATTCGGAAGGGAGCAGAAACACTGGTAAAGGTTAGTGACTGACCTTGCGATACCCCATCCCCTTGGCTTGAGTTTCACGCCCATTTGTTTCTCAAAATTAGCTTCTTGCTCCACCAAATCCTCTTCACCACTCCAGTCAAAGTCATCTCCATCTTCTTCCTCGTCATCGGTTCCAGCTACAGAGGACGTTCGTGACTCGAGTTTCGGTGGACTATTGAAGTAACTTGGTGCTGGTTCATCGTTTATGTCGTCGGGGTAGTGTACAGTTGGTTTTTGGTTCGAAGATTTGTTATTTTCAGCGTCTAATTGGCGAGAACGCCGCTTTTCATTATAATCCCCATTAGGTGTTTGGCTCTTCTCGATATCAGTCATGAGATTAACCTGCGAACGGTATGCGGGAGTGTCCTGAGGAGAAGACTCGAGGACAACCTGGGATGTGCTGGTGACGGTTCGGTAAGGAGGGGAAGGTAAATGACGAACAAAATCTTCGTTTGCCGTAAAAACGGGGTCTTGAGGTCCAAGGCGAGGCGGAGGTTGGAGCCGGTCCTTCATGTTTGGAGATATCAGATTTTTCGATGCTTTCCCAGCTGGTGCTCTTCCACGTGCTGCTGTCAGATTGTGGACGATATCATAGGAAATAGCCCGAGTGTACGTGAGACCAGAACAGGATTTTTAGACGACGGAGGCGGATAAGAAGAGTCACATCACTTACCACTGGCAGCTGTCAATCGCTCCACAATAACTTCGAAATTCAGGATATCACCGAATTCTAGGTACAAAGACAGAATTGACAGGAACGCAAAACAATAGGTAGAAAAACAGGTTATGCAATCACTGATGATTCAGATGATTCAGATCATAGTGGACTAATAATGCAAGTGGCGTTTCGGCTGGAAGACAAGCAAAGCAAACATATGTGGACCGTAGGATAAGACTTTAGTGGATATCAGTCCATGCATCACGATTAATTATGTCTAATTTAATATAGACCTTTTTCTCCCCTGGATTTTCATTCTGCGGATTATGTTTGTAGCTCTAGGGCTCAGATCTTAGAGCGTGACCGCCGCGTGTCTATGAAGTCTCGACCAATTAGACTTGTATAAAGTCGATCAACTGTCTCCATACATTCTGAACGTCGAAACAGTGGATGGGGAGGAGTCTGGGTAAAGCTTGGCTTTTATATGCCATTTTCGCAAGAGCCCAACAAGAGACTAGTCACGAATAGAAAAATTGGTTCTTCGTCAAATTCGCTTCATTGTCAAGACAACCACTATAGAAGAAAACTGACATTAGCGTCCACGATGGATTCTGCACAAAAAGGAGGGTAGCTGAAGGAGAATCGGTGGGTTTTCCAGCAGGCAATAAGTAACTTTTCTCAAAGTCAGCAACATGTACATCAATCATGTATAGCTTGAGCTCCATGCACGTAGGGATCCGCATACCCTACCGACACGAAGAGTCAGATATTGGAAAGCCAAGCAGTCATGTATGTACTTACGATGAGTTCCGAATAACATCATCATCGCCGCATCAGCACGCTGCTTGCCGTCGAGGCGGGGATCGCGAGCTTTTTCAGAAACCAATCGGAACTCTGAATTAGTAAGACCATCTTCGTCGGGGGTCTCAGGACACTCCACTGCGCCGGGAGACCTATCTTCTCCGGATGGTGCTGGAGCTTCCCCCATTGCTCCATAAGCAGGGTACACCTCAAATTTGTATCCCTCCCCAAAAGACTGTCCTGCCGGTTGTATTGCTTGAGAGGGAAAGGTACCAGTCATACTCTGGACATGCTGGACTACCTGAAAAGAATGTGCACGCGCAGCCACATCACTGTATCCATCAGGCACGAAGAATATCTCGGTAACCAACTCAGATATTAGTCGCGCGAACCTCTGCACCCGAGTAGTAGCAGATGTGCTATTATCCCGTATGAATTGCTGCAACTTGCAATGCGCATTGATAACCATGGCGAGAGAAGATAAAGCTGGCATCTCTAAGTCGGCACGCACATCCATGGCAAAGAAGGGAGCGAGAGGTTCGTTCGGCGGCGAGTTCGAACAAAGACGGTCACCAGATGCAGTCCACCATGTCCAAGTTACCTCGGATGCCGGCGGAAAATACTGCCCCTTGACGAAAAAGCGCCGATTCTTCGCGATCCCTAGCGCCAGACCATCCGGGAGCAGCGCATGAGGATGAAGGATGATTAAGTCCCACTGCGGTCTGCAAAAAGGTGCCTTCGATACCTGTAGACAATTCGTTAGAGCCATTATTATAGACAAAGTAAGAACATACGTCTAGAGGCCGTATGACACCTTCGGCCGGAAAGATATGTTCCGCCCACTTTTCGTTGGACTTCCGTAAAGCATCGAGCATGGCGATTGCATCACTTTCAGCCGGAACAAAGCAATAAGTTCCATAAAGATCCCATTGAGTATGAAGATTGGCCTCCACTGGAAATAAGAAGTATTCGTCAAATGATGGAAACTGTTGCTCAGTGGACTCACAGAGAATTGCATTGGCGGAGCTATCCAAAAGGAATCGGTTTATGGAGGGAGGGTGGAGACGCTGCTGGGAAAGATAATCCTCCTGGAACAGGACTTCAAACATTGCGTATATGTAGAACATGAATACTCACCACCTCCCTCTTTCGCGTCGCGTTGTGACGAACGGCGTTGATTATGTGGGCAGCCTGCAGATCGGCAACTGCAGAGCCCGTCAAGAAAGACCGTTGATCGCAGGCAAGAAGGCGGTGTCGAAGAGACTTGTCAACTCTAGATTCTGGAGACCATTCGCTGTCCGTTTGTGCTGTTTCAGACGGTGGTGCGAGTGCTCGAACCCAGGCCTCATGCCCGGGTCCGATATGTGGGTTTGGAGGTAACTTCTTGGCAAGCGGTATGACCACACGGAATTGCTCTGCGTCGTTATCGAGTTCAACACGAGACATGATGTTATTAGACAGTCAGATTGTGAATGATATCACGTGGAAGAGTGAAAAAGCGTTAGGATTTATCGACAATGGACAAGACGGATAAGGAGATAAAACCAGTAACATCAATCACTGGCAGCCGAGCAAGAACTTGAACTTTGCAGGTTCAAAGACGGGATTGGGAACACTTTGGAATTGACAGGGAAGCAGAACAAAGTGGAAAGGGGGGAAATAGCTACTGTCGAAGACGACGCTGAACGACGGAGTCTAGAAATCATGTGCAAAGTTCAAATTGTTGAGGTATGCAGCATTCCATCCGACTCCCCAGCTCATCATTCCATCGTATCCGACATACTCAATAATCACTATGGCCAGTACCGCCGGTCCCTTGGATCCTAAAGCCGTGAAGCAAATGGAGAAGATCATCGAGAAAGAAGGCAAGGGTGAGGAGAAGGACTTCCAACATGCGCTGAAAGACTTGCATGCTACCGAGAAATCTGAATCTAAAGCGAGCAAGGTGAGACCTACCGTCTTTCCCGCTCACTTGCTCAGCGCTGAGGCCGCTAATTTGCTCGATTTCACTCCAGGCAGCTTACAAGGCGGAGAAGACCCTGAAAAAAACGGAGAAAAAGGAGCAAAGTGCCATGAAGTCACTGCAGAAAGCGACGCACGCCCATGATATGGCTGTTACGAATCTACATAGTGCACAAACCGATGCGCAGGTAACTTTGCTACATACACTTTTCAAGTTATCACTGCTCAACAGGCTTTATTAGGTCAAACAGCAGCAGGACGTGAAGCTTAAACAAGCTCTCGAGGCCAAGGTCACTCGCGTCAATGAGATATCTAAACAGAAGGAAATACATAATGTCTGTTATTCAATTTTCATATACGAGTCCGTCTTCTTTATAACTTGCTATAACTTAGCACGAGCGAGAAAGTAGACTATCTCAAATTCACGAGAGGCCGAACCAGGCGGTTGGGACCAGTCTTGGTATTCCAGCACCTAATGCAAGTGACGTTCCGGGTGCTCACTGAACAGATAACAAACCCATATGGACCGTAGAACTTTGGTAGATAGCCCTCCATTCATCACGATTGATTATTTCTGTGGACCTTTTTTCTCCTGGACTTTCATTCTACCTATTCATTTTTGTAGCTCTACATACACACGCATGTATCCCAAATGTATACATTGTTCCAAGCCAGCTGGTGTATTTCCTTAAACTACTGTATACGAATACCGATTTGTTTATCATTAATATGTGTGTATCATCGTCATATGCATATCACACTTCCCGTTCTAAAGGTTAACTCTATGCGCAAATAGACACACGAAGTAATGCAATACCAGCGGGAGTGAGAGTCTTCGTACCACCATGAGATATCCGGTAGTTAGAAATGTTCTTGAAATGCGTCGACTTCGTGATGAAAATGGCTCTCTCCGACCTCGCGGAAGTTGATGACCATGCGTGCTCCTGCTATCACCACCGATGCCATAACGAAAGCCTCAGAAATTTCCATATATATTGACTACACCAAACACAATCAGAGTCAAAGCCGCGTGAAATGCGTCAGGATGAGACCCCTAGACGCCAAGAGCGTTCACTCACCGGGAGGCTAAGCCACAAAGCCGTTTCGATGGCACACGCCGATACGACGCTAATGATGGGGTTCAAGGCTTTAGGACTTTCACCGAGAAGATAAGCAAGATACGCACAGGAGGAAATAGAAGATACTATGTTTCACGAGTATCTTCATCAACGAGTTAGCTTCCCATTTCCCCACGATTTGTCGCATGTTTTGCATGTGGGTGATACCTGCGCGTAGTGCAAGAGCAAAAAGCATAAACTCGAAGGACAGGATCGGGATGTATATGGCCGTGATACTTCCCCCGAGCCGTGATTCAGCACACATCTTCCAAGGAAGACCCGGTATGGGCTCAGACGTGGCTGCGGATAACGAATGTCAGTAAAATAACGCACGTACATGTGTGACAGATATGAACGCGTGGACTTACGTATGGTAGGACCTCCAGAACGGAGGTTTATTGCCAGAAGTGTGGCAGTGGCAGCAAGCTGTACCAGAAAGCCTGCAAACATTGCCAATAGAAGACGGTTCGAACGCCGATACATGGCATATATGCGTAATTGCAAACTACCTTACGAACATCGAGGCATTTTATAGGGTCTAAAATGAACGAGAAAGAGGACAAACCTTGTAAAGACCAGTGGACTACGCAGCTACCCCATGCTTGAAACTGAAATGCTTTTAAGCCTGGTCACATATGGGGTAAGTAATTAGATATAGCATTATATCACAGACCACTTACAACTGTACAGTTTTCAGAAACAACGAACTCTTGATTAAACCATAAACGTTTCATGAGAAAGAAGAGCGACATACAACTGTTTCATTCTTTAGTATATGTGACTGCTAAAATAGATGGATCATTACTAACTGCACTGGAAAAGGAAGTGCTGACAAGAACTGTAAGGTGGATCGCATCAGCTCCAATCAAATCCATAAACGACCTATCATACAAACAGCACTAGCACTTTCGATGGTCGATATTGAGGTGAGTGGCTTGATGGATCCAGGGAGCCCACAAACTTACATGAGAATGGTATCACCCATGTATCTAGACTAGTGTCGAGTAAGGTTTGAGTAAGAAAGCAATTGCAGAGGTCGTGATACCGTACTGTAAGATAGAAAAACGTCATGAGAGACCACTGCTTTTTCTACATATGCACTTTAGAAACAGCTTGCAGAAGTTGCACCTATTGTTTAAGTACGACGTACCCACACCAAGTCCACCTTAACAAATAAAAAGGCAATAGAGATTCAATTTGAGATGAGGGTTGTTGGCCAGAAGCACGTACCTCCCTCCGAAAAGTAAGCGCTGTTACGAGTTAGAACAATGTAAGGTGGAATTATAGCCCACTAATTTTGATTTGGAATCGTACCATGATCATATACGGCGACGACGGCGACTGCAACTGAACCACGAAGAGAAATAGTCAATAAAGTCACTATTTTCAATTTGAACATGATTTAAAGGCCCACGCTGGCAATATCTAGTCGCCTGTAGAGAATTTAAGCTATCCATGAGCAACTGGGCCATGGTTAAATTAGGTATAAAGAATCGAGAAGTACAGCTGATCTAGAGGGGGATCGAACCAAGATCTTTCGGGGAGTCGGCAATAAATATCGTTTTGGGTGAGAGTATACCAATAGAGACGTGCCTCAGGTTGTAAGTATTGAGATGGTATCAGAAGGGATGGATCAGGGTATCTGTCCTCGCCATCAGTGTTGATGCATTTCCGAATCGATCCTATTTAATCACACCACCAGGCTGATGACATTGACTTTCAGTGAGAAAACCTGTCACATACGACCGTGGCACTTGCCTTGGCTTGAGTGATGATGTGGACATGATATCCCGAATCAAAGCTGTCCCACTGCAACTTACTATAGCTACTTTCATCTGATGATTGGGTATTGGCGCCTCGACATGTTGCTAGTGAGAGTTCCCGGAATATGTATACAAGCAACTCGCATCAGAAGAGGTAACAGGGAAGGCAGAATCCTCGCCTACCATGGGGGGCCTAAAGCCGAACACGCATTGACGTGTTAGTTATGGAGCTGCTGGGTTACTTTACCATCACTGGCAAGGAACTAGCGACACAGCACCGAGTGATACGTCAATGACAGCTAAGCGCCGAGGGACGACATGTCAGGTTTTCACAGGTAATGCGCACTTTCCCTCTCCCGTTGCATGGCTTGCATTCGAAATCGTATAAGCTCATCATGATATTTCGGGAGGCAAAGAGGAGGGTACACTTTAAAAGCCTGTACTGAATCCTTACGTTTTCTACATATTACCTGATTTGTAGAATTTACATAAGCAGAGCAGTTTTCCTTCTCCGCTGGTCCCGTCCTCGTCCTCGCTGCTGTTCTCAACGCCGCAGAGAAACCTTTCCGTCGTCATTGCTGTCGTCGTCGCCATCGATATTCCCAATACCACTTGGCGGACTCTTAAAATTTGACCGTCATGAATAAAAACCCATTTGTACCGCAACCCAGCTACAATCCTCCCCAACCTCCTCTCCCCCCAGGACCACCACCAACGGCTCCTCCAGATTACTCCGCCTATTGGGCAGCTGCAGTAGCACAGCAGCAACAAGCTACTGTCGCATACAACCCACAATGGAGTGCACCGCAACCCCCACAGCATCCTCGACCTTCCCCCGAACAGAGTGCTTTGTATGCAAACTATGGCTACGGGGGACAGCAAAATCTTCATTGGCAACAAAGGCAAAATCAGCCTGTACAACAGCAACACTATCAGCCTCCTCCACCCGTCGTGCAACCTCCACCCCCTCCCCCGCAGCCACAGTACAACCCGTATCAGCCCTCAGTGACCTACCAGCAGCCTTATGTTCCCCAAGCACCCCAGCCTATGGTTTCGCAGCCTGGATATCAGCCACCACCTCAACAGCACCAGATGCCACCACCTCAACAGTTTTACCCGCAACAGCAACAGCAGCAACAGCAACCCCAACAGCCGCGACACAATCATAACCTACATCACACTCCCCCACAGCACTTACCTCCGGCAAAGCGCCAGCGGTTCGATGGGCCTAATCACAATCAACATCAAAATCAACGGAGTCAGCTAGGGCCCCCACCACCCCAACCTCAATTTCAACCCCCTCCGGCACCCCAGAATGGTCCCTCAGCGATGGGTATGTATGGGCAAGGGCAAATGCAAGGTCAGGGACGTGGCGGTGCACCAGGAGTGAACCAGGTACCTCTTGGTGGTGGAAGAGGTGGCGGGGGCGGACGGGGCGGAAATGTGGCCAGCGGACGGGGCGGAAGGGGAGCGGGAATGGGAGGTAACAGAGGGGGTATGGGGCCCAGTAGAGGTGGTAGGGGTGGCAGCATGTTTATGAATAATGGCGGTGGAAGAGGGGGAATGCAAGCAGGAGCTTCACTGCGAGGCCATGGATCAAGGGGAGGCTTTGGAAATAATAAAGATTTTCATAACCGCAGAGGTGGGTCGTTCAATGCTGGTGGACATCATCAAGGAACTTCTACCTTCCGCGGCCGCGGACAAGGTCATGCATCGGGACGAGGAAGGCACGATGGAGGGAGTACTGTGTTTGGAACCAGAGATGGCGCCGCAGCTTCCAGCTTTGGAAGCAGTGGTAAGAAAGATGAGAACAGACGCACACTCACAGACTTTAAGATTGTGGGCCTTGAAATGCCTGACCTGGGTTGGACTTGGGGGACGTTGTCCTCAAAACCGTCACGTGTCAAGGCAGAGGTAAAGGAAGTGGCTTCTGATCTTCCCAACGCTTCCAATATCAGCGTCAAAAATGAAGTCACAGAGGTGGACGTGGCATCTCGTTCGGATACTGCTGATAAAGCAGGTAGTGCAGATCCTGCCGCAGGTGCAGCGAATGGTGTAGAAGTTGATGCGGTTGGTGTGGAATCCGCATCTTCTTTTGTTACGCCTCCACCATCCCGGATTCGCATTTATTTCCATACGCCTGTGTCTCCTGATGATTCTCATCCCATTCCTCATAACAGTTCATTCTCTCTTGGTACTCCTATGGATTCGCGCAAAGGCAAGCGGAAGAAATTGGAGGACGATGATGGAGACCTTGAGGAAGGTCGGGAGCGTCCTCCCCCTCCTCAGATGGGTAGCGGGTTAAGCGATACTGCTAGCATTGATATGGATGGCATCGGAAGGGGGAGTGTCGCTCCTAGTGTTGCAGAAACCGTCAGTGAGGGTGATTGGCTGATGGCTGCTATAGCGGAAGACGACGGCGAGGCTGATGCCGAAGGTGAAGAAGATACGGACATATTACATGTGAGCGAGGTTGAGAATGCTCACGACTCCAATGTCGATGTTTCGATGAACCAGAACGATGATGGTAAGTCTTTTGACCGTCTCGATCTGCTCCCGGTGATTGCTTTGCCTCCTGTATGGGAGGAGCTTCATCTTACGGCTGTATCCATTCACCCAACTAATTGTGGTTTTACGCAAGGTACTCGTGCTGTTGATATGGACGAGCATGATCATACCACAGATTCGATTGATGACCCACGCAGCCGGTCTAATGCACTGCATACTGAGGATCATGATCATGTGGAAGTCGGGCAATCTGAGGTTACAGTGCCTTATACTCTTGGTGTTGAACCGTTATCCCCCGCCGTTGCTGACAAGCAGGGCGAAGGGACTGCTGCCGTTGTTCCCTCAGAGGAGGAAGAAGTCATTATCATCACTGGTGGTGTCGAGACACAGCTAGTTGACAATAACATTGTGCATTCTGGTTCTTCTACCGTTGTTGCTGACTTGACTTCTATCGCGTCGTCTTCTGCGTCATCGCTTTCTACTTCTACTTCCACACCTGTTACTTCATCCAATGTGCCTCATGGTGGAAAACAGTCTGCTGACGATGTTGGCTACTCTGAATCGCAGGTTGCCCATCAGTCCCCTTCAGGATCCAAACCGCTGGTACCTTCTGCATCTATTGCCTCTACAGTTGCCGATACGGAAACCCAGGAGGGCCACAACCCTACTCAAGAAGGATCGTCTACGCAACCTGATGAATCCGATGACAAAGGAGATGGTCCAGAAGAAGCGGATTCTATGGAGCAAGAACATTTACCTGAACCTCCTGCATCCCCTGCATCGAACACGCTACTTTCTACTTCTTCAAGTTCAACGTATGGTGATCCCTCTCAGTCTCAATCCATCGCCATAACGAAGAGTGGCAAGACCCCGTCGGCCAATCGTCTTTCAATATCTTATGCAGCCGGCAGTAGGCGGCTTGTTGTGGATGCGGAAGTAGTCGATCATCTCAAGGTTTTCCGGTCTGACGGCCGTATTGAAGTTCATATATCCGTCGAAAAGGACGATGCTGATGGATTGAAAGGCATCCTGGTATTTGATTACATTGTGCACAAAGTATACGTTCTTATAATTTTTCCCTATAGATTGAGGGTCTTTCCGACACCACTAAGTCATATCTTCCTTTACAAACACTCTCTGATGCCTCGGAATCGGATAAAACTATTCCTACGTTCTCGAAGGCTGCAATACCTTCTAAAATAAGTCTTACCGTCCATCTTGACACAGATCGTCCATTATCCGAACCGAAATGGGTTAAATCTGGGGATGTTCAAGAATGGCTAAAGAGTATGTTTGGACGGATGTTCTGGGTTGCCGGAGACGCCGCTGATGGCTGGGAGAAAAAAATTGAAGTCGTTGATCCTGATCCGGTTCGCATCACTTGACATTGAGTTTCTTTTACAACTCACTCAGTTTTTCTTTTTCTCATTTAGGCACCCACCATCTGGACTGTTCTTGATGGCTGGGCCGTCAATTCGCCAGTTGGCCTTCAAACCGAACGCCAGCGATTCCTCAAAACACATATGACAGAGACTGACAACCTCCTTGAAATTCTACTACGGTTGGTCCGAGGAGAACGGGCTACTCCCTTTTCACAGTCTGCTCCTACTATCTCTGCTCCGAGTGTTTCAGGTCCTCTTCTTTCAGCGCTCTCCCAAGGGTCTGCCCACGGCGCTCAGCAAACGCATGTTTCGCTTGCAGTTCTTGCCATGTTCCGTATGTGCGTGGACTATGCTGAGAAAGCATCGGGGCAGAAAGGAAAGGTGGAAGCTGAAGAAAAAATGAGCGAGATTGTTCGATGTTTGCCCTCGCATCTCATATACAAGAGTCTCGATGGTATATTTAAAGAGTGGCGCGTGGAGAAAAAAGGAGGAAGATAAATGGTATCACAGCTCATATTCTTCATTCTTCATTCAAATTTTGTGCTCTTGTTCAGCATCAGTAGATATGTCGCAATTCTTATATATAAGCACAGACAGCATTTTACTAGTCTCCTATTGCTCTTAGGCATATTATTCAGAAGAAACATAATCAAGCATTTTCTGAAGACACTACATAATCACGTGAGGTGATGGATGTGATATCCCCGATGCTAAATCCGATACGCCTAGACGCGTCACCAGACGTGCGTGTAGCAATATCATTCCTCTGAAGGAAGGTTGTCAATCAAGCATATTACCACCATGGTATGTCTTTTCATCTTCTGTGTAAGGAGTCTTTAGTGGTTACTAAAGCGCCGAACAGTTCAGAAACACTTACGATTCAGATAACACAGTCTTCTCGCCACAAGGGCGTCTTCATCAGGTCGAATATGCACTTGAAGCCGTCAAGCAGGGGTCAGCTGCTGTTGGTCTGCGATCCAAAACACACTCTATTCTTCTGGCTTTAAAGGTATGCTAAGTTGGTTGTCAAGTTTTATAAGCTGTACTGAGTAGCTCTATAGCGTTCCACCGGAGAGCTAGCATCCTACCAACAAAAGATGTACCGTATAGACGATCACATCGGAATCGCTATCGCAGGTCTGACATCTGACGCTAGAGTGCTAAGGTGCGCTCATTCCTTGCTCGCGTGCTCAATACTTACGCTGACAATCTACTCGCCGATAGTAACTTTATGCGCCAACAGGCGATGTCTTCCCGCATGGCCTTCAACCGACCTATGCCTGTAAACCGTTTGGTGTCATCCATAGCTGATAGTGGGTCCTAGTTCTATGGATGCAGAGTTGTGTAATAATAACGATTTATCCTCAGAGGCTCAAGTCAACACTCAAGAGTACGGTCGCCGGCCATATGGTGTCGGTTTCCTGGTTATCGGGCAAGACCAAACAGGACCCCATCTCTACGAGTTCTCCCCTTCAGGAAATTCGTATGAATACTATGCCATGTCGATCGGAGCCCGAAGCCAAAGTGCAAAGACTTATCTGGAGAAACACTATGAAAGTTTTCCTGATTGTATGTTTTACTTCTGCGTGTCTATTTTCATCTGCCTAACCTTTCCCGACTTCCCAAGGCTCACTCGAGGATCTCATTCGACACGGTTTGCATGCACTACGAGAGACGCTTCAGCAGGACAAAGATTTGAGCATCAAAAACACGTCTATAGGCATTATTGGGCCCTCAGGCGAACACGAGAAGGGTATCTCGCCTGCTGGGAATTTCCGTATTTTGGATGGACAAAGCGTTGATGTCTACTTGAAAACAATGGTGCCCAAAGACATGTCAGAAGGAGCAGTGCTTACAAGAGCTGCGCTGGCAGGATTATCCGGAATTGTACCCACAATTGTTACAGACGAAGATGTACAAATGGCTGAATAGATGTGCTAATAGGAATTTGAACTTGATGTAATACAGCGGACATTCAAGAATATTGATATCAGGATATATGAGTCTGACCCACGGGGAATTCTAACAGTGGTTTCACTGGATAGTGATGAGATGATAAGTTTATCAATTCTTGCGTGTAACTACATTCTAATGAGTGGTGACTGATGTAAGTTTGAGATGCTGTAAAAACTAGTTAGATGAAGATGTATTCTAGGGCTTCGCTTTTTGTACGGTTGCTCTTCTCCACGCTTGTGCTGCCACACCGGGTCTGCGGAGCGATATCAACAGATGAACCATCGTGCTGAGTAACGCAACGCTACCAGCCTGGTGGGCCGCAGCAATCGGAACGGGGACCAAGTACAATAAAGTTGATAATCCAAGCAGCACTTGGAGATTCACCATCGCAAATGCTGCCGTCAGAGATACGCGTGCCAGTGGTGGCAACGCCGCACGTAAGGCTGGACGGCGAGCTTGAAAGTAGAGCCAGGTTGTGCTGAAGTATGTGGTTATTGCCTAGCCTTGATCGTTAGCCACCCAGTCTACTAATTTGGAAGAGCGAATGCCTTACAAGTACTCTATGGTCGAACTGGACAGTTGTTGGGTTCTCGAAAATGTTTCTCCACCATACGTCGGATCCGTCAGGGTTCTTGGCATATGCGAATGAGAAGAGTTCGTCCGTAGGGGGGACAAGACGTCCTCCCATCAATGGGAATTCGTTGTACACAAGACCAGCATCTAGACCCGCGACAAAGGCACCTACAATTTGGAGGTAGGCAACAAGCAATCAAAGCGAGCCAACAGAGATGCCTACCTGAAAGGGCCGTCAGAAAGACCAGGGTCGTCAATGCCTTTGATTGCCTAGAGAATCTCTTCACTACTGGGTTTGATAGCACATCCTGCCACAGCATTGTTCTAGATCCGCTCCATATCCCTGATTTAGCATGCTTCCAATCCTTCAGAGCAGCCAATCCTGTCCCGAGCATGCCAGCATAGAGAACGAGAGCGGTTCCCAGATGAGCTGCCAAGCGGTACTGCGACACTCGTGGTACTGCGCCGGGAGTGTCCATTAGGGAGTCTTCTAAACCAGATTTAACCATGTACCATCCGAGAAAGCCTTGAGCACCAAGTAACACTGCCATGCCAGTGAGGTTCGCAGGCATTGAAGTGGAAAGTCTCTTGCGAAAGGCAAAGTACGCAAGGGGTAAGACAAAGGTTATCCCTATCACACGACCAAGAATGCGATGGCCCCATTCCATGTAGAAAATGTTTTTGAATTCCTCTAGTGTAATTGAGTGGTTCATCCTGGATAAACGACAGCTTAGATACCATAGATGTAGGTAGAAACATCACTCACAGTTTAAATTCGGGGGTACCCTTATATTTGTCGAATTCCACATTCCATGCTTCCGTGGACAAAGGAGGCATGACACCCGTGATAGGACGCCATTCGGTTATGCTCAGACCAGATTCTGTGAGACGCGTAACGCCTCCTACAACGATGACGGCGAAAACCAGAGTAGACGAAAAGAGAAGCCACCGAGCTACTGAAGGCGGGGCCAGGACTGGAAGTGTCGCATCTGCTGTAGCAGAGTGAGTACCGTTAGATGAGAAAAAACGCGATTCGAGTGGGCGGGCGATGACAGCCTTCTGTTGAGCAAGTGCGGAGTAACATCGCGATGAGAATGATGAGGATTTCGACAATAAAGCACTAGACTGAAGTAAATTTCGTATCGTTCCAGATGCGCTTTTCACGCTAGGCCCATGGGAGGTGCCAATGTGAAAAGCTCTTGTACAGTTGTTTCCAGTGCTCAACACACACGAGTGTCTCTGGCGTATTGCAGCTCCCAGAAAAGTCTTGAGCATTTGGAGATGTCCAGCAGCCAATACCAATTGCAAGTGACTGTAGATTCTGAAATGAAGGATATATGTTTGGAAGCCTTGACTAGAAAACGGACTGAGAGTCGGAACACTCGGAAAGATAGCGTCGGTATGTCCATATGCAGTATGTGTGAGCACGTGACAGGGGCGCCTCGCGTCGGCATTTCCCAAAACGGACTTGCGTGGTTAGTCAGGGCTTGCTCCAAGTTTCGAGTGTACTCACTTTGCGTTTACCACTACCATGTTTGCATTGACAAGAAGACTGGCACCATCTCTTGCTACACGTACATTCTCTCCACGCTACCTATCAACACCCTCACGACAGCTCTCCGAAGGCGAGCAAAGCATACATGACAAGCTGACCGACCGCTTTTCTCCATCAGAGTTGCTGGTGCAAGACGTTTCAGGTCCGTTATGTCGTACTCGTCATAGCTTTAGGATTTTTTGCAAACAAATGCGTCTCAGGAGGATGTGGCACATTTTACGCCATTACAATTGCGAGCAAAGCGTTCCAGGGTCTACCAACCGTAAAGCAACACCGCTTGGTCACTCAAATCCTAAAGGAGGAGATAGAAGGGATCCACGGTCTTCAAGTGAGCAATCCTGGCAGTGATCGATTTCCTAATACTTGTTCACTTATTACAATCTATCAGATAAAGACCATTCAGTCGTAGTGTATATGTCTATCTCATCATGTCTGCATGAGCTGGGACAAGGTATGTCTAACTTTGACTGGTTGTTTGGTGTCGTGATTCATAATGATATCAAAGATATTTGTCCATAGAGCACAGCATATTTTCTGATATTCCTTTCATATCAAGGTCCGATCTGTCCAAGTGGCATGTCTAAACTTGCAAATGATGAATATCTAATTGGTCCTTCTACATTTCCCCATACTTGTGGTCTTGGTGAAGCTATGATATGCAGCACTGTGAATACATTCTTTTGGTGCACCGCCCGAGCTTATGTTTCCCTCGCTCTCTCCACCCAACGTTCCGGATTACCCCTCCGTCCCTCTCGTGCGCAAAACGTGAAAACCCAGGAAGGAGAGAATCAATTGTGCACAGGTCCGGTTCCTAAATGCCGTTTCGACAGCATGAGAAGTGAGATAGCTTCGCGGGAATATACATCGCGATTTGGGTCATCTTTAATCTATCAAGTGATCTTGTAAGCACTGCTATCAGTAAAAATAGAGTCTCGGTGACCTCTGTCCAGCTGAATTTCTTCTTTAGTAGAGCGAAAAAACGTTTGTCTGCCTGAAAGTAATAGTTTGTTGACGAGCGAAAAGCTCGTCAAATGGGATCACCCTACCTTGCGCCTTTTTTTGAAGCAAAACAGGATATCTGTTGTCTCTGTGGCTAGATCGGACAATGTTTGTACCAGAAGAGGAAAGGCGGGCTCAAAGTATACACAATCAGCGGCTAAAATCAGATCTGGCATAGGTAGGTCCGAAGGTAAAGGATCCCCCCTATGCAGGATAAGGTCATACGTATCAAGGAAAGGAAAGTGCACGGACCAGTTTAATTCCGACACGGATACTGAGGACTGCAGCTGGTTTATCTTCACGTTGCAACGCATGATATCTAACAGAGGGCTGGAGCGGGTGTCGTTTCTAAGTCTTGGAAGAGATAAGGAGAGCTGAGAAGAGGAACAAACGCTTGGTCCGTAATCCAGACCTTGCCTTCAAGGACACCGGCAACTAATCCGACGAGGCCAGTTCCGCTGCCTAATTCAAGGATTGTCTTTCCAGCAATATATTGGCGGCCTCGCAGTGCTAAATAATTCGCAAGCACCTAGTTTGTTGTAAAAAGCGGATTCGTGTGAGAGCCAGTGCAGAAGAAAGAGCACGAACTTCGCCAGCTGGCCATGCGATTCCACCGCATCCGGGGGAAGCGTCTACCTTGAGTGCGATGGTGATCTCGTGGTCGTTTTGCTGAGTCGTATCTGAGAAAGAAAGGTGCAGCGTTTGATCGAAGATGGATCTGGGTTGCGCGGGAACTACAGGATCAGCTTCAAGTTCTCCATGGGTGCCTCCAAAGGTATCATGATCATCGTTCCTCAAATGTCTAAGGGGATCAAGCGCGTCAAGGGCCTCATCTTGTGCAATTTCATTCAAGGTCGGATAGCTAGGTATGTCGTTCGCAGGTGCACCCATTGGCGGTAAGAAATGTCTGTGGGATATGTGAAGGAGTTGATCAAGCTGTATCTGAGACAGGCTTTTTCACAGCCACATTGGTATATTGGTCCAAGTCACACGGTCCGCGAGACCATTTAGCAGGTCTCGCGAGTACCATGGCCAGTGGCTCAAGACTTGGTCAAGACTACCACTATATGTGCGGCGAACTTCATCTCCAACGCTTGCTCCAACATTTTTACAACCCGAACTTTCATATCGGTGGTCTCCTTGTCTCCAGTTTTGCAACACCGACCGCTTTTTGCAAGACACCGCACCGAGGTTCCTGGATGGCGTAGCGCTCAGATCTCAGAGCTCATGTGCTTTTGGACACTGAGCTGTCGTTTGCAGTACCGCGAAGTATATCGTGTGCAACTCCGTGTTGCTACAGCGCATCGATTCGCTTCTATCGTTCCTCTCTGATGTCTGACACGACCGTGACAGGGCTGTTCTTGAGTGCAAATCAGGAATGAGCAATGGACCTAATTCGTGGCGCTGTGCTACATATTTGAAGTTATTAGCCGGCTACCATCGTAGTCACCGAGGGAGTCATCTGCCACGCAAACCGCTATAGATCGGAAGCATTTGCACTGGAAAACCGCGGTCGTACGTCTGGTTCAGATCAAACACAATCGTCCTTACTCACGACAGCGCTTTTGTTAGGCTATATACAGCAATATGCCTGCATCTTAGGCGCTTTCGGTCGCTGAAATCATTCTTTAGGCAGCCTGAGCCCGCCCGAGCCCCATGGTGGATACCAAAATGAAACGGACCTAGTTCCGGGTCCGAAGCCTCGAGCCTTGCATTTATGGCTCGGATTTATTTATGTAGCAGGATCCCATCTTGTCATTTTGTCATCCCACAAGCTCCTGCTATGCATCCAGTGGCAGAGGATGCACTAGGCCCTCTCCCTATAGTCTTACCACGCCTACGACCCTCTCGCCTTCGCGGACCTCGTCCTCCAAGCACTCCCGGGGGCAGCGACGACTTTGACTCCAGCCTCTCGCTCTACAATTCCAAGGCTAGCCTCTCCAGATCACTCTCCATGGCGTCCACACTCTCTTCTGAAAAGTCTTATCAGTCAACGCAATCTAGCTTTTCATACTCGTCCTCCTCTTCATACATCGACAACTGTATACTCTCTATAGATACCGATTGCACACTTCAGCGCAAGGCGCATATTCGACGAGCACACCGTCAAAAACCCAAAGGGCCTCGTCCTCTTCCTCCAATTCCTGCACGAACCATTCGTCCTACACTTGTTATAGACGTTAGGACGACGTCGTATCACGACTACGAGCCACCTATACCGCCATTACCCCTCACACAGTTTCCCCTTTTAGCACCAACAGCATGTACGACACCTGCACCTCATCTCCCTTCACCTATGTGTTTCTCGCCCTCAGATATGCTGGATTGGGATAGGATATATGAAGTATTGGAATGTGTGGATAGATGATCTAAGGTGGGGGAGAAAAGTACTCACGCATCCCAGTCATGACTCACACTGGTCTAGGTTAGTTCTATTTTTCCTTCTTATGATACGAGCTGATTTGACTGGATCTATCAGATCACCTTTTTGAAAAAGGTGACCATGTCCGCTCGACTGCGGCGGCGCCAGTTTCGGACTGTGTCACCATTTCAAACTTACACCTTTCTGCTAATGACTTTCACGTATCTTTATCACCTTCATATTCGCATGATACCAACTGGACATTCATGATTTTCTTCTTCTGTGATTAGTCAACGCTTGAAGCTCATCAAACGGTTGACGTGTTACTGGCAACTTGAAAGGACAGTGAAGAAATAGCAAACACTTTGTACATTTTTGGACTTGATTTATTTTAGCATGCAAAGAATTATACAAGGCAATCGGAGTGATCAGAGAGCGGTGTTTACGCCCACAAAGGTCAACTCGAAAGGGTTCACCCGAGGAAATTTAAATGGGCTGTACCATCAACATCATGAAATCAGGACCGTATCACCTGATAGATAAGTTTAGTAAATGCTTTCAATTTACATCGTATCCAGGTGACATTTTCCGACAAAACAAAAACAACAAGAGACAAGTCAACGATGAGATTGGTATTAGGCTCACATAACGGCTAGTGAGTGCTGTAGAAGGTGTCACTGTTATGCGGATGGTATTATTGGAAACCAACTAGAGAACGTAAGATCAGGATCATAACGCTTCTTGATGGCCTGAAGCCTAGGATAGTTTTCTCCAAATAGAGCTCTGGCTTTTCCGCCTACAGCAGTCCGTTCGGTTCTTTGCGAACCAGTGAGAATAACCTTGTCGCTATCTGTAATTAGCATATAACGCGATTAGATGACTCATATGGCTAAGAAAAGAGAGAGGTACATACCATAATTTCCGTAGCCAGTGTTGTCTACCTCAGATAAGTCATGCTGTCCTTTCACGACGATGTTTGACAACTCCCAAGCAATGTCTCGAGCTCTTTGTTGATTATCAGGAGTATCTTCATCCCAATAAACTAGGGACAAAACGTTTCCGGCACGAACACGACGGAACGCCGTCGCATCATTAGTCACCTCGGTGATCTTCCCAAGCGGAAAATACTCGATGAGAATAGCCACTTCCAGGTCACGGGTTTCGGACAATGCCACCATTCTGTCAAATGCCTGCAAGATAACATCGACGCGGGGCTTAGTTTGGTACACTCCTTTCATGTAGGCCGCACGGCCGTGTGGTGCGGCAGCATTCTGTGTAGGTAATCCATGATAAGTACAGCTCCAAGCGTCATCTGAACAGCTCCTTGACCTACCTGTAAAGTATTGACTTCTTCGTATGGCATTTCACAAGTTGTATCGACCAAAGGCTCTAGATTCAGTATAAGCGAGGAATCATTACTGACTTAATGAAATATATACTTAGGTCAAATACAGCTTTAAAAGTTGCTCTTCCTTCAGGCTCCGAACCATTGTAAAACAAAAATACAACAACACAGGGCTTACGATCGAGTGGGCTTGTGAGAACATGATATCGAGTGAAGAACATGCTCACTTGACCATCGGGTCCCCGAGTCATCACATGAACCATGCCTTCCTTTTCGCAAGGTTCTTTGGCCCACCATTTTTCAGTCAAAGATAGTAGAGGTTCCAAGACGTCTGGCTTGAAGACAAGAGTGCCAGCGAACACACGGCGGCGTTGTGGGTGCAATCTGAGTACGAACTCAGTGCAAACGCCAAAATTAGAGCCTCCGCCTCTGATCCCCCAGAAGAGATCGGAGTTTTCGTCTTTGTTCGCAGTGAGGATAGAGCCATCTGCAACAACAACGGTTGCCTGTATACCAACAGACATTCAAATCAAGCATCATCTTTTCTACAAGTCGGTACATACCTGAATGAGGTTATCAAGGGCAAGACCGAAAGCAGAAGACAACCATCCGTAGCCCCCGCCCAAGGTAAGCCTAGAAGATCATGATGTCGGTACTATTATTCAACTTTGTATCTGTCGATAGACTCACCCGCCTACACCTGTCTAGAAAGCTATAAGTCAACGATCGGAGATGAGCATGGATTTGATTAAACATACGTGGTTGACAGTCCCACCAGGTGTGGCTAGCCCATGTAAGATCGCAGACTTATCTACAACCTCCCAGGTTGCACCACCGCCAACATATACTACCCCCTGCTCCGGGTCCACTTTCGCGTGGCACATGTGACGTGACATGTCAATAACGAGACCTCCATCACTTGAAGATGACCCAGATGGGCTGTGTCCTCCGCCACGGATCGCAACTTGCAAGTTAGTCCGTCTGGCATAATCGAGGGCCAAGGAGACATCTTCTGGGCTCTTCACAAATGCTACAATCTTCGCCCTTCGCTGAGAGTTAATGGCCCATCGAGAGATTGCTGCAGCATATTCTTGATCCTCAGGAGTAACCAAGTCGCCGGTGAATGAATTCTGAAATAACTGGAAGTCCATTATGATGAGCTAGGGGAGAGATATCGAAAGAAATTGAGAGATTTAAGGATGTTAAGTACTCGTATATGCTCTCCACTTGCACTCCGACATAACCACAAACTCGACCCCTCATTATTCCCGACCTTCTCAGATCAGTATCGGTAATCATTTGCCTGCTGACATGATGCGCCTTACGTTGGGTAATGATCCTGTCCGTATAAAGCGTACTTGATTGTAGGATTACAATGCAGGGATCATGTTACAATTATCCATAAATCTACGTGAAAAAACCTACCTTGTAACTCACCGATCAACATAGTTTGAGGTGGAAATTTCTTCTGAGAAGGGTTTGCAGCTCTTGCCATCTCTTCCACATCTCCTCATTTAACCACCCTATGTACCTGGCGCCATATGTAGGCGCTTGTGAAAAGACCTCTCTTCTCCGTCCATTGGCTTTTGGGTGAATGTTCTCGTTATCCTCGAAAACGGGCCCAGCAAAGCAAAGCAAGGTAACAAAGAATGAGCACTATAGCGATCATACGAGACTGGGAGAATGAGGTACAGCCACCAGCGACCAATATAAAAACGTTGGGTATTTGTGACAGATTGTAGACGGTGACCTTGACCGGATTACTTCTCCGAAGGTACCACATTTGAAAGATTGACAGACAAGGGTGATTGGACCACGTACGACCTCGTTTCAAAGATCCACACTGTTGCCCAAATTTGAACGATTTGCGAGGATGAAAGTTGCGTAAACTCCACGCGTCCGAGGTAAACGCTGAACTACGGCGGTATCCAACACCAACCTGCTGCAGATGATCATCCCGTTCCACCGATAGAAGTAGGGGCTGCGGGCCTCGTGGTGCGTAGATACGTACACGTTACGGTTCGACACCGTCGAGGGGTTTGAAGAGAACATTTGCACTGTCTTTGCAATCCACCGCGAGTACCGGACGTCCCATTATTAGGAACAGCGAGAACTCGCAAGATTCGGAAATACTGCATGATAAAAGAGTAGCCTTCAGGACAGTCTTGCGCATAGATGGGCCGGTGCCCTATTATTGCAAGGTGGGGAGGCTTCCAAAAAATCCGATGACAGCTTCCACGAAAAAAGGCGCAATTACTTTATAGTAACTCCGCTCGAGATAAGGCAAAGAGTGAATACTGAGCATTATCTGTTAGACAGTGCTGCTTCAGACCAGATACACAAAGCGTGGAGACTATATCTCGTAAGAGAACACAAATGAGTGACCCGAGAAGCAGACAAGAACGAAAGAAACAACTCAGTAAAAGGGCCAGAAAAAAAAGTGTCACGTGACGCCAAGTACCTTGCGCGTTGAAAAGGCAGGTGAAGGTTCTAAGTTCGTGGTTTTGAACCACGGCGGTGCGGAAAGCCAGCTTTGACCGTGTTCGTGCGTGTTCCCAGCCCCATTTTGATCCCATCTGTTTGGTCTGACCGTAGAAGTCAGAAGACTCGAGGACTCGTGTCTTGCATGAGGCAGCCATGGTATTGGAGATACAGTGCCAGCGGCCCTTGCCGCCTTTCATATGATCTGGGTTCTAGCTAGAATCGCAAACAGGTCACCGGAATGGGTTGACTTGGATATATACTATACTTATGATTTCTGGCATTGGCTGAAGATCCCATGTGCTCGGTTTGTTTCTTCATTAACCGTCATTGTTCACAAGCACTCAATCCCAAGTTGCCTTTAGGAGGATGCCGAATTCTGATTCAAGTCTGGGCTAAGGGAAAAAAGCCACTCCTCAATATATGACTATTCCTTTGCGCAAGCCGCCAATAGAAGTATCTTCCCGAAATCACAAAGCGGGCCCTTTTAGCCACAGGTTCCATCGTCCTCAATGCAGCCTCGAGGTCTTATAACATTGTGACCGGGACCATCTCGGCCCTCTGTGCCACGATTTTATCTGGTATAAAAGGGACTGCCCCAGCAGTCTGGTATGAAACTTCTGCCTTGTCTTCAGAACTACAACCATGTCGTACCCAGGATATACTACTAGTAACCTGTCCCGTCGCCAATCAATTGGCTATTCCTCAACTCCTGGCCCTGTCACGTTTCCATACAGCGAATCGCATGCAGGGCTTTACAACGATCCAATGATGCCAGGGTATCGTGACGAGGTAAGGCCTCCAGTTTCTATCTCTTTCGTCTGAGGTTCTAATCACACAACTATGCCATCAGCATTATCCACATCCTTCGTATCAAATATATGGTCCCCCTGCGGCAAGTATGAGCCAGCACCACCTCCCTCTTACATGTTCGTGGAAATTTTCCCTTTGTCTATCATACACTGATCTTTGATTCATTATAGCTTATGATGATATTGGACTCCGTGATGGATATTATCCGGAAGATCGCCACTTAAATGGCATATATCCTCCAGTCGTACAACCCATGTCTATTGGGCGTCGCAGCCGAAGGTCGTCATCGATATCATATTCGAGCAGACCGAACTTCCTGGACAATTATCATCGGTCGAGTACCATAGTCAAGTTCAAGCGTAAAGGAGCGTTCCGAGGAGGCATCACCCTCGGAGAAGCTCAGGCGAATGTTCGTTTATCTGGCAACGAATCCTATAGCTTTCATGAATTGGGTGTAGATCACAGAGGTCGGATGATGATGAGAGTCAGAGTGCGTTTTCAGCTTCTGCCACCTAGTCACTCACAACTAAAGGACTTCCGTTCAGTGGTCTGGTTATACACCTCTGACTTACGAGATACCCATAGATGGGTATGATGGGAGAATTAATTTGCAGACGCTTGCAAGAAGAGTCGCAAGGGCTGTTGTGCACTTCCTCCAGGTATGCCACGTATCAAGTTCGTTTATGACTGAACTTACTTTATACCATTTTAGGCCAATGCTATTCCTATTCACTGGGATCGTGTTGAGCTTCATAGTCTCGAGGAGATATCACATGGCCTTTGGCAGCCAAAATTGATGACCACGAATTGAAGTCCTTATTTTGGATTTCTTCCCAGGTCTTGCTTTGTTTATTTGTTGAAGTTCCCACATGCGTATCGATCGCCACCTTGTTGATGAGTCTCTCTTCAACTCCCTTTTTGCATAATTTACCACCGGCCGCCCCCTCCCGGTTGTACTAGTATACCCCTGTGTATCATATGATCTACTTTTTTTTAAACATAGCACTGTACGGCGTGGATGGACACTGGGGCATTGAATAGTATATGCTCACGATGTACGGTAGTCTGTATGAATGATATTATTTTGTTTCCAGGAATCAAATCCAGTCTATAACTAATATGAAACTGTCCACATGACAATAATGCAAGTACAGCTCAAGTGACCATAACCGCATATAAAATACTATAATGGTATTCAAGGAGAATAAGCAATAAGTTAGGCAAAATCAAGGGAGTTTTGAGATGAATGATATCAAAGCTGGTTCCGCCTCAATACGTTAGTGTGCCGCCTGCGGCGGGGAGCGTTGTGGATTCCGAGTGCGCGCTTGACTTTGGTCAAAAATGGAATACGCGTTCTCTGTAATTTTAACGAACCATTATTGAGCTATACTCACGCTGAACCGTGTAACAGGAACCAACTTTTACGCACCATCAAGGATTTATTCTCGTGTTTAACATGCTTTCGCCCATTTCTTTGTGCGTTTGGATGGAGTGATGCTCCTTCTGGCGTGTTAATTTTTTTTGGTAAGACATTTAGGGGGTAGAACCAAGGTTCAATGAAATACTCACTGTAACCTCCTGCCTGATTGTGGCTTTGGCCCAAAACGAGGTCGTGGGGATGCTGATTCCCTTTGCTCCTACGTGCGCTGCGGTGGAAAACATTCATGATTTCGGGAATGTGATAGTGGTGATGATGGTGAAATAGTGAAACAGGGATAAATTCTGGAGTCTTCAGGCCCAGGATGGTCGAGTCGTGGTACTCTTATAGTTGAAGGGGCCCCATTGGAGTAAAGCTATGCAGGGCTCGTCACAACGATACCCATATAGGAAAGGTACGTATAAAGTCAGCACACGGATCGCATCATCTTAAGTTCCACTCGCACCCAACACTCACAAGACGGTTTGAGCTGGTGACCATGGGATGTAGCATGACGTCATTGAGTTCGTTCTGTAAGTGGCAACGTAAAGCTATAGTAGCAAGGAGGTATACAACAAGAATACAGATGCGCAGTGCGAATTTCGATGGAGCTTCAACAAAAGTTTCTGTATGTTAAACTGGTTTCCAGAGAGTCACTGTGGAGGCAAAACCGTTGACGTTATCACCCCATCTTGCAACACCTTTTCCATTCATACTGATCTGATATATCGATCCAAGAGTCGAAAGGCTATACACCACAACTGATGAAGTCGAGTCAATATTGGCGATGTGTTCTTGACAAGAATGACTAGCTAAACGATCTTGGCTATAGTTCTGCAAAAATAATCAGTGATAGCCGAATTTAACCTTAGCATAAGACCAGCTATTAATTGTTACCTTAAAAAAGCTATATAGCCCAGCCCCTGAAGAACCAATGGCGTCAATCAATGCTAGACTGAGGAATAGTTATCGACTCATACCAAAAATAACGATATTTTCAGATGATTGCACCCATAAAGCCCATGCCATATCCTTTTTGGGGTCCAAAGGGGGGTCATGATATTGTGGGTTGCGAACGAAGGGCATAGGAGGAGCAGGTTTCGGTTGAAAATAAGGCTATCGTGACGCTGTCGGTCTACGGTGTCTATAGCTAGACGAATATTACTTACAGTTTCGGTTTGTATCAGTCCCATATAATGGTTTTTTGCTCCAACTAAGCTATATTGATAAAGAACGTGATGCTCAGCTATCAAAAGGCAGTCAGATCGAGTCATCTTCCACTTGGGTATACTTACAAGCTACACCCATAGTAAGTCAATAGACAAACCGGATCAGGATGAAAAACTAACCTGTGCCTATCATCCAAACAGGGCCGGCGGATTCAGATAAGATACCTCGTCCGCTAAATATGTTTAATTGAGAGCTGCCATCGCCGTCAAGGTCATGATCTGCAACCCAGACCCAAGTACCCTTTACCATGCATGTATGAGCAGTGGGAAAAACGTTAGGATTAAATCCAAACCTCCAGATAAGCCGTCGACTTAGTAGTCAGATGGAGCGCAAGAAACGCAGCAAAGCAATTGCTATTAACCGCTCCTTTGGGACACTGCGCAAGCTCAAGATTCGTGCCCGCCGCTGGAATACGGTCATGAGGCAAGTAAACAGCATGATAAGCTTGCCATACCTCCACCAAGCCTGCAGACGATTAGTATACATGTAACGAAACAGTTTGTGGCTTTTTGTATACCTAATGTGACTATCCCACATTCCACATGCACCGTGTTGACCAAGTGGTTCGTGTACGTTCCATTCCACGACGATGGCCCCTGGAGCTGGACCTCGGGTCGCGAAAACAATATCCGTTATTTCTATGATTCCTTCAGATCCCTTACTACCGACTTGTACGACGACGTGTGGATCGTGTTGGTCTTGGAAGTAGGGGCCGCCGCCCATGATAACGGACCAAGCTTCACCTACAACTCGGCTGCCTGGAGGAATGTTGATGGTTGAAGTGACCTTGTATACACCAGCGTCGAAGAAGATGATGTAACGGCCGGAATACTATGAATGACATTTACTCAAATAAAGCGAATTTGGTGAGAAAATCACTACGGACCTCTGCAAATATAGTATTGATAATTTCTGTGTCGTCCGATACTCCATCACCTTTTGCACCATGCGACTTGACACTCACAAATTGATCCGCAGAATAATCAATGTACTGTGGATGAGTTTTCCCAAAGATCTTTCCGGAGCTATCAAGTAAACTTGAATCTTTGTATGCTGAATGAATACTGCCCTGCACGAAAGTGCTGTTGGTATTTCCTCCAGAGTAGATATTACCTTGGCCCCAGGAGCTGATGATCATTGTACCTCCGGCAAGGACAATTGCACCCCCAACTATGCCAACGGCCACAGGAACATTTTTGAGCGAGATATTATTTAGGACAAGTGATCCCGCCAGTCTGTTTTTACTGAGAGTAGAACAGCGTACAAATATTGGAGTATTCGTAACGACAGCATCGATGATAGCTTCGGCACCGACAGTCTGGGCGTCTGAAATGAAGATATTATCTAAAGTCAAATAAAGCTCCGTACCTGATTATTGGCTGAGCGACCTCCGGTTGCCAGATCAAACCCAACCCGACAGTTGTTGATAGTGATTCCCTGAAAAGTCCATCCTAAGGTGTGATATTGAAAATTTAGGACATTCCAAATGTCGAAGAGTCTGACCCCAATTCCACATTCCATATACGGCTATGCGCCATTGATGAGCATTTAGACGACAAAACGAAGCAATATTATACAAACCTGTTCTTGCGTTATTTACAACGATGTTGCGAACGGTGAACCTGTAACTGAAAGGTTCGTGACTGGGAGAAAGAGAAAATGATGAAGTACTCGCTGTTGATTTCCAACCCATATACCGAAACGCCCCCCATTAAAAACCATATCTTATGTTTCGTGTTAATCAGCTTTGAACAGCTAACATGTTGAATATATCATGCCTCCCATAAATCCACCACTTGATGACGTTTCGGTTTGGTTACTGCAAGAAAATAATCAAAAATATCGAACTAACCTTCCATTTTCCATAAAGATTCCTGCCAAGGATATTCATAAATAAACGAAATAACGAGGAAAGTCAAAACGTTACCTTGATGCATATTTCCGCTTTGGGTGGACATTTCGACCACAATATTCATTAGTGATGTACATTGCGATACTTGCCAGTGAAGGCCCGTAGCGGTAGCAGAAGCGGGCATATGCGTAAGGTCGATCACGAGATTGCGCACTGAACGATGGCTATTTATGCATACTTTGTTAGCACTGGACGTGCATAATGTAAAACTGAATATGCCCAAGACTCACAAGTTATTCTGATTGACATACCACTGATTACCGCCTGGCAGGTAAGGATCAGCGTCTATTGAGCAAGAAGGTCAACTACAACTCCATCAGAAACTTGACGGAACTCAGACGTACCGATAACCGCAATACCCGCAAAGTTTGGGGCAGCACGGATGGTTGGTGGCTTTCTGGCATCCCCTATAATCACGGTATAGTAATACGCAATGATGGGGGCTGACACGATATATGTTCTGCACTTATGAGTGAACAAATGCCCAATACGATGAAAAAATATTGAAGCTACCCAGAGGGAAAGTAAACCACTGCTGGAGTAGTGCTACAGAACGAAAATCAGTGATGTTAGCGATGAGTATTGCGTATAACCAAAATGGATTCTTCACGTTGACGAAGAGCAATTACCGCCACCGCAGCGCCCGCCTGATGAAATCGCTGAGCTGATGATCAATAAATCAGGATCGTGTTCGTGTCTGAGTGATCTAAATCTCTATACAGACTTGATGGCAACGGTATCATCGGCAATGCCATTTCCAGTAGCTCCATAGTCCTTGACGTTGCGAAATACTTTGTATGTGCTCGGGCTGGAGGAGAATGGTGCTGATCCTTGATGCCTAATCTCCTGGAGCCAGAAGGGATCGTCTGGTAAAGCATTTCCCACGGCAGGTACCACGACAGGATTTGATACTGTAATGCATGTCATGACGACTGATACGATGGCATTGAAGTCCAACAAGGACAAGCATAGTTAAACACGATTTTGAAGAAAATCGTTCATGAGGTTCGAGAACTGCAGCTAGAGTTGCAGATACACTGCTTGCCTGATCTGTTCTTAAGCAAGATATAGAAATCTATGGTACAATGCTTCTTGTTTTATTTAGCCAATGGCGCTGTGCTGCAACGATAAGTAGAGGCATACTAGCACGGTTTCGTTGCGAGTCACTAAGGCTCTTGAGATTGTGGATCGTGACACAGATTAGGATTACAAGTGGTTGAGTGTGTTTTTCAATCGGGCTCCGGTTTCGGTCTGACAATGTTGTTGGGATGATACTAGCGGGTTCAAGTTATCTAGCGGCAGAGTGCGAGGTATTGAGTTTGCTTGTGTTAGTTTGTAGTAAGAACATATAGCCGCGGGCCCACTTAGCGCTAGCCCTCAGTTACAACCACTTCGATTGGCCTATTTCATAAATGCCTTCCGATGAAGACGATATATTCGTAACGGATTCTCTAGCAATATATTCGTCTCTGAATTTTAAGCCGGCACCAGGAAAATTCACCATTATGGCGTCCTTTGCGCTGACATCTGCCAATAATTCAACACGCAAGGTCATCGCTCTCTCTACTGGATCAAAATGTCTCCCGGAAGTGCGCTTGCCACTGAAAGGGGACATCTTGCATGATTGCCATGCTGAAGTTCTAGCTCGTAGATGCGCCGTCCGCTGGTTTCTTGAGGAGATCGCGCGGTTCGCTGCAGATCAGAGATCAGAATGGATAGAGAGACATCCCAGTGGAAAGTTCAGTCTAAAGGAAGGACTTCGTATGATAATGTATATTTCCACTGTCCCCTGTAAGGTCGTACTATAATTTTTATCTTTGAATTATGACTCAATGTCGGAGAACTTCAAGGTGGTGATGCTTCCATGAGATACCTGGCTTCTTCTCAAGACGACGAAATGGCAGTTTTAAAAAACTCGACTGTGTCTCTCCCTTTTCCTCCGAATACCGCTTCAAGGGGACGCGACAATTACTCTCTCTACGGTGTATTGAGAACTAAACCAGGCAGGGCTGATTCGCCGCCGACATTGTCCATGTCTTGCAGTGACAAGATAGCCACCTGGAACGCTATAGGTATTCAAGGTGCCCTTGGCTCGCGTTTCTTCCATCCGATCTACATTTCCAAGGTAATTATTGGGGAGGTGGACGAGGGTATGCAAGAACTTGTGCGAGCAGACTGCAAAAGGGCCTTCTGGGAGCGTCTCGAATCTATCCATGGTATAGATATTTTATGAATAGAAATGGGAAGACACACTGATATGTAATCTTTCAGACTTTCCCGCAGATTATCAACTTCATAGACCGGATGTGCAATTTACAACCGTCATTTTCCCTCACTCTCGAACGTCACTCACACCTCCGTCCAATAGCTCGTGCAATGAATGTGAATATATGGAGCTTGTCATGATGTTACAGGCTTACCTATTTTACTTTCTCTAGCCGTTTGTTGGATTGCAGACTCCGCAAAAACTCCGGAGGTCCTTATCAATGGAGGAAAGCGAGGAGTTCCACCGAAACACCGTTATAAAACTATGTTCAGGTAAGCTAATCTCACTCGCATCTTGCGTTCCTTCAGACCAGGTTTTGAATCTATCAAAGGCCCCAGCTTTCCAAAGTTTCTTTATTCCAGTTATACAGGGAGACTTTAAGTATCCTGGAGTCGACAGTGGAGCTGTAAGTACTTGACACTCGAATGAAAGCTGATGAATCCCTGAATATCGACTAAAGCGACCAGTATACGTACCATCGCGTCAAAAAAATGATGGTCGAGTACCAAATCACAAAGCATTGCTTGCAGGCAAGTGGTCGTCCGTTTTCTGGATGGATAAAAAGCGGCGAACGATGGGAGAGCTTCGATTCCAGTGGCATGGAACAAAAACAGAACATACAAATATTGGATTAATAAAATTAAGCACCGAAGTGCCTGTACACTGAGGGAAACATAATAAACTCTCTAATACGTCACTTGGAACATTAAACAACAGAGCGATCGTCAATAACATAATCATCATGAAGGGGAACAACGTATGCAGACTACAGGATCTAGTTCTAGGTAGCCACCATGAACAAAATATGGAACTTATACAGCAAGGATTGGAGCAGACATTACATTATCATCATTCTTCCTTCCTGGTATCCATAGGCGGCAAGGACTCCAGAAGTAGTCCAGTAGAAAGAGATTTGTGGTGCATGATAGGTGAGCCTGCTGTAGATTCACCGTCTTCACTGGGGCCTCCAACGAAAGTAGGACTCGATCGACCGGATCGACCAGAAGCTTCCGCGAGTTCCCTACGAAGAGCCTCCAGTTCGCGTTCAAACCTGTTGATTATTAGTAGAGTAGAGTAGCAACATGTCTGACAACTTACTTGCGACCGAAAACCTCGATATAGAAACCTCCACCATTCCAGACGCTCACAGCAAATATAAGAAGCAGAAAGGTACCACTCCAGAACGGGCTGTCGTATAGAAGATACACAGCCGGCAGCTCGGTCAAGACAGAGTACACTATGACAACCATTAGCAATGCTACCTACAAAGAGGATATAGCTCAGAGCCTACCCAATTGCCCGCCCATAAAAAATGCCTCGCGGTAATGAGGAGGGACCTTTGATAGAACACGACCGATGGATCCACGCTTATCGTTCAAAAGGAACGAGAATGAAGTAGTTCGCTGGCCAGACTCAATTTTTGTCCGACGGTCTATGAGAACAAACTACATGAAATGAGTATCAGCTGATATTGATAAAAATTGTGTAAACTTACCTTCCAGTACAGTAGTTGCCAGATAAGGTCTATCAAAGGTTTAGTTTTTTTATAATCATGGGAGCGCTTTCAAGAGAAACGTACAGATAGCACCGCTCAAAAGGAGGGCTTTCGAGGGACTCATAAACGGCAATTCAATTAGCGCAGGAAAACGAACTTCGGCATTGGGATAGAAATGCCTGGTATCAACTGTGAGCAGTCACATTAATGAACAATCACATAACAAAATACCTTATCACGGTAAAAGTGAAAGGCCCATATATGTGGATGAAGAGCGATGTGACCTTATCAGAGTCATGGAACACAAGACTATTTCTCCAGGTGATTACGGCGCTTGCCAAAGATCCATGCGATAAACAGTAACAGGCAACAAAGAGGGCCGGAGACGAGGGCAACAACCAGATATAGATGAAGTTAAGAATTGTTACATAGTAACACAGGTCAAAGAGGAAGTAATGCCACGATCGTTTCTTGTACTTGTAGGCACGCATAGGAAGGAGGTATAAGCCCTGGATAGTATACGATATATGTACCCATCTAAAGAAGAAAAATGGCATTATTTTTGAGGAAACGTTTCATGTGAAGTGAAGTGAACAAAACGTACTGAGGAGCCATGCCAAATAACAGAGCAGAGATAAGCAGCGACATGACACCGAAGAAAAAAGATATCTTGTCGCGTGTGCGGACAACCTTAGCTGAATGCCACGAGGTCACCAAAGTAGTCATACGCGTTGATACCTAACGCAATGGAAGACGTAATGGGAGTCTGCATCAAGATCAAGCTACACGTTAGAGATAGTCGGACACACCTTCACTTTGAAATTTTTGACTTCACGATCGAAATTCTCTGCCAGTAAATCACCAGATGGTGCTCTGATTTTGAAGGCCTCTTCAGCCCGCATCTTCAAGCGATCACTGTGTTTCTGCAAACTTCTTTGGAGGAGGTCAATGCGTGAATCGAAGTAGGTCTCCATCGTGTCTAGGATAAAAAGTCTCTCGTATCACAGCTACTTTTTCTTGGATAAGGACTTACCAAGTAATGTAAATGCACCAGCCCACTCAGAAACCTCGTCTTTGATAAATCGTTCAAAAGGGATTGAAAATTGTCCGCCTCCCGAGGGCGGAGAGTCTGTTCTTAATGTTGGTGAAGGTGGCCGAGACACCATTGTAAACGTGAAAGCAAATTAAAGGCCACTAAGGAGAGGTGAGAGACAAAGCCTTGAGCGGATGGTGGCAGACGTATCAAAGCAGTTTGGTTCTAGCGCGTGTGTGGAACACGGTGGTCCCAACTTGTGGCACGGTTGGAAACGGCGTTGACCTGCAAATGGTAGCAGGGCATATGTTTTCGTGCTTATGTCATCACCACGTATACCCATTGTCCACCCATATTCGGCCATGACATTATTGAGATTTTACATATTTTGTTGTCTCTATCGAGTCTCAATGACAAAAGTGATTTCGAAAATCTTAAGACAACTTTTGACAGGCAGGAACGTCAAGCAGTTGCATCAAACATGATTTGTGTATGAAGTGCCGTTCTATGGAATAATAGTGACAGCACTGAATTACAGTAGTGACAAATCGCCAAACTTCTCCTTGTATCCTAAGTGCGAGTAATATCAGAATGCAGTAACTATCAAGCAAAGTAATACGAGTACCTGGAACAGTCCATTTGCCCTTCTTGACCATGGTCTCTACAGCCTCGACAATGCGTGGATGAGCGTTACCAACGTCCTCAACCTAATGGTGTGGTATGGGAACATCGATGAGAACTTTATAAAGGTGGGGTATACGAATTACTCACGGTAAGATCATCAAAGGCACGCGCATCCTCAATATTTGCAAGGGTGACCTGCAGCTCCTTCAATTCCACGTCGATCTTCTCAGCTGTCTCTTTGGCTTTTGTAACCTAAACCGATACATACACGTTAGAATGGAGATAACTACGTATGTCAGAAGGACGTACCGCTTGGGTCTCAAAGGTCTCGATTGCTTTGACGTGAGCATTCACATCGTAAGTTACAGGCTTGAACTCCTTCAATAGCTTCTCAGCCTCATCAACTACTGACTTGTTTTTCAAAACCGAGCGGTAGTGTGCCAAATCTATTGTGGTGGACTGCGTGGCATATTGAGCCTGGATGCGTTGAGCATCACCGTGTCGCTTGCGGAATGCTTGCAGGGCGGCAATGGTCTCTAAACGGCGAGCGACGCGGACAGTCAGACAAAGATAGTGTGGAGTAAAAAAAATAAAACCTACCCTGTCCAAGACCAAGCGTGGAGTAGATTCGCGTGAAATCCTGACCAAAGAACACAGTTCAGAAAAATAGCTCTGGTTTTAAGTCCTGGTCGTACTCACGACTGCCGCAACTGCTGCTTTTGAGGCCATTGGCTGATTGACGATAAATAGGTTAATTCAATTTTCAAGGTCCAGACTAATGATGACTTACAAAGGGGGAGTGCTGGATATAAGGACTGAGCAGAGAGGAAGGTTTCTTTGAAAGTGAGCGGAGGTAAGGCCGGCAACGGCCGATCACGGCTAGCCCTTCTCCGATTTTCAACGAGAACCGTCTCGAGAGTAATGCTGCATATATTTATACCAGCTCACCACCATGACAAGTCTGTATTCATATGTTTTCAGGGTAGTGGAGTGTCTGACACTTTTTTCTTTTCTTTTCTTTTTATGCACTATTTTATGACACTTAAGAGATTATCCTGATACCCAGGTTTTTGGTTGTAAGTGAGTCTCTTGGTAGCACTTTCCAAAAGCTCTCAGGTCTTACAGATGGGGTTTTTATTTAGCAATAATCCATCTGAAAGGCCACCCTCTCTGAAGAGGGCCTCCTAAAATCCCAACATATGTTTTGTCCTCAAATTGTTGTTTCAAGGATTTACATAAATATATATGGAGAGTATCTCCATATTACAAAAAAAATCAATTTTCACCATTGCATTCCCACTATGTTGTGGCTTTCCAACCCTCTCCCAACCACTCCACTTGCTATTGGACTAGAGGTTACCACTGATTTTCTTTTACTTGTCTGTCATATCTGAGCCACAGACTAGGTAACCTGAACCTCTAAACAGTCAGAAACCCCCCAAATACGAACTCCTGAATCTTTGGTCTTCCCGGAATCAGCATAGCCCTGCTCTGATTCTCCTGACCCGGACTTTCAGTCTGAGCCATATATTTCCTCCACATTTCCTTATGTTTCCTTATGGTACACTCCTCTCACATACATTTTCTCCTTGCTAGATAATTGTCTGCATAGAACTCTGTACCTACATTACAAGTTACTCCTTACAAACACCATTCCCTCCGATTAGTATATACTGTAAGCTGTAACTCCTGTATTCCATTTCTGCAGTTCAAATATCAATAAGTTCCCCATACCTTTTTACCCAAGTCCTTTTCTAAGTCTTCCGGTCCTTTGGAGAAGGACCTTTACTCCACTTCTATTTTCATCCTCTACTCTCCCCTCATTTACTCTGTTGAGTTAGGGAATAAGGTCCATAGAAGGGCCTAGCACACGAGCTAAGCCAACCCACAATCTTGTACTCTGCTCCTCTCCCACAGTGCACCTCCGTTCTCCGAACTCCAAAAACTCCAAAGGTCATGGTACTCATACACCGACTCTCACCACTAAGCCTTGGACACCAAATCACCCACCACACACCTCTTATACAACTGCAACAACAATTCTGCCCCACCACCTCTAACCAGCATCAATCCACTGTTTACCCCACTTTACCTCATTTTATACTACCTCAAGCCCACTGCTTGCCACCCTTGCCTAATGCCCCTACTGCCAATGCCAATGAAACTGCCTCACCCACCACTCGGCCACCAACCACCACCACCTATGCAAATACTGCAAGTGCAGGCAACTATTAACAAGGAGGAGGGAGAAAAGGATGTGGATGGAAAGAGGGGAAAGGAATAAGCAAATTGAAACAAGGGTAGAGAGAAGGATAATGAGTAAGAGAGGGCACCACCCTCTTTCACAAAGTTGCACATCATCTATACCACATACATATTGTATATACTACATCCCTAGACCTTTTATATCAAATTTTCCATTTTTCACCCATTCTTTTCTTTTCATTAGATGATGGTGGTATTATATTCTACCAGCACATTTTACAGCTACATTGTGTATTTACTTTTGCCAAATGATAACTTAGTTCAGAGTAGGGATCCCAAATTTTGATTTGGTCCGTGGTTTGAGCATTTTTGCCTGAACTCAGTTCATACAGGTTCAAACAAACAAACTTCAACATCACCCCCCCCCCCCCCCCCCCCCCTAACTCTGGAAGAATTAAAAAAAGCGAATAGTGGACCTAAACAAAAGGGGGTAAACATACTCTTCATCTTCAAAGAAATTAAACCTTGCCCTTCAACCTCCACGTCCTCCTTCTTCTTGTCATCCGTACGGCCAGCGGCACACCTCAAATCATAAACAACGTTCTCTTCCTTCTTCCACTTCTTCTCTTCCTTTCCCTTCTACGGACCCCACTCGTCATCGACGTCGAGAAGCTCCACGGCGACGATATCACCCTCGAGAGCGCGGTTACGATCCTAACAGCCACAAATAGAGATATCAATGTCAAGTACTTCTGTGGGCTACTTAGGCATCTGAGCGATTGCGTTTTGTTTACACTCAAAATATCAACGACCGATTTTTCCGGGCGGGAATGAGCGGTGGCAACTAAGCCTGTCGAAAGATAAGGAGCTGAA